GGTATCACTATATTTTACTAATATTATAATGTGAAAGCATATAAAGATATTTAAATATTTGTTACTCAATTATGCTTAAACGACTCGTCGCTATTCGCGTCCGTCTGTTTCTCCGCTTATTTATTCTTAAATCGTGCACAAGGGATTTTAATACAAATTTCACTGTCATTTACATATTTTTACGAAATATTTGTATGTAGATACAATCAGTCATATTTATATACATTATTGCATACAATTTTACACTAATTAAACTTTTATTATTAAATTAATTTCATAATCAAGTAGCCAAAAAGTCAAATAAATTTTATATTGTACATATAAACCTAATATGCGAAGCCAGTGTGGGACTCTATTTTTTTTTTCAATACAACAAACTCCTTACACTAAAATCTTATTCGAGATTTTTGCAAAAAACTACAGCATGGGGTCTTCAAAAATGGGATAAGGAGGTTTCTTCAGCGTCGACAACGCGCATAATGCCTATGGTATTGCAGGCGTTCATAGGTTACGATATCCGCTTGCCATCAGATGGGCTGTATGCTTGTTTGCCACTTGAGTGGTATAAAAAAACTAAACCCTTCCTAAAATTTAATGTTACAAATACTTGTAATGCGCAACCATTCCTTGCATTTCGGAATTCTATATTGTTCTATAATGAAAAATTACCATGTATTCACGAAATCGAAGTATAGCCGAAGTCAATTAGACTAATTTAGGCTAAATAATGACATGCAAATTATAAACAGTTACGCCATCTATCTAAATCTATATCTATGGTGAAGTCCTACAAATAAAATGTAAATTATAGACCATTGTAACATAATTTATACAAAGACTTTAGATATATTTGTTTGAAGAATTGATTTTCTGTTTTAGAAATGATTCGACATTTTAATTAATAATAATAAAGAGTAAACGAATTTCCGTCACTGCTTTTGTCATAATGTTATTGAAAATGGGTTCTGTAAACTGCCCCAGTTGCCGATCCACTTCAGTGAAAGGAAATTCCTCAAACCAACCGTGTTTATTTTGTGTTACGCAATATTTATGGGTTTTCTGAACTGATTCTGATTTATTATTTTTAAACCTAAGAATTTACATACATGTTCCATATTAATTTTATTAAATTAAAATTAATATGAATATAAAATTATAATTTTATAAGAAAAATATATAAGCAAGCAAAGCAAGCGCTTACAGCTGGCACTCAGCGCGCCGAGGCGAGCAGTCAAGCTCACGCTCGCTTCAGTCGCTCATGACTAAGATAGATTTAAAAAAAGATCATTTAAAAATGCTTGTAAACAAATCTATTTAAATAAAAATGATTGATGAAATTTTAATTTATGTCGACCTCCTCGCGGTTCCCGCTGGAAACCTTCGTGTTTAATTGTTATTTATTTTTTCACAATGGTCTAACTGACCTGCTTTTATCCTCACCTACTATCTTCCACTGGTGCCTCGCCAGCGTGTACTGATAGCATAGGTGGAGTTACCATTCCATTATGTTCCATTAAGAAAAAAACTAACTCTATCAGATCAACCAATACATTGTCGGGATCCATGGAAATCATCGTGGGTAATTCCTGGCGAATACGTCATGATGGACCAGTTAACCTGACCTCATCCTTACCTACACTGCTACCTCACCAGCGTGTATCGATAATGCAAATGGAGCTACCATTGCATTTCCGTCTTTTTTTGTATTACTATAATGGCAAACAATCATGTGGGCCATAGAATGGTAAAAAAAAGTTACGTTAAGTACCCTATGGACGCCTGTAACTCATGAACAAGTCTGGAGGACTTTTTTTTTGTATACAATTTATTCATCATTAACATCCATCCGCTGCCTCATTTTCGAAGAAAAGTGAATATGCATATAAGTATCTACAAACTTTTGGACCCTTGTGATTTGTTTACAATAAAATTTAAGATAAAAACAAACAAATATTTCTGGAAATTTAATTTGATCAGGCAAATCTAATTTGTAAAGTGCCCAAGAGTAAATATCGACCAGCGCCAAGTTCTCACATACTATTCCGTGTAATGTGATAGACGCGACCTTTTCGCTGCAAACTCGATTGCCATAATGAAGTTTGTTCCTTTCACCTCATTTGCTGGATTGTAGGTATAAGTAGGGAGGTGTAGGAATTAATTCATTTTCATCAACTCGAATTTAATAAAATATTTAATTTTAATGTCATATCTATGTTATACTGTTATACACCTGAATCCTCAAGACTGGCAACACATGGGGGGTATCATGGGCGAAACAGTATACTCTGTTATGTTCATGGTACTGCTCATGTCTATAGGCGGCGGTTACCACTTTCCATCAGGTGGGCCGTCAGCTTGTTTACCATTCTAAGTTGTATAAAAAAAAATACGCACTGTTTAAAGGTTAAATGGTAGCTCAGGACCGTTCTTTATGGCATTCTATGGGGTAAGCAGTGGACGAATAATGCCTGAAATGATGATTTATGTAATAGCATGCAGTACAGTAAAAAACTTGTCTATTACCAATGTAGCACTACACGTACTGAGTTAATATATCACTCCACTATTTCTATCTTTTGGCCGTGGTTCAAGCATAGAATAGGCCACCCCTTCCATTACTGTGGGTGTCGTAAGAGATGACAGAGAGAGCAAGGAATGGGTAACAGTCTCTTTTTTAAAACATCATAAGGAGGCTTATGTTTAATAGTAGAAAGTTAAAGAATGATATGATGATTATTTCTATCATAGTTTCCTTAGTTTATTATTTAGTATTTAAGATCATTTTTACCTTTTTTTTTTTTAACGTCTGGAAAATGCTTTATGCAGACCCATACACCTTGTGGGAGGTGAATGGGTACTGTGGGAGTCCCCCCGTAAGGTGGGGGTGTACCCACCAAAAACCAGACGATATACCCTCGAGGTGCCATATGTCGGAGACATGGGTTCGCTTTCGCACTCACCACGTCTCCGACGGCAGCGACCCGCCCCCTGATGGTAAGAGCAGGTCTCCTCTTTCAAGATAGGGTGGATGGCGTGCTCACCCTACCACTCGGGGGATGCGCCGGTATATTAGCACATCCCCCAGGACCATTGGGACAATACCTTCCCACAGGTATCACCCCGGCTCCAGTGGGGAAGGAGGAGGGGCGTAACTGGGCACGCCCCTTCTTCTGCGTCTGACTCGTCTGCGGCGGATTGACGGTGCGAGAGTGGCATTCTCCCGCTCCCTTTCAGCCGCCTCCTTCTGCGACATGACGGCATCGCACAAGACGAGCATTGCTTCCCACGATCTCTCACTGCTCTCCATCCGCCGGACTACGGCGGGTAGCGAGAGATAAGATCATTTTTACCTGTTAATATACTTAGTTGTAGTAGAAATATACGTCAGTACCAGTCTCGTCGTATCAATACTGTTACTCAAAATTTGGTAAAGTATATATAAACAAAAAAACTTATTATATTTTTTTCCGGCAATAAAATCTCATATATAGAGACAGTGAATATTACGTAAACTGTAAACATTTCATATCTACGAAAACGGGTATGTAAACTGCAATATTGAATCTAATAAAAGCTAACCCCTTATTCATAAAACCGTCAAATCTTTTATAAAATTATTTTGGATACTGAACTTTTTTATCTATTCCTTTTACGCTAAATTCTCAATTTGAAAAAAGTGGCAAAACACATTAACAGCTAAAATGGATTTGATGAGAGATTTGACGTTACTTCGTGCGTCGTGTGTCTTTAGATCTAAAACTAAAAGAAATAAGATTTTCTCTTGATCCACACACATGTACAACGAGAATTTTATTAACCTACCGTTTGACGCTTCCGACAATTATTTCGACTTTGTCTTCTCTCGTGGACTTTCTTTGAGTGACAAAACAGTGTTGTAGATTTTAGTTTTTATAAATAAAGGTATATAATAACAAATACATATAAGATAGTTCACACTCTGTAAAATGAATAAAATGTAGTATACGAAACTCTTTACAAATACTGGTTTGTTTTTCTATTATTGACTTAAGATTGTGACATTCCCTTTCTAACTACTATTGTCTGTAATAATACCAATGTATCGTTATTTTTAGTTGAATTAAACCAATATTTCCCTATGGTCTATATCGTTTTGTATCATAAAACATTATTTTATTTTGTCTTTATTTTGAATATCATGAAATAGAAGTCGGTTGTTAATGATATTTACCATCACTAGATAGTTTTCAAATAAGACATTTTTTGTATCTTTCAGGTTCAATCTCACTAGCTATAATTTCAATACCGTATTCCATCTAAATTGAACCAATAATTCATAATAAACAAACTTTTAAAAAACATAAAAAATAATAAAAAAATAATAATATTAAAACAGCTATGAACGGTTTAAAAGATAGGTATCAATGTATTTTACTGCAATGTTAGTCGGAGGTCTGTGACATTTTCTATTGTTAATGATAAAATGCATTATTTCATAAGTTTAGTATAAAGTATTATGTTATTTACGATTTTCATGGCAGCCAGTCCATACTATTATTACTTTTTTAAACCACTTACGTGGTATATTTACAATCCGTCTGATGGTAAATGGTCACTGTAGCCTATAGACGCCTGTAACACTAGGAGTGTCACGCGCGCGTTGCCGACCTCGAGAACACCTTAATACAACCTTTTTGAAAAGCCCCATACTGTAGACTCTAGAAAAAATCTCGGCAATGAGGTCATTCAAAAACCTGAGCATTTTACACCGCACTGTACGCAGCCATTTAGGTTCTAACGTGTGCAGATTAATTTCTTATTATTTTTTTCTAAAAAACTATTTATAACCATATATGAAACTATATAACAGGAATTTAATGAACTTACTATATAAGCACCATACAAATCCAGAAGAATATTCCAGATGAAATCAATACAATTGTCAGAAACGACAAACACTGTAAGCCCATTAAATTCCCATTATCCAATTATATACACACTTTATTAATAAAAAAAAAATATATTATTAAGCAATGGGCTGTAACAGCTATATATTTACAAATATACATATTATACTTATTTATATACAAATTATATAAAAACAAAGTACCACTATATAGAGGTACGTCAAATTTGAGTTTTTCGACACTAGTTACATTTTATTCTGTAATACATTTATCTACTAGAAACTTTGTCTTCGTTAAGCATTTTATCCAATTCATTCCTCAACAATTCCGCTTCTGTCCTCATTTCTTCCAGACTCCTTGGCGGCTTCGATGGGTGACCTCTTTTGAACCTGAATATAATATAATATTTTAATTTGAAATTTCTTATTTATTTTTAAGGGAGAGACTTTGTACAAAAGTCGATTGCTTGGGTACCTCTGTCCCATTCGTGTTTCTACCGTGAAGCAGTTGTGTTTGCATGGCTGTGTTTCGGTTTGAAGGGTGAGATATGGCAGTGAATTTACTGGGTACGGAGGAATAACACCTGAGTCCTCAGGAAGGCCAACGCATGAGGGTATTATGGGTGAAATAGTATACTCTGTTATGTCCATGGTACTGCTCATGTCTATAGGCGACGGTTACCACTTTCCATCAGGTGGGCCGTCAGCTTGTTTGCCATTCTAAGTTGTATAAAAAATAATAATAATAAGAACATTTTTTTATTCCAGTAAACTTAAATACAAGCATATTTGAATAGTTTTGTTTTATGATTCTCCCGCTCATTTGCATTCCGAACGTCGAGGATTAACGACGGATACTATTTGCTCCGTCGGTGGGCCGTCAGCTTCTTTGATATATAAAAGCACAAAAGAAAATACAATTTCATAATTCAGAATCTAATAACTACATTGAAAGGTATCGTGGACGTCACAGTATATTCAGTAGTCAAATGGTTATCACTATCCACAAGGCGGACCGACAACTTGTTTGCCTTTTTAAATTGCATAAAAAAAAACAATGATTAATTGAAAAATAATTATATTGTTTTATTGTTTGATTTAGAACACACTTTTTTTTAATGGATGATAATGGAATGGTTATACCGCCTTCACTAACGGTATACACTAGCGGGGTAGCGGTAAAAGATGATAAGGATGAGCAGCACAGTTGGGATGAACATGTTTTCCAGATGAATGACAATGGTTTCCAGAGGGAACCGTATAAAGGTCGACCTGATAGGGTATATTGCTAGCAATGAACTAACAAATCTCCATTACTAAAAATCCCTTCTCCCCCCAATGGTCCACACTACCTTGCCACTACATGAAAGAAACATGGTCACCGCTCATTGCCAACCTTAATATCTTCTAATGAATAAATATATTTCTTTAATAACTCACTGATCATGTTTCGCCAATTCCAAATATATAAGGTCATTTTCTATGAAGTCTCCTTTTTTTCTTGGCATTATATGACAGTGGAGATGCTGTAACAAAAAAAAATATTTATTTCACAAAATAAACCGAGTATTATTATTTTTATAATTTTTTTTTTTATTCAACTTAAAATGGCAAACAACCTGATAGCCCACCTGATGGAAAGTGGTAACCGTCGCCTATAGACATGAGCAGTACCATGGATATAACATGTTTCGCCCATGATACCCCCCATGTGTTGCCATTTCTGAGGACTCAGGTGTTATTCCTCTGTACCCTGTAAATTCACGCCATATCCGACCCTTCAAACCGAAACACAGCCATGCAAACACAACTGCTTCACGGTTAAAACACGAATGGGACAGAGGTACCCAAGCAATCGACTCCTCCCTCAATAAAATGAATAAATAATAAAAACTCGTAAGTCATACCTTCACGGTCTGTCCAGCGTCGGGCCCGTCCTGTATAGTCACTGTACACGATTCTGTATTGTGCACCTTCTCCATTAACTAAAACAAAATACAAAGTGAAACCTTAACTACTGATGTTCGGGGAAAAAGGTTTGCTAGTAAGGAAGTGGTTATACCTCAATACTAGTAAAACATCCGGTCGACCTCCACGTGTCCATATATATCGTCGATATAGTCGATACTTCAGACCCAAACATGATAAAAAATATTTATGGTCATGTTTGAAAACTAGACACTTGGAGCTACAATTTGCTTTTTTTCTTTTTGCTGTACCATCATTTTGCTCAGAGTTACAGCTTGTTGAATATCACTCAAAAATTTGGAATTTTTTTATATCCTTTAATTTTTGTGACTAGTGTATTATCGATGTCCTAACTTAGCACATAGAATACTTTATACACGAATCATTAAGAATCACGAATCGCTAGAATACCTATATAAATCTACTTGGTATACCTTTTGAACAGTTCTGACCGTCCGATAAAAGTCTTCCGCCTCCTCATCAGACAGGTCTTTGTTCCTTTCGGCCATGCGAATGGGCGCCACTAGCACGTGGCCGGGTATCACGCATCTGTAACACGAGAAACTGATAGCTCACTGGCATATTAACAGTTTCTTTTTTCGTCGTGAATTTTGCTTTTTAACCGATTTTAAAAAAGGACGATGTTCCTTATTCGGTTGTATTTTTTTATATTTTTATTTATTTATTTATTTATCTATGTATCAGGAAGCTAAAATGTACATTTACATAATTATTTAAACTTTATTGACCAATAAAATGTGGTACAAAAGGCGGACTTAATGCTACAAGCATTCTCTACCAATCAACGTTTAGGATGTGCAGAGATACCCACATTATTGCATGTATTATATCACTATAGGTATTTTAAAACAGACAGACTTGTATCGGGCCTTCAACAAAAGTGTTTATAATTACTCCTCTCCATTCAAAGGTTGCCTGGAAGAGATCCGTTTTAGCAATAAGACCGTTCATTGTTTTCTTAGTGAAGCTTTTCTTGTAATTTTCTTCTTTGTATTTTTACTAAGTTTACTACTGTAATTTTTTTAACCAATAAAGAGAAATAATTAATAATAAAATTAATAATTAATAATAAAATTAGTAATTAATAATAAGAATAATTAACAATAATAGAAGGAAAATAGAGGGCAAAAGAGGAAGAGGAAGACCAAGCAATAACTACATGGGACAGATAAAAGAAATACTAGGTGTCATGTCGTATAGGGAGATCAAGGATATGGCCTGGGACAGAGCTGGCTGGAAGAAGATGCATGAATTTGTTGCACTGACAAGAGAAAACTCTTAAATGAAAAAAAAATATATACAATTAATATATATTTACCTACTATTACCATTCTAGCTCTATTTCAAATCTCTCCATTCTAATGCCAGGAAAATGTTTTCCTGGTATTAGAATGGAGAGATAAAAGAACAGTAATAAAACACTGGAACAAGCACTAAACTTTACCTCAAATTGACGAACGCATACGACAATTTGGATTTGTAGAAAATGCAGCTGTTGGGCACTCGAACATGGCCAAACACATTACACTCCTCGTCTGTGGTGCAGTCGGTTGGCTTCTCATCAATACTTGGTGTCTCATTGTGTTCTGGTAGGACGCTCTTGCGGAGGCTTAGGGTATAAAGTGAATAGACGTCACGTCTGTGAATAAAAGGAAAACATATTTTAAATATTTCTATCGGTTTTAATTTAATTACGTTTATTAATACAATATTAGATTATGGGAAAACATTTTTTCTTTTAGTACCTTCTATGCTGAAAAACAGGCATATTCCGTCTCACATCAGCCAGTTTGCGGGGTGATATCTCGGCCACTTTGTAAGTGGGAGAAGAGTCCCCGCAGTCGGCCACCACCTCCCCCCAAGGGTCTATGCATATCGCGTGCCCGTATGAACGCCGCTTTGCGTTGTGCTCGCCGGTTTGGGCTGCCGCGATGACGTAGCATTGGTTCTCTATTGCTCTCGATCTGTTAAATGTTACACTTGGCTACGTTAAGTAATACATGAAATGGGGGAGAAAGAGACTGTTAGTAATGGAGACTAAAAATCCCATTGCTAGCAATATCGACCTCCTCGTGGTTCCCCCTGGAAAGTATCATGGTTAATTCCTGATGAATTCATCATGATGGGCTAACTGGCCTGTTTTCATTCTCATCTATCACCCTTCACTAGTGCTCCGCCGGCGTATCCCGTTAGCGCAGGCGGGGTTACCATATCATTATCATCCATTAAAAAAAATACATGAATTCTATTAAATCATACTAAAATTGAAACAGATACTGGGAAACAAGCTAATGGTTTAATGGAAAATGGTAATCTTTACGTAATAGTAGATAGTAACACTATGTCTATACCTGAGTAGTACATGCCAATGAGCCGCGCCAGTCGCCTGAGTGAAGGCCGAAGGAAACGTCAGTATTTCAGCGCCCATTATACTGAGTGATGTGCTGAGCTCAGGAAATCGCATATCATAGCAGATAGCCATGCCTGCAATACGTGTATTTCAAGTATTAGTTTGGAAAATATGTTCAAATTCTGGCATATTTAGGACTTGAAACCTAGTCCTAACCTAGTCTCCTTTTTCCTTAATCGCGAACCAAATAATATTGGAAAAAAACCTAGAGTCTCCGAGGGGAAGGGATTATTTGTTATAGAAAGATTAGCCCCCATTGCTATCAATATATCCTATCAGGTCGACCTCCACGCGGTTCCCCTTTGAAACTCGTGACTAATTTATCATTGAATTCACCACGATGGGTTAACTGACTTGCTTTCATCGTCACCTATCACCTCTCACTGGTATCCCGCCAGTGTAAACCGATAGCGCAGGCGGCGTAACTATGCCATTTTTAACCCATTAAAAAAAAACCTAGTCTTCCTTCAGACACAATGAGTACATACACTAATGAGAGCAGAATTAAACAAACTAACTTGTAGATTTTGTTTCACAAAAACAAAACACAGATGTCGATCGTAGCAAAACCAGTTGTTTTTAATAAAAACCTACTGAACTGATTTTGATAAAAATTTTATGGGACCAAAGTACATCCTTTCAAAAAAATTCCCTATCTGTTCATAAATGAAAAAAATACAATTGAATTGCGAACCTCCTCCTTTTTTAAATCGGCTAATAACACGTAATTGACTTTCTATAGATGATATAAGATAACCAAATATATAAATATACCAAAACGTAAATGTAAATAGAACTCCCTTTTTCACATTTATTCTCTTATTTGGGCCATGGTACGTGTAAAGCCGCAACTAACATAGCCAGCCAATCTTCATCTAGACGTGCCAATGTGCTGTAGTTTTTTTTTTACCTTTTTATAGGATGATAATAGATTGTTAACTCGCCTGTTATCGGTATACGCTAACGGAGTACTAGTAAGAAATATTAGTATACAACTTAGAATGGCAAACAAGCTAACGGTCCACCTGATGGAAAGTGGTAACCGTCACCTATAGACGTGAGCAGTACCATGGATATAACAAAGTATACTGTTTCGCCCATGATACCTCCCATGCGTTGCCATTCCTGAGGACTCAGGTGTTATTCCTCTGTATCCAGTAAATTAACGCCATATCTCATCCTTCAAACCGAAACACAGCCATGCAAACACAACTGCTTCACGGTTGAAACACAAATGGGACAGAAATACCCAAGCAATCGACTTTTGTACAAAGTCTCCCTCTGATATGTCTGCACACAAAACACAAGTCAATTAGCCCAAATGACATATTCAACAAAAATTAATCACTATTATTTTTATCTATATTGCTAGCAATGAGGCCACTAGTTCCCATTACTAACTATCCCTATCCGGGGGGAAAGGGATTGTTAGTAATGGAGACTGAGAATCCCATTGCTAGCAATATACCCAACCAGGTCGACCTCCTCGCGGTTCCCCCTGGAAACTATCATGGTTCATTCCTGATGAATTCATCATGATGGGCTAACTGGCCTGTTTTCATTCTCATCGATCACCCTTCACTGGTGCCCCGCCAGCGTATCCCGTTAGCGCAGGCGGGGTTACCATACCATTTTCACCCATCAAAAAAAAAAAAAAAAACTATCCCTATCCTCCGAAGCTTCATATCGTCAAACACTATATTAAAATAAAATAAAATACCTATTCTTCCTACCGGCGACTCGACTGGCGTCACAATATGTCTACCAGCATTTGAGAAGTCACTCTCCTTCAGTCGTACATTCTTTTCGGGTATTTCCACATCGAATAGATGCAATTTCCTATATGATTGTACTATATTACCCTTGTCATCTATTATTAAATGCGTATTGAACATTTTTGTTGGGTTGGATTCATCCTAAAATTAAAATTTTGAAAAAAACATACTTTCAAAACCATAACTTTGCATTTAAAAACAAAATTGAACATTGTAATCCAGATATCTATATATTACATTAGATTTAAATCTACAAAATTACTGCTTCGCAGCAAAAATAGCAAATATAAAAACCCTGATCAAGCATACCATACAAAATCATCCCTTAACTACTGTTTACTCTGCTTGGAACATTATAATAGAAACACACGCCTTTGAAAGTGGAATAATTCCCAGGAAATAACAATCCAAAAACTACAAACCTTTTCATGGATTCCACCCATAGACAACCACACACTATGCTCAGCGGCCAGCTGTCTATACTTATTTACAATATTGCCTGTCAGTATCGGTTCTGCTTGGCCTACTACATCTTTTTTGTTATCACATATATAATCACATGCTTCTGGGAAAAATACCATCTGTAACATATTTTACAATAATGCATGGGCACTAAAAAATGGTGTTAAATATTAGGAAAATGTTCTACTATATTTCATATAGCTTTACTGTTAGATACTCATAGGCATAGGTGTATTTAAGGGAGGACTTGGTGAGCCATAAAATCATCTAGTGCCCACCACAGAATGCAAGCAAAGCTTCATAAAGACATGTCTGAGAGTACTTATGCACCTTTTCAAGAAACCAGCCTCCTTTGGAAAATAATCATAAAAATAGCAATGCTCATAGGCATGTTTAAGGAAGGGGGAGGAGAGAGTTTAAAGATGGGAAAAGTGTGGATCACTCTTGGTGGAAGGAATTGGAAAAAGCCTATATTGAGTAGTGTATAAAACTGACTGAAATAATAATGATGAATTTATATAAATTTACTAACCTGTACATTTTCCTTGGCTGCATCACTGATTAGTTGACTAACTACTTGCAAATTAGTGGACTTGTCAGCCACAGATGTCATCTGACATATAGCAACCCTCTTTGTATCATTCATATTGCTTAATCTTCTTACAAATTCAAATCTATATATGTGTTTTAATAATGTTATATTCCGATACTGTAACAAAGCATATTAGGTACTATAATAAACATCAATAGCTTTTTTTTATAATCTTCTGATGATGATAAACATCATTAACAAAATAAATCACTCCCTTCCATATAAAATTTGAAAATATACAGTGAAATAGATATATGGATAAATTCAATAACCACTTACCATTTAGCTATGACTCAATATGTAGTGTGAATATAGAAAAAAAACTGTGAACAAGTCAAGTATTAAGTTACATTAATAGTAACATTAAACATTTTTTATTACTCGAATATGAAGTAAAATCATGAAAATAATATTTTTATTCATTTATTTGAATTATTTTTCCTCTGCAAAGTATAATTAAGTACTACATACAGTTTTATTTGGATTCAAGATAATTTTCAGTACAATTTTTTTTTTATTTTTTTTATTGAATAATTAGCTGGAATTCATAGAGATAGGAATGAACAACTTTTAAATAACAGGGATTAAATATTTGCCAGTTTAGAGCAGGGTTTTTACAGTTAAGTCACTTGTTTATATACTATATTATATACTGTGTTATGTATGTATGTATTTTTGAAATATTTTTTATATTATTATATAAATTTTATATGTATTTGAAATATTCCCATGAAATTACAATTTATCTATTGATATGTAATTCTCAATAGTTTGTGCTTGATCTTCAACACTACATATTTTTTTTGTTATGAAAATAAATAAAATAAAAATAACATTAAAAAATGTTTTTTTTTTTATCCACCCTACAGCATGGTACATATTATAATTTTTTAATATAAAATACTATACTTATGCAATTAACTGATGTAAGTACCGATTTACCAAAAAATACGTACCTTATTATATTAATACTTATCTATATATTTCAGTAAAATCAGTGTTAAAATCTCATTTACAATTATAATTAAATAGACACCGAACCGCGTAAATATTACTCAGACTAAAAAGAATAACTAAGAAAACTTTAAATAAACTGATAAGATAAAATTAATGTCAATAAGTACTGATAAAAATAATAATTTCCTATGTTAAACCTTATAATAATATAAACTCACCCGCATTCTACAAACTTATGCAAAAAATACAAATCGTATTATATTTACTACAAAATTATTTTTAAAATTTGAAGGTTAATAACTTAATACCGTAAAATAGATTTAAATAAAATAAATACCTATAAAATTATTGTTTTTGTTTACAATTATGGTACCTGTAAGAAAGTACCTACTACCAACTTTTTATGTCACGTTTTTTTTTTTTTTAGTACGTTTGTTCCGTTTGGAACAGGCTAAGGTCGGAGACCATGCTGCCTAGTCTTCAAAAAGATAATTTGTCTGGAATTTTATTTTTCTAATGTCGCTTCAATTATTGTCATAATCTTCAATATTTCATTTGTCAAATCCGGTAAGTACATTTTCATAAATATCTTTTCTTGAGTTTTCTTAAACCAGTGGATTTATCAAATTAAAAATAAATAATTATAAAAAATCATTGTCTTGCAATTCAATAAAAGTATTCTTATAGCTCCTTGAATGTTGTAGTAATATAAGTGAAAATAGCTTTGAAACAAGAAGGAAATCTTAAGAGAAGCGGGATTGAGTGCGGGATATTTTCGGGTTTTTTGAAGATAATCCTAAGTTCGTCAAACATAATGTGTCTTTGAATGACAAATTCAGAGCAATCAAAAAAAAGGTGATGTAGAGATTGGGCTGTATTTGAGTTACACCATGTGCATGATGGGGAAGCGATCATGCCCATTCGGTGCAGGTGTTCGTTGAAATGTCCGTGGCCGATTCGTAATCTACAAATATTGGTGTAAAATTTTCTGTTTGTGTCCTTTCCTTTGCAGAACCACGGTTTTCCAATACGCCAATTAATTTTGCGGTACCATTTGCCTTTAGTCTGTAATATTTGAGTCCAATGCCATTTAGTTGTAACGATTTTATGTATTCCAATACTACAATCTGAGTAACAAAGGGATAAATCTTGAACACGAGCAGCACTTGAATTAATAATTTTAGCCAAAGTGTCTACTTGTTCATTCCCAAACACTCCAATATGTGAAGGGGTCCAGATGAAGATAATATCTTTTCCATATATAGTACAGAGATGATAATATTTATTACGAATTTCTTGAATTAAGTAGTTTGATGATGAAATGAATGTGTTATTTTTTAATGCCATAAGAACACTCATACTATCTGTAATTATAATCCATTTCGAATATAGTACCTGTTTTTCTATGTATTCTAATGCTAAAAATATAGCTTTTGCTTCTGCTGTGTAAATACTAGCCAAAGTTGAAATTTTATAACCGTGACCAAATCTATTTGACAAATCGTAAAAAGCCACTGAAGTGCTAAGTGCATTTTTGGAACCATCTGTATATATCTGCCTGTAGTCAATAAATTCTGATAAAGTCTCATACATATCGTGCTTTTCTTTTATGTCTTTACGTATAACAATTTTGATCTTACAGAACTTACTCTCATAAAGGCCATTATAACAAGGAAGTATCTTACTACTATAGATGTTATATTCATCTCGTAAATTCAAATCATTGACAATAGTTTTATTCAAAAACATAGAAATGGGGCAATTTAATAATTTGAGTATGAGTGGGTTATTGGAAACTGAAAAAACTTTGAAGAGAAATTTGAGTTTTAGGTATTCGAAACGAAGAAGGATAGGAGGCAAATTACATTCTACTTGCATTGAGATAATTGGAGAAGTATACATAGCACCTAAAATAAGTCTTAAATTCATATTTTGAATTTTTTCGAGTTTTTCTACTAATTTATGTTCTGAGGCATAACAAAAGAAAGCGTAATCAAAATTACTTCTAACAAGAGATTTGTAAAGTAAAAGGATAATTTTAGGATCAGCTCCCCAGTTACGACCAATTACAGATCTTATTATATTAGTGGCTCTTAAAGCACGATCTACTAAGCAATCAACGTATAGATCCCATTTTAAATTTTGATGAAAAATTACCCCCAGAAATTTAACGCTACAGTCTGTTGGAAGAGTTTGATTATTATATATAATATTCATTAATGGAACATATTTATGAACTTGATGAAAAACAACTACTTTACTTTTGGTTAAACTAATATCGAGGGAAAGAAGAGAAAAATATTTCTCAAGTCTTTTTAATGACTCATTTAACACTAATTGCATATCAATAATATTCTTTCCTTTTATATAAATTAATAAATCATCGGCAAATTGCAAGTTGTTCACACTGTTTCCTAAAATTGAATTAAGTTTATAGATATATAAAATATATAGTAGCGGGCTTAGAATACCACCTTGACATACTCCTTTAGAGCTTAACCTAGGTCCTATTAATTTACTATTTACTTTAACATACACTTCTCTATTACTAAGAAAATTATAAATCCATTCGATAAGTTTCATTGGAAGAAATGAGGATAGAATCGAAGATAGAACTGTTAAATTTACATTGTTAAAAGCTCCTACGACATCTAAAAAAACAGATAGAACATATTCATCGTTATTCAAAGCAGTACTAAGGTCGACATAGAAGTTCGCTAAACTTTCGCGCGCTGAATATCCACGGCGAAAACCAAATTGATTCGATGGTAATATACTATTACTTTCAATAAAGAACTCTAAACGCTGTTTAATTAATTGTTCGAATAATTTGCCTGCACAGGACGTCAATGTTATAGGTCTATAGGAGTCGAAATTTGTAGGATCTTTACCGGGTTTAATTACTGGAATCAAACAATCCATTTTCCATTCTGGTGGGATAATACAGTCCTTCCATAAATCGTTAAAAATTTGTAAGAGTTTAGTAAGGTTTATTTTATTCAGCAATCGAAACATATTGTATGTTAAGCGATCAAGGCCACTAGCTGTATCTTTTCTAGATTTTACTGCACTGGATATTTCATCAATTGAGAATGGGTCAGTGAGAAATTTTGGGCATGAATTAACAGAATTAAACTGTTTGTCATCAAAAGGTGAGTGTACAAAATCAGGAGTATATTTGCGTAAAAAATCATTGACCCATGATATATCTTTAAAATGATTTTGACGATGTTTTGAATTTAGTTTTCTCATATTTTGCCAAACAGTGGAAATTGGTGTTAATCTATTAAATTTGGAACAAAATTCCTGCCACCCCTGTTGTCTTACTTGCTTAATTACTAACTTTTTAACAGCTTGAACTCTTTTAAAATTTATGTAATTATCGAGAGTTGGATTTTGTTTAAACCTAAGGTAAGCCGCTTTACTATCATTGACAGCTGTCGCACACCTGTTATTCCACCAAGGTACTGCAATATGTTTGTGCCTCTTTGAAGTATTTGCACCGCTATTTGATAAGTTCCTACGTGGAACGGAACGTTCCACAGCTGTCAAAATAATTTTACAGAACCTATTGTAATTGTTTAAGGGTTCATTGACATCATACTCGAAATCCAAAAGTAATCGATTAACAGTTTCAGAATAAAGATCCCAATTAACGAGACGTAGGTTTATACGATTTAACAAAAGTTTATTAACTTCATCTATAGGAGCATGTTGTTCACCTGACGGAGTTGATGAAGAGTTCTTTGTGTTTATTTTAGTAAAAGTCGGCAGGTGATAACTTCCTAACGGATCATCATGAACCGACCACTCGCATTTTAATGATATGGATGGGGATACCATAGTTAAATCAAGGCCATTGGGTCTCCAAATATGAGAGCCAACAGTAGTAACTTGCTTATCATTTAATAGTACCAAATTACATTCATCTAAACAATCAAGAATGTCTTTACCTCTTGTATTAGTGGAGGTACAACCCCACATAGTATGATGTGCATTTAAATCTCCAGATATGATAGTGGGTTTAGGAAGAGACTCCAAAAAGAACTTAAATTTGGCTTTAGTAAAACTAGGTGTACTATTGGTAGGACAGTAAATACTGGCAACTGAATACCAAGAATTATTAACTTCAATACTAATAGCTATAGTTTGCAAAGAATTGTCGAAAAAAGAGTGAAGTTTTTTATATCTAATACTATTATGTATAATAATCGCTACTCCATTGTGGTTATTACCACAATCATTTCGTTCTATACAATAATCTTTAATTTTTAATTTGTAATGTGGTTTAAGCCAAGTTTCTGAGATGAGAGCAATGTGAATATGATGTTCATTTAAAAATTGTGTAAAAATATGTCGATTGCTCAGTAGGCTCTGAGCGTTCCACTGTATGATAGTTAATTGGTCTCGATTGAATTTTGTGAAATAGGTCTATTACCAAAAGTATCATATAACACATTCAAAACACTTTTAGTGTTAATAGATGTGTTCTTTGTGTTATGTAGTGAAATAAGTTTGATTATGCTTTCTATTAAAAGTGATAAACTCTTGTTATCAGAATTTAGAATTGAAATTAGGTCTACATTTTTTTTAGGTTTGTTACCCAGTTTAGGAAATATTTCAGTGCTAAGTATATCTCCAAAAGAAGCAGGTCTGCATTTAGATCTATTTTCAGCAATTTTCTTTTGTTTAACAGGGCATTGCGGTGATACACTTGTGTGATTTCCATTGCAGTGTACACAAATAGCGTTTTCCATTCCAGTTGTACAAGTTTTATAATTATGCTCACCTTTGCAGATGCTGCAACGCTCAGAATTCTTACAGAATTTAGCTAAATGTCCATACCTCAAGCACCGGTAGCATTGTTTAACTGGTGGTATATATGGAGTGACATTGTGGCGCCAACCTCCAATATCCAGATATTCAGGTAATACAGATGCAGCAAAAGTAATTGTCACGGTTAGAGTTGGCTGTAACACATATCCATGAGTCAAGGTATTTTTTCTTAAAATTCTTTTAATAGCAATAATTTTCTTAGAACTCGATATCATAGTATATATTTTTTTATTAGATATATTTGTAGGTACATTTCTAATAACGCCTGTAACTTCTGTTGAAGAAGCAGGAATACTGGCCTTAAAATGGTAGTCATTTAAAAAAGTTTTATTATTTAAAAAAGCATTGGCTAAGTCTGGCTTTTGAAAGTATACTCCGATTTTGAATTTATTTATAGATCTAAGATAAGTTACCCCTTTATTAAATCGTTTTAAACAGGAGGAGAGTGAGAGCAAGTCTCTGGATCCAATGGTTTTCTGACTATCTGAGGATTCTACAAAGACAACAAATTCTGTCCCAGGGGATTCCTCGGGATATCTTCTAATATAATCTGTGACGTAGTAAGGTTTATACTTATCGGCCTTATCAATTTCAGATTCTGAGTCAGTAGAAGTATCTTCCGAATATATATCCTTGTCATTACAAGGTTCATGGTCTACATCACCTGAATCGTCATCTTTTTTTTTCCTTTTTCTACAACTGCGCTTCCCCATGAATGCTAATTATATTACTGTCGCTGAATTTAGTGAGAATATAATATTTTATTCAATAATAAGAATTGATAGAGATAGTTTTAATAAATTAATAAAAAAAATTTAAAAAACCCGCTTGTTCTTATTCGAGTTTCCCGCCTTTTTTGCTCACCTTTATGTCACGATGTATATGTCAGTCTTTACAGCTGTTATGTGTCAGTCAAGACCACATTATGGTTCTTCTAATAGTCAAGCAGCTTAGAACAAGCACATGATTACTGCTTATCAGAAAATATTTAAAATAGCAATAAATAGGTACTCAATACATGTTTAGATGTCTTACTACGAAAGCATATCTAACATCTGTATCTTTTTATATAAAAGAAAGTCTGTTTAATTTAGTGATTTAAATACAAAAGATATTTAAATCAATAAATTTTATAAAAACTCTAACATATAAATTGCAAGTTGTTTATTTGTATATTTTTTTACTGTATGTATTATACCCTCTAAATAATATTTACATGATATTAAATTATATTACCATGTGATTCCGATAAAGCCCGTTTCTTTCGTTCCCGTAAGTATAGTAGGAAGTGATTTAGGAAACTGAGCATCCATGTTGTTGCTCATCCCTCTTCAATTAAATATCACCAATCAAAGCCTAACGACGGTTGCCAATCCGCCTGGCAAGCGTAGCAAATACTATCAAAACTCCATATAGGGCTAAAGAGGTCTATGTTTAGCAGTTTAAAAAACATTTAATAAGTTAGGGTTTCTTTGAACTTTTATCTTAACAGTGTTTTAATCATTTTTGTAGTAAGTAAGACCGTAAAAAATCCATCTTTAACCTATTATCATTAGATACGCGTTTGATTCAAGCTGCTTAAAATTCTACAGACTATAGAGCCCCTACATAGCTGATGACATTGACTTGTATTCTGTGACACTGACATAGCAACAATAAACTGTCAAATCTGTGCAGTGGATCTAGAAAAATCTGAAAAACATTCGAATATTTTGAATTTCATCTTTTTCTCTCTGAAGTGTGAATGTAATTGTTATAAAAATAAAATAGTACAGAGATACTTCTGAACTAATTGCTGTTATATTTAATCGTGCCAAGAACTGAAACAATGTCTGAAACGAAGGATACATCACCAACAGAGGTAAAAGTTTATAGTTTTTCTTTAAGATTAAAAATACTACTTAAGATGAAAGGATTTTTACATTCTCTATAAAAATTAAATGACACAAAATAAATCTTAACGATTATGAAAACTTGCTAAGTAATTATTTTAAATTTATGTAATTTTTTTGTTCAATATGGAAAAGTAGTCATGAAATTCTTAATTTTCTTATTGTAGTCTTGTATTGTTACAAGAGAGTACGGTCGAATATATGTTACGATTTGTATTCAGTATCATGTCATTTAGTAGTTTAAAAAAACTGCAGTGTAACACAATACTGTCTTGTGTTCATGAAATTAATGCCTATATTACAAATATAGATATTTACACAAATTGATAAAACTGGATGCACTGCATCTATTTTTAAGCCCCGAATTTCAATGTACTTTCAGTATAATTTTAGAATTGCATCTTAACACAATATTCTTTAAAAATTGAAATACTTTAAAAATATATAGTTTATGTTATACTCAAACATAGTTGACTAAATAATTTTTTTTTCTTTTAAATAAAAATTCTGTTTCAAGCCAGTGAAACCTAAAATCAAACATGACTGGTACCAGACTGAGGCTCAAGTAGTTATCACTATTTTGATCAAAAATGCGCCTAAAGACAAAGTAAAGGTCCACTATGGGGATAGAAGTGTAAGTATGAAGTAGGCTATGTAACATAATATTTATTATAAACCAACTTCAAAAAGAAGAAATTTCTCAGTTTTATTGTATCTTTTTCTATATTTGTTACCTCTTAGCTCTTTCAGTTGTAAACTGATTTGGAATATTCTTTTTTATCTGAAAGGATATACATACAGATTGGACCTATAGAAATTTTATCAAAATTGATTTAGTAATTTAGTATTTAAATTAAAATAACTGGATTTGCCACTATTGAAGTTGGGTTTTTTTTTTTGGAACACAATCTTATGTTATATTTCATTGTTTGTGTTGTGACTTCTTCATGAAACTTCATAATATTGACAATAGAATGTTATTTAAAATTCTTGTACTTTGTCACACTGTCTTAATTAAAATGTTTTTATTAATATAGGATCAGTTTGTTTATATTTTGAAAAGTACTTAATTTTAATATTATTTACTTTTTAAATTGTTATAATTTTACACAGTACATAAGCAAAAGGAAGAACAGTAGTACTTTCAATCATTTGTGATGTTTCCAAAATTTCTTAAAATTAAATAAAACCCAATTCTGGTTTAATTCATATGACATTCTGGAAAAACAACATTCTAAACCCAACAGTAGAATCATAAAAAATGATGATTTAAAAGAGCTTGTTAATAAGTTTATTTGAGTAAACATTACTACTATTCTATAAAATAAATATTCAAGTAAAATTAATTATAAGCATTTTTGATTAATTATTTTTAATAAATTATATTAGGCAACAAACACAGCTGTTTCTTTATTTTAAATAAAAGTTAGATTTACAACAAAAATGTGAATGGATAAAAAGAGTATCACAAACTTCATGTTGATAAATAAAAAACTACAAAATTTTATTTTTAAAAAATTTTATTGCAGTTATCAGTATCAAGTGCAATCCCAGACTCGGACAATGAGTACAGCCTAGAAATAGAATTAGCACATGAAATAGTGCCATCCATGTGCACTCATCTGGTAACCCCGTCCAAGATTGAAGTGAAGCTGAGAAAGAAAGAGGGATTACGGTGGACGGTGCTGGAAGGAGAGGGATCTGATGAAAACATTAAGGCTATACCACAAGGTGAATTGGAATATTCCATGAGTATAATTTCAAGTTAGACTAATTGTAGTCTTTTAATTGGGAGGGATGGTAGGGTGGCATTCTTTGGCGCCATAAAATTAATAAAGAATTACGTCAAATAAAAATTTGGAGTAAACAATGCTTATCCCTAATGACAAATTTTTTGTCGTCATTAGAAAAGTGAGTCAGTAAAAGGTGATGATCTAGTGTTTTTTTTAATCATTAGGAAGAGCATCATCACAAACTACCTAGGAGCACCATGTAGCTTAATTTCTGTCCTGTAGTCTTTATATTGTATTTCTACTATTGGAATATTCTCTATATTTTTCATGTTTGTAGACAACAATAATAATTTTCCAGTTACCTTGTTTCACATTTCCAATAAGTGCAACTTATATCAAACAAAATAACCTTTACACAATGAAATATACACTAGACAAACCAAAAACCTAGAGTATATGCTTTTATATATAAATTGTTGATGTAATACAAATATTTCTGTAAACTATTTGCTAGTATCTGTATTATTTAACCTATAAAAATATACAGAAAAAATATTCGTAGTCTTATATTTTTTCTTATTTCAGCCATTGTAGATGCATCTGGTCCCCAGCAGCCTCCAAAATTGTATAAAAAAGACTGGGACAAAATAGAGAAGGACATCAAAAAAATGGTATGTACAACTGAGCAGTTGATTGCATAATCACTGTGTTGTATATTCTGGGACAGCTTGAAAATAATTATCATTTACAAACAGGGTTGTCTGTCTATCCATGGCTTTATAATTATTTTATTGATTTTATTTTTAAGTGCTGAAAGTTTTATTTTATTTACATTTAAATGTAATAACTACCTGTTTAACTTACGTAAAATTAGATCGAAAAAAAAGCTCGACAAGTTTTAAAAGTAATTCATGATTCTTAGCCATGAGCGACTATGACGCGAACACGAGCCTGACAATGTCCCTCGGCTTGTTAAGCGCGAACTGTAGACTCTTGTAAACCGGTAGTTATTACATTAAAATATAATGTATGGTTACGAAACTATGAATAACATGTTTTAAGAATAAAGTAACAAAAAATGAAGTTATTCTATTAACATCAAGTAGTTATTCCACTTTCCCATTATTGTCCAATATTATACTTATTAATAACTGGCTTTTACCCTCAACTTTATCTGCATGACTGGGAACATATCACTGGCCAGCTAGCTGATAGTTATTCCCAGTAGAATAAAGAAAATAACATTCTAGGAAGAAGAAGAAAAGCCAGAAGGTGAGGCAGCGCTGAACGCTCTCTTCCAGAAAATATACGGCGAGGGGTCCGACGAGGTCCGTCGGGCGATGAATAAGAGCTTTGTAAGTGTTTCTGTATGACCAAATAAAAAAAAACTAATATATTCAGTTTGCATATGTAACTATATATGTAAATAAAACTAACAATTTGATAAAACTAAAAGGAATTTACTTAAATGCTTATGGAAAATAACATTTTCACTCAAATATAACTGTGAAATAACCAGTAGTAATATCATCTAATCACATAGTTCATAAAGTACATGGTTCCTTAGATTGCACATGTCATTTCCATGAGAAATTTCAAATAAATAATATGAAGTATCTTTTTAGTTTAATCTATAATCAAAGATATCATATTACTATATAGACTGACTAGAGAGTCACCCAACTTGCTTAACTTTCATAATCGGTATCAAAAAACTTATTTTCGAAAAGATGCACCAGTTTTCTCTATGAAAATTTATAAATCGTCGAAATTTAATAATTTATTTCCATATTTGCCAGGTGGAATCAGGCGGTACAGTACTGAGCACAAACTGGAACCAAGTGTCCAAAGACAAGGTAGAAGTTAAACCACCTGATGGCTTGGAGTTCAAGAAATGGGACAATTGAAGGTCACAATGAGCTCATATTGATACCGTTGTATGCTGCACTTTGATTCTACGTTATTTTTGAAGGTTGTGTTTAAGTGATTAATCATATTTGAATATAATATTATTTAATATTAATAAAAATAATTAGTGCTACACAATCACATCAATCACTTTGTCCTCAAGTGATCCTCACTTCTGTATTAAGAGCAACCAGGCATCAAACATCTTGGAGCATAAACTAGAGCACCCAGAGCAGAGATAATTTAAAAAAGTTCATTTCCCAAATTGACTCTACTGGGAATCAAACGCGCGACCTCATTTACACAGAGGGACGTGCCCATTACTACGCCATTGAGATCGACAAATTATATATATTCTTATATAAAATTTTATTTTATATACAAGATTTAAATTAATACAATATTCATTATATTCCAGTTAACCAGTCCTATAATATTTAATTAAATTAAGTAGATTAGAATACTGGTTACAGATCTACTATATAATCTATTTTTCCACTGTCTGTGGTCAATACTGGTCACAGATTAACTTTAATAGAATCTGTATTCCCCACTGTCTGTGGTTGGAGGTTTCCTTATAACCTATTTTTAATATCGATTATGTACTATTATTATAGTGAATATCCTTCTCTAAAATTGTATATACTTGAATACATAATTTGATGTAATTGTCTGTGTTCTTGTACCTAAATAGGGATAGGTAATATATAGCAATATAATATAAATATATAAATTAATATATATATATATATATATATATATATATATTGGTTATCGTCCGTTAATTAATATCAACAAATATATGCAAAGGAACATAATATCGGAGTGATACCGGTATTACCTATGCTTTTTTTTTTATTCAAACAGCTGACCGCCCACCTGATGGAAAGTGGTAACCGTCGCCAATAAACATGAGCAATACCATGGACATAACAGAGTATACTGTTTCGCCCATGATGTCCCCCATGCGTTGCCATTCCTGAGGACTCAGTTATTATTCCTCCGTACCCAGTAAATTCACGCCATATCCCACCCTTCAAATCGAAACACAGCCATGCAAATACAACTGCTTTATGGTTAAAACATGAATTGGACAGAGGTGCCCAAGCAATCGTCGTCATGGTAACAAACCTACTTGTTACCATGACGACGGGTCAAGTGAAACTATTTTTTATTATTATTATTGAATAATAAGCATTTTTAACTTCAACAAAGTGCAGCATATTGTTTCAATTTATTATAAGTTATTTAGTTTAAATTACAAAAATATTGATGACTTAAACCTTTATTTATCGAATAAACACATATTATGTTCTAAATCATTGCTAAGCTATTTTTTGTCGCGATGGAAATGTGTTATGGTTGATCGACGCGTAGCGATACGATATTACGGTATATTATCGATTTTTTTTTTTATATTACAATACTAATATATATAATATATTGAATGCATCAGGTCCTAGTAGTTCAGTGCCGCAACATAAATCGTAAGTTTTTATATAGCTGATTTCAATACAAATAAAACTAATATATAAAGTGTATCAGTTTTAATGTTCGACCGATAGTAATTGGTAAAGAAATGTCAATAACCAATCTTCTCGGATTAAATTCAATATATTTTGCGAAATGTAAAATAATTAAATATACCGCAATTTTTAATTACCGCCAGGAGGCTATGATGTATAAGAAATATATATATTAACATTTTTAAAAATGTTTAAACAGCAAAACGTTCTTATTGTGAATGTATTTTTTTAATGTATTACCCGATAAACATGCATTATTTTAATTAAATTATATGACGATTTTTTTTTTCTCTTCATAAATGTATTCACTTTTATTTACATTAATACGTATTAACGTAAATATGTACGTACGTACGCATTTTTATCGTCAACGTATGACACATTAAAATTTTGCGCTAACTTGCTAATTAAAATTATGCAATCATATTTTCTCCACTTTCAACGAATGCTTATTAAAATGTACCTATAATTAATTACCGTATACGTTTTAATTACTAAACATACTCTGTACATTTTTTGTATTATTTGAGTCCATTACTCGAGAGTAAGACTGTGAATTATACATAAAATAAATGTTTTTATTATTACTTGGCTATTTGTTTTCATTTAATACGGAACAGGATCTAGTCTCAACCTTCACAATATCGTATATACCGTAGAATTAAAAGACTGAATATTTTCTGGAATTTAAGTAAGTTAAAAAAAGGCATTCATTGTTCTCTACTAAGTTCATAGAATGCGTTGTACAAAGATTTACGTTAGATCGCGTTCAGGCTTTCGACCATAATATGTACTGAAACTTAACTGCGCCTCTAACGGATAATGTCAGAAACTCCGCTTCCCATACAAACTTATTGACGTTATTTTACTTATTTTCGAGCAATACACTGAAGTGTAGTCTATGTTAACATGGCACGCCCTTCCAACTTTTTACTTCAATGTGTGCAGCACACACAGAGTATTACGTCCATATATGTTCAATCAACTTCAATCATATTATATATGGACGTAGTGCTCCGTTTGTTTTAGTGAGAAAAAATCTTTAGTAGCAGTCCATCCAGAGGAATATATGCCTTGGTGAAAATCTTGTATTTTTTTTTACTTACACGTTTTTAATTCATTATATTTTGGAGGGGCATGCCATGTTATCGAGACAACTTTAGCTTGGAAGTATTTAAACCTAAACTACATAAAAATTCGAACTCATTACACTCTTTTTTTGGTTAGGTATTTAATATTAAGTTAAAACAACAAATATAGAGTAATTGTTTTATTTTTTTAAAACTAAATGGGTAATAAAAATATCACACACTTTAGAAATCCATTATCATGAGTATTAGATATAAACAATTGTGTTAATGAGTTGTAATAATTATTATATATAATATTCAACTACAAGGTACCGTAATTATATAATTTTTAGACAATATCAGTGTTCTGTTTAAAAATATATTTTTGTAAATTCCATTTAATTGAAAACGCAAAGCGAAATTCCCTTCCTCTCCCAGACAAATGTCAAACGAATCTACTGATAGAATCGTTGTTGTTAGCAAATACATGAAATAAAAAACGTAATTTTTTTTTATATCACAAAGGTGGCCAACAAGCATACAGCCCATCTGATGGTATACGGTCACTAGCCTATGGACGCCTGCAACAATGTTCGGTGTTTTGCTCACAGCAACTATTCAATCGATAGATTCGTTTGCCATTTGTCTACGAACATCCTTCGCCCCTTTACTCTGTCTAAAATAGTAATAAGATGCAATAAAAAATATATTTACTGTCGGAAAAACAACGTCACTGTTTGGGAACACGCGTCTTGCGATTTACATTCGTAAGAGGCTGATGGCCCTAAGAAAGTAAAAGCCCTTAAGAACTAAAAAAAAAAAAAAAAATTAATAAATAGCTGTTTCCTTGCGGTTGATATTTGCTTGAACTAAAACCAATTATTTGTATATCAGAACACGTGGTTTTAATGTATTAACTACTGCTTTAATTTACGTGTAATTAAATCGAGAAATCTCGACTAGTTTCGGGATCCTTAATCACACCCGCTCATGATTAAGGATCACGAATTGTTCCCGAAATTATTCAAGCTTTCTCGATCTAATTACATATAAGTTATTACATTAAAATATAATGTGCGCCTCTGAAACATGGAATTGTTATGCATTTGCCAAATAAAATATTGTACGTATAATCTACTAACGACCAACTACTATTAAATACATTCTATTAAATAAGTATATATAATATAGTGCTTTACCATACTGAAACCCCAAATATGGATTTATTATTTTTTAATTTTATATAACGGTACAAAAGAGCATACGAGTCACCTTACACTGACTTGTTACCACTTTATGCACATCTCCAATATTAATAAAGTCCCATGCCAGAATACAACTCTTATTAAATCAAACATTAATTTAATTAATATGTACAGTTTTAACATATGACTAGTCTAGTTTTTAGTAAAGTAAAAATAGAAAAATAACTATTAACTCTGACAGAAAATCGCATATCGCGATATCATATTTTTTTAGTAGATAAGCCTTGGTCCAGCGATTGCATACATCGACAATCTTATTACCAAATAAATAAATTGTACAGTATGTTCTGCAATGGTGCAAAATAATAAATTCTTTTTACACTGCAACACCACGTCAAAAAATTTAAAATCCGTTTCACCATAATACTAGTGGTCTGTGTTAATAAATGTCTATAATTATTTATGAACAAAATTTCTTTATATGTTTGTCTCGTCGTCTCAACTATTTTAGTGTGGAGAGAAACAGTCCTCATTCAAAATTTTAGTATAATCATAATATAACCCCGAAAATTTTATCCGTTGTCTGCCTTATTATATTCGGCCTTATAATACAAATTCACTTGCTTACAAAATAAACATTACCTAAACTATTAATTAGTATTTCAGAAACTACTACTATCTGTTAAATATCATTCCTTATTACTAGCAACACTAAACAGATCTATGGTAGCTTTGCTGACTGTATTCTTGTAAGATTGCACGTGTCCTTCGTGGATAGTAGAAATTTCACCAGAACTCGGTAGGCCGTTTCTTACTGGTGGAACTTTCTTGCCATTTGGCAATGTTATACTACCATTAGGAGAATTCGGTGATTCTGTGAATATGATTAATAGTGAATATTAATTAAATATATTAAATAATATGCCACTCTATGGGCAGATTTACTTATTGTTAAAACTATTGAAAGTGAATTAATTGTGATTACCTTTATTTTATATTTAATAAGGCGTTTTAAATATAATATATTGTACAAAATTTCTATTATATTATTTCATTAGTATTGAAAATGTAAATTTGCAAATAATACTCCACCTCATTATTCATATTGCATTACAGATCCTCGTCAATAAATAAACCCTATTTTACTTTTTATACAGATATTATTTATTGAATAAATAAATAAATTCCTACCTTCTTCATCTGGAGGTTTTGCTTTTTTGTGCATAGAAATCACACATGGCCCTTTGGCTAAAGACCACGAAGGCACTGGTGCTTCCTCCCTCTTAATGGGCTCTAGGATGTTTCTTCTAGACCTCAACACGCTCGGCATATCATTCCTTGATTCCTTTTCTGTATTTGGTAACTTCACTCCGTTCTCATATGGCAGTACTAATGGAACACCGTTCGCGATTGGCAACACAGACGGCAAATTAACGTTTTCATGTGGCAACACAGATTTAGCTTTCTCTTGTGGCAACACGTTATCGATTTTCTTCATTTGATTTTCAACTGTAAATATTTCTCTGTTCTCGTTTAGAACCGGGTTAATATCGTCAGATGTATTAGTATCTGTACTATCTTGTTGAACGAGTCGGTTTTTTGGTGACAAAGAGTCGATTCGTTTCGGTACACCATTCAGTTTCGGGGTATCATGTTCGAGTGGCAACGGCGGAGCTGAAGCCATATATTGATTGTACATATTCCCAATAAGTTCTTCCGTACGTCTGTCGACAAGGCGTTAATAATTAGTTAATGTGAACAGCGTTACTACAAGAGGAATGTTCGATTTAATCCAATACATTTATTTCAAGAAAAAATTAATAATGAAAAAAAGTACAATCTGATATAGAACCACCTCCTTTTCTAAGGAGACTAGAAATGAGGATGTTGTTAAAAAATAAGAAAGAGTAAGATTGAGAAGAATACAATTTGTATATTTCCAAATGGCGGTATTTGGAGATGGTCTTTTTTTTGTTTTTACTATTCTGTATACGAGAAGTACATTACAATATATATGTTCTCTTTTGGTATATTTAGAGTTAATTTTAAAACTATTCCGATTTCTATTTACCTGGTTAACGGAATTATAACAGTCTGTGCGGTTCCATTGCTGGGATGGTATGCATTATGGCCAAAACTGTCCAACGCTGTGTTGCCAGTCACCTAAAATTGACAAATTAATATTAAAATGAAATCTATTTATCTTAAATAATAAAAATAAAAAATACTACTATAATGCTTATACAAAGCTCGTGTTTTTATTTGACGATTTTGTAATTTATCGTGGCACGACACGACACGTTTATTCATTAACGTCCACAATATCAACATGAAGTTATATCGGATCGGATATTGGGAAATACAGGCCACATATATCGTTTACTTTTAATATTATTATCTACCAAATTCAAAATAGACACATCTTTCTATTATTCTCTTTGGCTCCCCTTAACAACCCTAGTTTTCTATGTTTCCTTAATTAATATAGTACATATATTTCCATTCCTGAGGGTCTACCATGAAATGAAATCCCGAATTTTCGAACTCAATGTAGTGTTTTTATGCTTAACGCCTCAATGCCATCGCGATCTTTTTTAGCGGGTGCAGAGGTGAAAAAGGCCACGTCCACGCTGATATGGTCAAGGTCATATACAGATGAAGCGCCTTAAATTTGTTTTTCGTTCGGTCCCGAAATTTTGGAAAACATATCATGATGGGTTCTTTCTGGTTTCCTTTGCCGCCCACGATTATCGTTGACGGTAAATATTGAACGTCTTTCGGTTTTGTATTAATCGTAACGATAAAATCGTGTCATTTCATACTACGATATAACAGCGCCAATAAATGAAAGATTTTTTGTAAGTTTCATCAATTATACAAATAATACCGCACAATGCGGTTTCAGAGGAACCTCCTGCCGCGAACACTCAGGTTGTGGAATGATCTTCGTACCGAGGCTTTTCTTAGAGACTACAGCTTGGAGTTCAAAAGTCAGCAATGCGCGCATGACATTCCTGGTAATACAGGTGTCTATAGACTACGGTAACCCCGTTTATCATCAGGCGGGCCGTATGCTTGTATGCCACCATAGTAATATAAAAAAATAAACAATTTCACCTCTTTACAATATTAAAAGGTACAGATTTATATGTTTACCTCCATAACTCCTATTTGTGTGGTACGGACATGATATGGGAAGTTCTTATTTGCAAACACAGGTAGTGTCAATAGCTGAAAAATAAAATACCATAAGATTAAATCTGATTTGAATAAAGTTACATATCGTATGTTCCTAAAATTTACTGCAAAAAAATATTAAAAATTGATAACTAAGAGAAAGAATGCAAGCAAGAACACCTTTTCAATTATTTTATACACTATATTCACTGGAAGATGTGCAATAACTTCCTATGCCACTGCGTTAGGTTGACTGGAAGAAATCTCTTTTAGAGATAAGTTCGCCATTGCTAACATTGTTATTAACTTATTGTTGTTACTGTATGTTTTAGTGTAATAAAGAATATATATAATAACAAATCCTAAGTAATGGAATAAATACAAAGCAATGATAATGATTTGCCGTGTGGTCCCGGCATAGAATGAGCCGTCTTTTTCTTTCCCCGTGGGTATCGTAAAAAAACGATTAAGGGAACTCACGGTCAAGGGATAAGCAACAGGGTCCCTCTTAAACAACACTAAAGACTAACTAAGGTTGCCAAGCGTGGCAACTATTGGCAACCCGCCCCCCCTCCCCCTTCATAGGGGGAAGCCTATGTTTAGCAGTGAACAGTTAATGGCTGATATGATGATAAGCACAGTAAAATATAAATTATAATATAAACAGCCATTGAGTATCTCTGCACCTAACATCCTAAAGGCTGATTGATAGAGAATGTCTATAGCAATAAGTCCATCCTTTGTACCACATTTTTTTTATCAATAGAGTTTAAATAAATAAAAAAAAATGACAAAAGAAAATAGCGAATATCTGATAAGGCTACATACCAAAAACATGATGTGTCCACTAAATGTAATGAAGAGTAACACAGCAGTCACGACGCTCTCTCTCACCCATTTGTCTGTAAAATTACATTCAAATATTTACACATTCTGTATTTTCTGTATTTCTGTATTTTTTTCTGTATTCTGTATTTAAATACAGAAAATAAGAAACACTGATATTAGGAAGAAAATCAAAATAACAGATGCTCTTCAGTATAGTATGAAACAGAAGTGGAGATGGGTCACATAGTGAGGTACAAAGATAAAAGGTGGACTCTCCAAACAACAAAATGGCGAGGTCCAGGAGGAAAAAGAAATGTTGGAAGGCAAAGAAAGAGATGGGCAGATGACATAATAAAGACAATAGGAAAAAACTGGACAAATATTGCTATAGATAAGGAGAAGTGGAAAAAGATGAAGGAGGCTTTTACCCTTGGGGACCACTGAAGTGGATAAAAAGCTATAGTAATAATAATAATTTACACATTTATATACATCAATAATTTAAATTAATTTTAAGACTGTTTAATGCAAATAAACTTCATGTATTATATTCAAAGATAAAATTATTGAGGTCTCATCACTTTTGCCGCAATAGTCCAAATATTATATAATTATATAATATTCTGATTGACTGATATCGAAATAATTAGCATCCTTTTAAGAAAACATTCTACCAATGAATCTTTCAGGGATCAATTTAAACAATTTTATTAATTAATCTTACCTATGTATGAGTTGGCTGTGAGTATGAACAGTGCCCCAGCGTGGAACCAGAGAGTGCCACAAATAAAAAATGGACAGTAGAACATATTCTGCAAATAAATTAAAATTAATGTAGAAATAATAATTTATTGGCAAGTTTCAAATCTTGACTAAGTGATTAGCGGTATCAATTAACGAAATTGAGGTTCGCCTCTGGCCAGCAATCAAACGATATATCAACTAAATCAGGTGATGGTACATTTTTAATAGCCCTACGGGTGAGAGAAGGGCCAATTTAACCACATAGGGTGGAATTGACTTGTTATTAATGGAATCTAACAGATCCATTGCTAGCAATATACCCTGTCATAATCGTAATTCGTAATAAATCATAATTCGGGGGGAAAGGGGTTATTAGTAATGGAGACTAAGAATCCCATTGCTAGTAATATACCCAATCAGGTCGCCCTCCTCGTGGTTCCCCCTGGAAACTATCATGATTATTTCCAGATGAATTCATCATGATGGGCTAACTGGCCTGTTTTCATTCTCATCGATCATCCTTCACTGGTGCTCCGCCAGCATATTCTGTTAGTGCAGGCGGGGCTACCATTCCATTTTCATCCAATAAAAAAAAAACCATGTTAATTCTGTGGAATTTATCACGATGGGCTACCCTGGTTTGCTTTCATCCTCACCTATCATTTCTCACTGGTGCCCCGCCAGCATGTACCGATAGCACAGCTTGATAGATTATCATACCATGGATAAAATATCCATAAAAATAAAACCCAGTCAAACACAAAGCAAACTTGTAGTTTCATTACCTTTAATTCAAATCATCACGAGACGCACTCATTATTTAAGAAAAAAAAGCAAATTGTACACAAGTGTAGGTAAAAATTATCTGTACTGCTTGTATTAAAAATGAGTAAGGCCTGTATTAAAAAAGAGTTATACCTTCTCCGGATATTTCTTGACAGTGAAGAATGTGGAATAAGCGAACATACACCACGCAAGTATTCGCAGCACTATCAGACCGTACCCCGCCGGGCTCTCGTACAGATACAGCACCTCGCCAGGGTCGAAAGCCTGCAGACATACCGTAAAGGCATAGTATGTATTTATCATTGTATTTCGCTTTCTAGAATGGGATATATCAATAAAATTACAGGGTACGTAAGCACGACACGATAGTCCTCAGGAATGACAACGCACAAGAGACACCGAAGGCATCACAATATTTATTAATTTAAACTTTAACGCACTGTGAAATTCTATGCACATTAGGCGGATTTAACACTGGACGGTGTTCTCTACCAGACAATCAGCAGACAAACCAAGAAATAAGTAAGTTGACCACATAATATAAATAATTAGACAAAATATTCTGCAATGAGTAAATAAAAACATTTCAAACCCAGCAGTATTCATTTCGATTGCTTGGGTACCTCTGTCCCATTCGTGTTTCAACCGTGAAGCAGTTGTGTTTGCATAGCTATGTTTCGGTTTTTATGTTAATTTACTGGGTACAAAAGAATAACACCTGAGTCCTCAGGAATGGCAACGCATGGGGGGTATCATGGGCGAAACAGTATACTCTGTTATGTCAATGGTACTGCTCATGTCTATAGGCGACGGTTACCACTTTCCACCAGGTGGGCCGTCAGCTTGTTTGCCATTCTAAGTTGTATAAAAAAAAAACTTATAAACGTAAACAAGTCTATTTGCATGTTTGTCTTATTCATGTGTATAAGCGACAGTTACCACCTTCCAACAGGTAGGCCGTCAGTTTGTTTGACATTCTAAGTATCATAAAATATTAAAAATAAGCAAACAAACATAGGGTGATGGTAAGTGATATTGTAGCGTCATTCGTGCGTCGACGTACTTTGTAGCATGCATATCTTGAGTCATATATAGTACCCAGTATTCACTGCCATGTTAAAACCCAAACTCGAGCACTGAAATTATTTTATACATTTTTAAATACATTTATACAAACATTTTAACTAATTTCTAAATAAAAGCACCTAAAAATACGTACAAGTACGTACGTACATACGTAAAATAAAAAGTACGTGTAAAGTTATTCCAACACTCAACTTTGGAAAATGAAATGACAAGTGGATCACTTATCAATTAATTTTTGTTTTGATTTTAAGCCCTAAGCAGAAATTCTTGAGTTTATACATCCCGATTTTAGTTTCAAGCAAAACCTGTGAAATCAGATCTAAAAAACCTAAAACCACTTAAGTCTTAATTTATTGATTCTACTACCCTACTAATATAAAACAACCTTCAAGTACTCAAGGTTGACTGTAAGACACTTCCTTCAAGGGAAAAGTCCGCCTGTGTACCTTGTTATTTTCTTGACAACCTGATATTTATTTAAACTTTAATGCATAGTGTAAATGTATGTGTAATTCGCAGACTTAACACCAGATGGTATTTTTACTAGTCAACCATTGGGCAAACAGAAACATAGGTAAGTGCACCACTTACCTATTCAAGAATTAAAGAAACATAATCAATACTTAACGTATTCGTACATTATAAATATCTAATATAAAAATATGATATGTATAATAAGTATGAATCCTAGATTATATAGATAGAGTGTCTCCATAGAAATGCTTCGAGAAAAACGGGTCAACTTCTTCATACACTTTTGCGTAATAAATAGTTACGAGTGTTACCTTTATAACTTCTATATTTATTTTGTCTTATAACTTCTGCATCTTTTTAATGCGTAAACATTCATTTTATTTATTAAATATATCAAGATACATTTTATGCGTAACTATATAGAACACTGATAAAAAAAAGAGTCAGCTAATTTGACAATTAGCTGACAAAAAGTTGACTCGTTTTTGAGATTCGAAGCTCTATCTATATAATCTAAGTTACGAATGTACAATAAAGTAAATATACAAACAAATAAAAACCTTAAATAAAATTTAACTAACCTTAGCTTGGTACACAAACAGAACTATGTAAGTGACAATATAACAGCACATGAAGATGGTTAGTTTAACAGTGAACGCAACTTTGAGCCGGCCCCGGGTAATTGTGTATCCTTTTGCCATCAGAATAAGTAGCAGCAAAAATGTGGTCTCTGATACACCGCAGAAGAATTGTCCTAAAAGAGAATTTAATTTTAGACATAGATATCGTCATCTTTCTACCCCTATCTCAATTATTTGGGGTCGATGTGATATATTTTTATTTATATCACCCAAGGCTTTAGCTTTTGGTTTGGAGTATGCTACCTACCTGATGTTGGGAGGGAGGGATTGTTAATAACTACCAGTTCTATTACAAGCAATATGCACTGTCAGGTCGATCTCCACGTGATCCTCCCTGGAAACGATCGTGCTGAATTCCAAGTGTAACTATTCATTACAATGGGCTGACTGATTTGCCTTTTCATCCTCACCTATCATCCCTCACTGGCGCCCCGCCAGCGTATACCTTTAGCACAAGCAGGGTTACCATTCCATTATCATCCATTAAAACAAAAACCTGCCTAATTTCAACCTTCCATGAGAATGCATAGAGGAATGAATTTATGAAAAAGTTGGGGGATGTTGGAAGTGAATAAAAGGAGTTGGTGAAAATAAAGGATTTATGGAGAAAAGAGAAAGAGGAAACACTGCAGTTGCGGAAAGAATACTCATCAGATACTACTGTGCTTCAGATATAGTCAAACCTAAATTATAAGATAATTATCCGCTTTAAATTCAACGTTTCTATAAATATATTATGCGATATTTTCGCTGTGGACTAGTTTTAACAATTTTTAATATTATAGAATTTAAAAATTCTACACTAAATGGCACTACACACACACGCACAAACAAATGCATGCACGCACGCAAGCAAGCACGCGTACTCACACGCACACATACACACCAATTTCTTGGTCCTCAAGCTAGGAAACTCTATGCTATGAAAAAATAGACAACAAACATTCACAGAATACATAAATCTCAAAACTTACCAAAAACTTTTGCATTGTCACTACCAACGCCGTTAACAGCGTACCGTATGTATGCTAAACTCTGCAATACCACTCCAATGTGTTGCGCCACTATGGATATTAGGAAGAGTTTGTAAGTGGAGTGAAGAAGATGCCGAGACTTGAGTTCAACACTGCACATCACTACTGCGATCATCACTATTACGTAAGCAAATGTGTAAGCTAGCAACACTGGGAGTACGTCTGAAAAAATTAAAATACATACAAATTTTATATACACAACATCTTTTTTATAATAAATTAAAATAGCTGCCAAACCGCGCTTATGCATGAGTGTAAGCTAAAAGGATACCAGCAGATTTTAACACTATTTGACCGGCCACTATGAAAGTATTAGTAGTAAAAATAATAAAAGCATGACTATCAAAGCCACCGCAATAAAACAGTAATCAATTATTTAAAACCTCGCCCTCCTTACAGAAAACAATTTAAAATGTATTTTTAAAAAATGGATAGATGCTGTACTAATTAATAAAATTATAGAATAATACGCTGATAAGCAATCAGTTATAAACTTACAAAACTCGTCAGCAGAAAAGTGTTCATGCCAGAAATCACCATCTGGGCCATTTGTCATCAGAAATTTGTAGTGTACATCCAAACCCTAAAATTGTAATACAATATATCAAATGTGTTTCAATCCTATATTTTACTTATTTTACCATTAATAAGCTTTTGTTCATGATTAGCATTTTATAATAATTAATATCTGTCAATTTTTATCTGAATCGGTCAAAGACTTAGAAAACAAGCAAGCATCAGCAGTACTTCCGAACTGATATGACATTATAACCTTCAAGAAAAGAGCATATTCCTTTTTAAAAGACCGGCAGCACATTTGCAATGCCGTTGGTGTTGTGAGTGATCATGGGCGGCGGTAGTCACTTACCATCAGGTGAGCCACATGCTCGTTTGCCCCGTGTGTTGTAAAAAAAAATAGATTTGTTTCATATATAATAAGACTTGTATTGGTTGTATTGCATTGTATATAAAAGTTTTTTAACAAATAGATACTTGAAAATTTCTATTTTCATATAAATTTTTATAACTGGTAACATTACAACGGACACTATTGTGTACGTACCTTAGGGCTGTCACAGTTACTTATTGCTATGAACCACCACCTTTCTCTAGCAGATCTAAACCGCCTAGAGTTATGGCAGGATACGACAATTTTCTCAACATTATTGTTCTTATTGTCATTCCTTTGACTGTTGCTGGAGGCTTGGTTGGACGCGAGCCGACGACGATGATAATGCTCGTACAGTTCAAAAGTAGATCGCTTTATTTTGTGCTGCAAAATTTGAGTGCATTTTAATACAAAAATCTTAAATTACTAATATAATAAAAATATAACTGCATGATGTCACAATTATAAAAATAGGTAAATAGAGAATCATGCTATTGATACTTAAGATAGAATATATACTTACATTAACACCGTTATCGTTATCAAATAATATCTCTACATCTTTAAGATTTTCAAATTGACTGTCATTTCTATCCGTTCCCACACTCTCCCAGAGATCTTCCTCTGGCAACACTGCTGTAGAATTTAAGTCGTCCGTCGGCAGTATTTCGAACCACGTAGTGGAATTTGAGTCGATTATAGAAGTTTTTGTTTTCGGCGTGGTAGTTTTCAAGAATTGGTCATAATAAGCCGGATCAAGGGGATGTTCTATTTTTGTGCTGTTTTTCCTTTTTGCTGTCGGATTCTTTGTTGTTGGTGATGGGGCATTCGTTGTCGTCGTTGTTGTGCTATTAAATACATTATTATTGGTTATAATATATAAAGATTATCTTTGTTTAATAAAAGTGTGTATAAAATAGGTATATACCTGCTTACACAGATTACAGTAATCATAAAAATATTTCAACAATATAATTAATAATCTACCTTTTTTCGGCAGGCATTTCCTTATTTGCTTTTCTGATGATGCAACCAGAAAACTCTGTGTCCGGATACCAGTAAGACAGTTTTATCATTTGGTTTTGACCAGCCTTATTGAGAACTGCCTCACGTTCTCTACATGTCTGGAAATAATTTATTTTTAAAATATCATATAAAGAAATATAATAAAATATAACATGGGATAAAAATACATAATAATTCTATATTAATATTTCTGACGATCACATAGATAAAAAAAAATTGTGTAGTTTTCGAGGACTGAAAGCAATTTACTACCAAAGCTAAGGTTTGCAGACACATCGGGATTTAACTGTCATATAAAAGATCCTCTCACCTTGCTACTGTGGTAGACGGCAGGCCATTGGCTGTCATCGTCATAATACAACAAAAGATTGGGTATACCCATGTCTTTATCATACTCTATCAAATATTCGAACTGGCCATCTAGTGATAGGAAACAGAAGCGCGCCAGGAAAGCCCAATTCTGAAACATTAAAAACTATATTGTAAGTTTAACCACAACGACATTAATTGCTCTTTTTACTGTTTAGAATGACAAATTGTTCAAAATGACAAGCCCTGATGGTTCAATAACCTAAAAGTGATAACGATCGCCTATACGAATAGCAAAATAAATCTCTCAGAATATACCATCCTGTACCTATCCTATGAAATGTCCTCAGTGCGTAGTCCCGACATAGAATGGGCCACCTCTTTCTTACCTGTGAGTATACTAAGAGGCGACAAGAGAACTAAATATCAAATGAAAGACAGCAACGTCCTTCTTAAAATATCACTGAAGCGTGGTAACTACTAGCAAAATTCTCTTTTTGGGGGAGGCCTATGTTCAGCAATAGACAGTTAACGGTTGTTATAATAATAAAAAAAAAATCTATGAAAAAAAAACATATTATATAACATATTGGTATCTATCAAAAGTAATGTTTTTTTTTTCAGCTTGGCCTATATATGCTAGGACGGATGGATGGATTTCTTTTTCATAGAAAAACTATTAAATGGATTTAAAAGAAACTTGGTACACTGATATGTTATATCCTAACTTAGAACATAGGGGGGAAAGGGATTGTTAGTAATGGAGACTGAGAATCCCATTGCTAGCAATATACCCAACCAGGTCGGCCTCCTCGCGGTTCTCCCTGGAAACTATCAAGGTTAATTTCTGATGAATTCATCATGATGGACTAACTGGCCTGTTTTCATTCTCATCTATCACCCTTCACTGATGCTCCGCCAGCGTATTCCGTTAGCGCAGGCGGGGTTACATACCATTTTCACCCGTCAAAAAAAACTTAGAACATAGGACACTTTATGTTATATAAATACTGATAAATACGGACGAAGCCGTAGGATACAACTAGAAGAAAAATATTTTTTATTTTAAATATGTTAAAAATGTATCTTAAAGTCAACAAGATACATTACTTTTTAGTTTCTCTTTTTTTTACTAATAACTAACGATCCAACCCGGCTTTGAACGAGTAGACACAATTTTCGAAAATCAATACATATAAAAAGCGTTCACGCTCACTTTTTATTTTTATCCGAGCAATAAGTGCTTTATATTATTCCCAAATTCGTGTATAATATAGTATATATCATATATGTGTAAGTATATTTGTTATTCATATATATTTATTCGTTTATATATGTAATTTTAGTATGTATGTATATCAATAATTAGTAGTACCGCATTCGAGTATTCTGACACTTCCCTATGGTTGACTGGAAGAGAATGCTTTTAGCATTAAGTCCGCCATGTACACATATTTGTACTAATGAATAAATAAATAAATAAATAATAAAAAAAGTTTCAGCTAATTTAATTGATCGGTTATTTTATAGTATTTTATATGTGATTCTTTAGATTGATATAACTTTTTTATTTATTAATCGATTAAAAGAAGCAAGCACTAAATGTTAAGTGGAACAAACTGCCACGCAATAGTGAAAAACCGCATTGAAATCAGCTAAGACGTTTCTGAAATTAGCGTGCACAAACGTACAGACAAAGAGAAAAACAGACAAAAATTCTAAAAATCATTGCTTGGGTTCTATTACGTTCATTAAGCATCCCTATAATAGATTTCCTTATATATCTTCCGTGTATAGGCAGCGACCAGCATTGTTTGATTGATGATTGATCGCCCATGATACCCCCCATGCGTTGCCATTCCTAAGGACTTAGATGTTATTCCTCTGTACCCAGTAAATTCACGATATATCCTACCCTTCAAACCGAAACACAGCCATGCAAACACAACTGCTTCACGGTTGAAACACGAATGGGACAGAGGTACCCAAGCAATCGACTTTTGTACAGTCTCCCTCTGGTTATATATGGTAGGTAGTTAAAAAATTACCTCCTTAGTGTTGATGTTACCCTCAACCCATTTGCAGCTGACGCTCCCTAGCAACGTCTCCAATATGCACAGGATCAAACAACAGCTTGCCAACCGAGGGAACATATTGATTTATGTTCCCGATTGCCTTGAGTTCACTGGAATAAAAAAATAAACATTGGTTATATTCAGATACTTAGTAATTTACTACCGATCCAACTCAGCTTCGCATAAGTAGACAGAATTTTCGAAAATCAATACATATAATAAAAAAAAAATTCAGCCAATTCAACTGATCGATTATTTTATAGCATTTTATATGTGATTCTTTAGATTGATATAACTTTTTTATTTATAAACCGATTAAAATAATACAAACATTAAATGTTAAGTGGAGCAAACCGCAACGCATTAGTGAAACCGCATCCAAATCGGTTAAGCCGTTTCTGAGATTAGCGTGTACAAACGTACAAACAGACAAAAAAATCTAAAAATTATTTAGAAATATTATAAAATAAAGCGTCAATTTAATACATATATATACATATATATATATATACATATATATATATATATATATATATATATATATATATATATATATATATATATATATATATACATATATATATATTCAAGGGATGGGAAGCAGCGTGCCTTTTAAAATATATCCAAAGCCTAATTGGGGTTGCCCTCTGGCAAATGCTCATAAAACCCCTCTATACGATGATACATCCAAAATAAGAATAGTACACTGATTATTTTGCCTAGTAACTTTTTTAACAATTTTATATTATACTGTAGAATTTTTTTGATTATACGAGTACTAAAGAGTCAACGAAATTCCGATCAGCAGAGTAAAATAAGTAAAACGTAAAACCTTCCGAGTCCTAAATCCCTAGTCGCTTTTCCTTGACCTACAAAAATTATTACTACAAACATGAATTAGGCGCATAAGTGCTCTAATCACTTTAACTTTCGTATTGCTTCACATAAATGCCGCCCTAGATTCAATTTCCGGCAATTTTTTTTTTAAATTAGTATGGAACATAACATAATATACACTCATTTATTATTTTCTTACGGATAGCTGGCGATAATAAAATACGTTATCATATATTTAGAGATTTACTACTGTAATTGTTAGTATTAACAGTTCGACTGTTAATAGAATAAATTATAATAGAATTAAATGTTTATACATATCTCTCAATAATTGAAATAATGTCTTTACAAAGAACCAAAACGTTAACTACGAAATAAGATTGGAATAATACTATCGTTGGAATAATAAAATTATTGCAGCAGATGATTATGAGGTCCTTTCTGCTTGTTTTTTTTTTTTTCATCTATAGGAGAGAAATATTTTACAAGAAATTCCACGTAAAAGTCGTAACATAAAAATAAAATAAAAGAACATTTAAAACTACGACGCACATTTCCCAACTTATTATTAAACTCATTATGTATTAATACCATTGGCTTGTAACTAAATAGATAAGATTTAATTTTAAAAATCACTCACCCATCTTTTCTCCATTACATGTTAACGAACACAGATTCAAAACGACCGCACTTGTCTTGACATATCTATATAATATTGCGTAATTAACTGTTTATTTAGAATATTAAATGTAATTATCGTCTTTAATTAATGAGCATTTGTTTTGAAGTAAGAATTGTTGTGAATATTGTGTTGCTATAGCAACGCGTCTAATAATTTGTACCTTCCACAGTACGTACTCTATCTACAATTTTACACCATGTAATTATTGAAATACCGAGCTTTTTAAGATAACTTTTTAGGTGACCTCAAAATTGAGATTTTCAATTGCAAGCGAATAGAGTAGCTTCTTTATTGTATATACTGCGAAATATTCACTAATTTTGTACCAGTTTGGATAATTCTATATGTATTTGTCTGTATCTATTCCCTGATTGGTCCATATTATTTTTAACGTGATTAAAGACTGTTTTTTGCAATACAAATTCTCAAACTTTTCTTTTATAACTAATTACAAATAAAAACTAAGTAATTTATGATTTTAATCTACAAAAAAACCATCTTCAGAAATGGCCTTTTTGTATGTGGTTTTGTACAATAATAATTTTATACACGATGTATCTTTTCCATTAAAATATAATCGGTTCATAGTCTGGGCAAACTATGAACGTAACACACAAAAAAAGATCTCTTATTCTTCTTGGTAGATGAAAATGACATCTCCACCAGTGCTGTCGGTATATGCTGGCGGGGCACCACAGTTGTATCAGAGGATGAAAGCAGGTCAGTTGGCCCATTGTGACGGATTCAACGAGAAATAATCACATTGGTTTCTAGGGGGTAGATCGCTGAAGATGGAACCGCGTGGAGGTTGACCTGAAAAGGTATAAAGCTAAGAATGGGATTGTTAAAACCCATAACTAATAATCTATTTCGCCGGTCATTTGACTCTTCACTCATCCATTGTGTTAAAATCAGGACTGTTAAAAATGCGTTAACTTCACTCCGACCAAGATCTTTTTTATACACAACTTAGAATGGCAAACAAACTGACGGCCCACCTGATGGAAAGTAGTAACCGTCGCCTATAGACCTAAACAGTACCATGGACATAACAGAGTATGCTGTTTCGCCCATGATACCCCGCATGCGTTGCCATTCCTGAGGACTCAGATGTTATTCCTCTGTACCCTGTAAATTCATGCCATATCCCACCCTTCAAACCGAAACACAGCCATGCAAACACAACTGCTTTACGGTTGAAACACGAATGGGACACCCGAGGCGAGAGGTACCCAAGCAAACGACTTTTATACAAAATCTCCCACTGGTAAATCTCTTGTTAACGAAAAAGAGGGCATACCTTTAACTAAGATTTCCGTTACACAAATACAAACACGTGTTTCTATTAATTACATTTATATATTTTCCTATAATATAAACATTTAAAAATAACTTCCGCTTACGTTACTTTACAGCCATTTCGTAATCTAAATATAAACATGAATTTCCAATTGGTAATGCCTTAAAGGAGGTTAACGCCGTAAGACTAGACTGGTCTGTGTTCTCTGTCAAAATCGACAAATACGTTTGAGTTAACAATATTCAGCAACTTCCAAAGCAAAATGAGATATAGACAGATGCCAAATTACTACTGTATTAGCTCAATACGGCCCTTTTCATTTATTGATATTACTTCGATTGAAAAACATTTAATAATACACATTTGCAAATTTCATTAAAACCGGGCAGTTTCAGAAGTTAACGTGATCTGACATCGTGACACCATGGATTTCTCATATAGGTACTTCCTTTTACGTAGTATGAACACAGCCGTCTTACGGTATGAACTCTCCTAAGATATGTTAAAAATAATAAACAAAATTAAACATAACATGAATTAATTGCATAGCCAAAACGAGTGCTTCAATATAACACCAAATAAATAGCACTAATCCTCTTCGTAAAGTATAACATTGTATATCACAAAGAACTGTGACTTTTTTTTAATCCTTAACTAAATTACACAAGATGCGATATGAAAAGTATAATATAAAATAATATTCGAAATCAAGTTTACAAGAAACTGAACAACTTTCCCCATTGAAGTATTTATCTATAGAAAGCAGTACCGGCTTTATCGGGCAGCGTCTAGAAGCACCAAAAGTAGGCGAAGTCTAAAAAAGGAGTCAAAGTGTGAGAGAAGCGAGAGAAGATCATAGGATTGATAAAGGATCACATTAAATTCGACTTCGGAATCAACAATGCCCTGATGATAATAAAGAAAAGACCATCATCAGGCAAGGCGCCAAGTGCCGTCAATATTCAGGGCATGTTGATAAAATGTGTTAACTTTTTTTTTAGTAGTTGGAGGGAGTGATCAAAATCCTACCCAGAAGTGTCAAGTAGGCCAAGGCCAGCCCTGATAGGTAGTATATTAGACGGCGAACATCTCGAGAGATTGATACGCATGGTTATACTCTACTATCAGACTACTCGCCATGGAGAATCCACTCCCAGACCATAGAACTTAGTGGTATACAGCGCGTATACAGAGAAATTTCAAGGCGTGGACACTCAGGTTATAAACTGAGCTCCCTGTCGAAGTTTTCCTATAATACTGAAGCACGAGGTTCTTAAAAATTCCAAAACGTTTCAAGGTCGGCAACGCGAACGAGTACTGCAAGTATGCATAGTCAACGGTAACCACTCATCATCGGTCAGATTGTAACTTTGTTACTTCAACGTTAAAAAAAAAATGTTCCTTGGTCGAAATATAAAAACTATTTTTGAATGTTTCGTACGAAATAAAAAACGTGAGTCATAAATGTTACGTTATGTTAAATGTTCAAGTTATATTTTTATATTCAGATCTGTTGGGGGGAATTGTTAAGACAGTTGTTTAGTTTCACGTTACACAGTACCTAATATTTCATCCACAAATTCAATATTTAACATTTTTTTATTTATTTCTTTATATCAGGCAAACATAATAAGATTTATGATTGTTATACCCTATCATTATATATTTTTATATATGCTAAAAAAAAATCAGTATTGGTGAAGTCCGATTTACACTACTATATTTCCAATAAAGTATTTGACGAGAATAATTCTTAATATATCTAACAAGAAAAACAAATGAGACAAATCATATATAGTCGTTTCATAATATTTAGAACGTATATTGAAAATTAAAATCAAGTTACAACAGTTTAAAAAGCTTACTGATATTCATTTGATAGCTTACTATCGCCGATAGATGGCGTATCAAAGATGTAAAATATCGATTCACAGACATAGATATTAAATAATAAGCACAAATTGCATTATAAATAGTATAATAGACCAAATATAAAAATATGAATTCAATTATACATTTACCTAAAATATATATGGAAAATAATTATACATCAGTAGCATGGGGGGAGAGATCATAAACAGTGTAATAAACACAGAAACAATAATAGAAAAACAGATAAAACAATTGTCTCATTTACTAATTTAAAATATGAATATAATTACTACTTCATTGATATCTATATAGATTTAATCTATGTCTGTGCGTCAAGGGTGATATTTTAGTATCGAGTAGCCAATTTAAAACGCTTATAATTTCGAGCTGGTCGTCCTAACATATTACGAAACAAAAAATATTTCAGTATTGGTCCACTTTCGACGCTTACAACATAATCGGTAATGTGATATAACAGAACCTGTATTATTTTTAATATATACATTTATTTTAGTTCTATTTTAATGATATAGAACCGGAACTTAGATTACTAAAACATAAATGACAATGTCATAAAAACCCGACTAAACTTTCAAGTCAATAACTTAAATAAATATTAACTCGAAAGAAATATTTCAGAATCTTTCAGGTGAGCCTTTTCATATGATACCCATATATGAGGGCTATCTTTTTTGTTTACACTTCGACATAATAGCATTTTTTTTTAAATCTACATTTAAGAATCTCGAAACATACTAGGTTAAATTGTTTAACCTAATATATTTTAAAATAACATTTACCTTTATATACAGTAAAACTTGACTGTCAAAAAATCCATGTAATTCCAGCGATATCTATGGTAAATGATTGAAATCTAAGCAGCTGCTTAAATAATATGAAAGTACAAATATTAGTACATGCATGCGTGTGAATAACAACTCTTGCTATCAAGTAAAAACTTTTACTAAAGATATAATGAATATTTAAATGTTATCATACAGTTTTTATTCCATTTATTAATCTAACCGGAATGACCGCACCGTACATATGACCTCTTAGATATTTATATACATTCTTACATTAATAATAGATAAATAACAAAACGTAATGTTCATCCTTATAATATATGACATACGAATAACTTGACTGTACTAAGCTACAAATACTTACACTTGACAGTCTTTCGAAAGGGATAGACTAGCGCAGACGACCGACGGTAATAATAATGTAGCGGTTGTTAATTTTGAGAGGGACATCAAATGAAGGGATAGCTTAACTGACACTTATGCATCATCGTCATTTACTATTTATTATACTATATATACTATTATCAACTACCTTTTTCTTACATAAAATATGAAAGAAAACAAATTTCGAATTTTTTTCAAAGTAGTAAAAATCCACTCCTAAGTTCATTTTATAAATTAGCTCTACAGAGAACCGAACCTTGGAACTTATTTATGTAAAACAACGTTCTTGAAAAACAATCATAACATTTCTGAGTGTGACATTTTCTTGTAACTTCTTTTTACTATTCTTTTGCAAGAAACAATAAAAAATATCAATCTATTTTAATCGATAGTCTGCGCTAGACCAAATATCACTATCATAAACAAATAGATACACCCCAATATGTTTTTTAAACGTTCTTTATAAAGATCTATTTTCACCAAAGCGGGAGAAAAGAACCTGAAGATACATTCTGTTTTCACACTGTCTTTTACCAAGTGTCTATGATCTCTTTACACATTCTAAATCAACTATAGTCACCAATATTGAGATTACTAAAATTATTTAAAAATAAGCATAATTTTAAAATAATTAAGATATAACAAAATAATCAACCTCCTTATCTGTGATACCTCACTTGATGAGTGAATAAACTTTCACTTCTATCTTACATATGGAAGGTAGTAAGAATATGACGTATTTCTTTTTTTTCAATAACATTAATATCTTTAAAGATATTAAATAATTATCTATTCATGTTTATATCAACATTCAATTATAAAAATCTCAGCGGTGATCATGATGAATCTCAAATTAATGTGGTGATGAAAATGGTAGGTAATATTCTTACTATCCTACTGATTTCTGATTGATTTTCTCAAATGAACCTCAAGATACAAGTGTATAATATATTTGATAAGCTTCTGACTTTATAAAATAGTAAATTTAAAACTGAAACACTCATTTTTTATATTTTGATTGCACCTCTTAAACGTGAAATATATTTTCCACTTTATTAATCCATTAATATTGTCAATGTTGCCATTGATAAAAATTCTACCAAATTGGTAATTTCCCGCTTTGATGGACGTTAGCCCTAGCATCTGTTGAGACGGATGTATAATCTCACTGGCTGTCCTTAAGGATCTGAAGCGATTTCCGAAACAGCTCCTGCTGCGCGCGCGCATGTTTGATCTCTAGTTCTGCCAGATCAATTAGACTGTAAACAAATTACATTTTTCATTACTTTTTTTATTGAGTTTATACAATGATTTTTTTAGAACATAAAAACTTAGAAAATAACTAAAAAAATGTTCCAAATACAATGACAACATACATAGGCATTTCACTAAATCGAACCATTTAAGAAGAATGAAGTGATTAAAAGAATAAGTTGGCTAACGTTTGTCATTTGCGCATAAGTGTATGCAAATATTACAATGGTGTCAATTAGCATCATCTCTAATCTGCATCATACTTTATCTTTTCATTATAATATCTTTTTAGGTCGAGGCCCAAAATTGAAGAACGGAAACATACATAATACATACAGACTTCATTTTTTGTATTACTGATAAAGTCTGATCCACTAAAAGCGACTACAAAAACTGACAATATAAAGCTTGTGTCTTACCTCTTTCTGAAAGCGGCAACGCGACGTGTACGAAAATCAATGAGCTCCTCACGAGCGCGGGCGGAGAGTTGCTCGAATCGAGCGCACGCGTCCGCTTGCGCTTGCTCGGCCTGTTGCAAACGAATATAGAAATGTTGTATATATTTGTTACTAAAATAAAAATATTCAATTGTTTTTAAAAGTAGAAAGCATCACTATATCAAAAACGTAAAATGGGTAATACCCATTATAGATACAATCGCAATATATATTTGTATAACAATATAACTCTCAAACGAATGGACCATGTACCGCAATCGAAATGATTTTTATTTTAAAGCGTCGAGATGGTTCTTTACTATGTTTGGTGCAAATCAAATGAATCCACTTCCGCCAGTTACACAAACAAAAGTAATTAGTTAATAATACATATTCTTAATTAAAGAGACTATTCGAGACCGTCAATAACGGAAGTGCAACTTTGTACTTTTCAACAATAAACAAACAGTAAGCTTTACATAAAATCTTAATTCAATCACCAGCATTAACTGAACATGATACGACTTTTTTTACAACTGTTTCTGGGGTAAGCCAAGACCAAATAATCGAGTTTATCAAATTAATTTTTAGGTCATGAATGAAGTATTTACAAAAAAAAAAAAAACTACATATATTATTGAAAATATTTTAGACCGACTTTTTTTTAAATCGCTAATCGCTGGCAATCAAACTAAGGATTAAGCGTGCATACCTCTTGTACCTCCAGTGGCTGGGTGTAGGCATAAAACGAAATCGTGTTTTTGAACATTACAACGTATAGAAAACACACATCAGTTATAATTACGTGCTCGCCTATGAATTAATTATTTTATTTGCTTTAGTGTATCCACACTAATATTAATGTTGCAGTTGTATGTCATCGTGTTTGTCATATTTTGGCGACTAAACTTATTCAACCACAATTTTAAAAGCTTGAAACCCATAAATGAATATAAGATTTTTTCCAATACATGATAATGGAATAATAACCGAGCCTACGCTAAAGGTATACGCCAGCGGAATACCAGTGAGGATCTCCGTACCGTAATGGTTTGGCTAAACTATTAAATAAAAATTATAATTATAGAGACAATTTAAAGATAGAGTACCTTAGAATCAACCCCTTCGAGAGATAAGGGAATAATTGAATGAATGAATAAAATAGTTTATAACAAGATGGATTACTATCCCAAATTACTTATATTATACAAAATAAAACATCTTACAGCATGGACATCTTTATTTTTTGCCCTGGCCTTCTCCAGATTCCTGTTGGCCGCTTCATATGCCGCCAGACATCTGAAAACATGTAACATGAGAGTTACACTTCACCTACATGAATTTACAATGAGTAAAGCGACAGTGGTAAAATGTGTAAATGAATAAAAATATTCCTATAATAATTTTTATGTTACCAAAAACTTACAAAGAATCAGGTTATGAAATGAGCTCCCTGTCGAAGTTTTTCCAAAAGACTACAATATGGGGTTCTTCAAAAGTGGGTAAAGAGATTCGACAACATGCACATACTGTCGCTGATATTGCAGGTGTTCATAGACTCCAGTAACCGCTTACCATCAGGTGGGCCGAATGCTTGTTTACTAACTCCATGGTATAAAAAAACTAAAAAGGAGAGGAGGGAGGAGACTTACCTCAGTCTCCTGACGAGCACAGCCTTAGCAGCATGAGCATCGCGCATGTAGTAACGCAATGTGTCCGCCAGCTTTAGATCCTGGTCTGACGCCATACGACCTTCGATCTTCTGCAATCAGTATAAGATATACATTAAATAGTCAAATAACTAGTGCAATCTCTGATCTAAAATGGATAACGTATTTATACTCTTTAGTTAGAAACCATAAGGAACAGTGTCCCAACAGGGGAGCATTTAACTTACTTGCCATTCTAAAATTATTCATAATAAATTAAAGGAAATCGTAACCAGCAAGCGACGCGCTAGTTCAATATTAAATTTAAAAAACGGACGCGCATTTTAAATTAAATCTTTTTTTAAAAAACTAATATCAGATTACATATTCCTAAGATTTTATTCTGTAATATTATATTACTTTGTATTGTATACTTGACTACATTAGATGGGACACGGAATGCATCTAAATTATATCAAGAAATAATTAAGAAACTGATTCCTACACTTGTTTTAGTTTGATCAATTTGTTGTTGATATAAGGTAATGTCTCACCCGGCACTTGTCAAAGGTGTCGGCGGCGCGCGTAAGGAACCTCTCAGTAGGCGGCTGCTCGCGGGACGCTAGCTGCGTCAGGCATGACGACAGCTTGATATGAGCGTCCGCCACCTCTATCGTACACAAACATAATCCTTTGTTTAATAATAAATTCATTTACTATAACGATGTCATTATAGATCTTGCCTAAAGCGATATCGTTTAACATTTATAACGATTATATCTTTGATGTAATATATTTCATGATAAGACATCAGATAATCTTTTAATAAATATAAAACTTATTAAAAACACTTATTGAACAAAGCTTTTTAGACACAACATTTTGAGATTGGTCATAGACTCATCACTAATCAATATTTAAAAAAAAAAACATATATATATAATGCTATCTCGTATTTCAATGGTTAAAAGTTCGAATTCCTCACAACATAAATATTTGTTTGCATTCATAAGTATGTCTATTTGTACAGGGTATTTGTAAAAAATTAAATATGACTAAAACTTAAATATATTTTTCTGTTATAAAGTATCGGGAACTACTAGCACAAGAACTTAGTTTAAGATTACATAAATAGATAGCTACTCTTTATTGTTTCCTCCAAAAGATTACAATAGTAAACTTATTATAAACATAAATAAATATAAATAATAGTTGGTACCTTCAACTGATTTCAAAACAGGAGTTCTCAGTTTAGATGTATTTTTTTTTATGTAAGTTTCCTCATATCTACGTCATTTATAAACCAATTTAAAAATTCCTTTTTTTAACTGATAGGAAATAGATTAGTTCCATTAAAATTCTATCTAAATCGTTTAAGTTTTTATATCAAAATAACTGGTAATACAAAAATATAATTCGATGTTTTTTTGTGAAACAAAATCTCAAAGCTACTCATCTACTTATCAACCACTGTCTACTGTTAAACATATCCTGTCTTTCCATAGACAATCAATTAAGCTTGACGCTAGTATCGTCTTTATATAAAATAAATTTACCCTTATGTTTGGACGTCATCCGATCAACTTTCGCGACTGCTTCCTTCAGATGCGAGTAGTACTCCTGTAGGAAAGCTGTTTCCTGTTCGAAGAAGTCGTTCACATCGCGAACAGTCGCTCCTAGGTATATCTCATCTGTGGTTGTTGTCATTGATCGCATCTACATAACAAAACAAAAACAAAACATACATATTGTTTGTAATTCGGTGATATTCACTGAAATAATTATAACATTATTATAGTAAAAATCAAATCAATGTTATAATCCTAATCTTTATATATAAAATTATATTATGGGTATTTACCCAGATTTAAAATGCATGTTTAGTGGAGAGCAACACAGCCAAATGGTTTATTATACCAATTTAAAGATGCTGAAGATCGTAATTGTGTATATTTCGTACTAGCTTTTACCCATTTTTTTTTTTTTTTTTTTATGCAACTTAGAATGACAAACAAGCTGACGGCCCACCTGATGGAAAGTGGTAACCGTCGCCTATAGACATGAGCAGTACCATGGACATAGCAGACTATACTGTTTCACCCATGATACCCCCCATGCGTTGCCATTCCTGAGGACTCAGGTGTTATTCCTCTGTACCCTGTAAATTCACGCCATATCCCACCCTTCAAACCGAAACACAGTCATGCAAACACAACTGCTTCACGGTTGAAACACGAATGGGACAGAGGTGCCCAAGCAATCGACTTTTGTACAAAGTCTCCCTCTGGTGACTTCGTGCACGTGACCTAATTGATTCCCCACTCGTGCAAACTAATGAGTCATTATTACATTTTTATCTACAAAAGACTCAAATCATTAACATACCCTTTAAAAATCTGAAACTCACACAGAAAGAGTAGGTTCAATTCTACCCAATCACTGTTGATTTATCAAATAATGAAATAAGTGTTAATAAATATAAATTGAAATAGTACATACGAGGCCACCAATAAGGTCCATTTTGCCGCGAGGTTTAGCACACAGATCGTGTTCGTACTCCAGAAATACCCTTAAATGTGAGTCAGTACGAAAGACAGGGTGCGCTGCCAACCGCTGGAGGAAAACCTCGTGCATCGCTACTGTCTTCTTGAAAGTCGCCAAATACTCACTACAATGATATATTAGTTTATGATTATCTATATATGACACAAATAATAATTTTATTTTTTTATCGGTAAAAATACAATTTAAATAAAGAATGACCAAAGATAACATTTTCTTTATATTACGTTGGTGACAAACAAGCATACAGTCCGTCTGATAGTAAACGGAGTTGCCATAGTCAATAAAATAGATTTGGCACAACATAAAATAGATTTGGCACAACATAAAATAGATTTTGTCAAAATTCAAAAATTTTTGCCCAGTTATGTAAAAACTGTACTTTAAAAGATATAATTAACTTCTACTCACTCCTCTAGTTCTTCCTTCATTTTGGTGAACTCCTCGCGTGTGAGAGCACCCTCACCTTCGCCAAGGCGCTGCAGCTTCTCGCGAGAAGCGTCAAAGTCGGGACGAGGAGGTGCTGGTGGGATCTACACAAGAAAATCAATGTATAATTATGTGTAACAGTCTATTTTAACTAAATCCAATAAATTGTCTTAGAAGACAATGTTTTTTTTTAATGGATGACAATGAAATGATAACCCCGCCTGCGCTAACAGAATATGCTAGTGGGGCACCGGTGACGGATGATAGATGAGAATGAAAAAGCAGGTCAGTTAGCCTATTAAGATGAATACACGAGAACCATGTGGAGGTCAATCTCACAGAGTATATTGCTAGCAGTGGAACTGGTAATTACTAACAATTTCCCCTCCCTCATGCAATGTTAGGCATATCCAGAACCACTGCTTGTGGAACTCATACATTATGACACTTAGTACAATAAACAAGCAGACTGCACACTTGATAAATAATTTTATAATTGTCATATATATACATCATCAGCACCATGACTACCATTGTCATTCCTGAATCCTGATTAAAGCCATGCTTTATGCCTCTGTACACTGTTATTTCACTGGATGACCTTCAAACTGAAACACTACCGTGGAAGCACGTCTGCTTCACAGAACACAGATAGAGATACTCATATGTGACAGGGGAAGGAAGAAATTGTTAGTAAGGAGAAGTTAATCCTTAATGCTAGCAATATACCTCATCAGGTCGACCTCCATATGGTCTACCCTAGAAAGCATCATAGTTAATTCTGAATCAATTCACTTGAAATTCAGCACGATTGTTTGTTTCCAGGGGAGACCACATGGAGGTTGACCTTTTTGCGCATATTGCTAACAATGAGACTGGTAGTGTGCATTATTAACAACCCCCCCCCCCCCCCCCGGGAATTACAATTTCATTTTAACCCCATTAAAAAAAACATAATTGACAGATGACTTTTGTACAAAGCCTCCCTCCTCTGAAATATTAGCCTATTTTAAACAGAGAAATAATGAATAAATATTTACTTACAATGTATCCTGCATATTCCTCATTCTCTTCATATCTGTCATGCAACCATACAAACTCTTCATGTTGGCGAACCACTATAAACTCGGACTTCTGAAACTCTGGTAGAGTTGTTTTTGTATGTACTGTAAATTTCACCTTTTCCTTTTCACTAAGGGCATCTGAGATGTCTACCTGTAGAAAAATATAACTGATTAAATTAAATAATTATACATTAAAACTCCTCAAAACAATATAAGAATTTTTTCAATTTATTTTATAAGTAATAGATTCTTTTTTTTTTTGTTTAAACTTACTAAATATGAAAGTTATTAAAATAAAAAAAAAATAGTAGTTTTATTTCTTTATTAATTTCTCTTATTGGTACTCAATTCTTTTTTTTTAATGTAGTGATTTATCTTTTGTAAAATACTCTATGGAAAAGTTAAAGTTATTTTACTTAACTTTACAAATAACTAAATATTGACTTGTTACATCTGATATCTTACACAATGTAAACATGTATAATTGACTACATACCAACAAACTATTATCTGCTAGTGATATATTTTCATTAGGCTTTTTCTTATCCTGTTTAGGGTCACCCACAGGTGCCGGTTGTGATGATGGTACCGACAATGGATCATGGCTGGAGTCTTCCACACAGTCCTGTAAAACAAAAAACATATATTATTTTTATTAATCAATGTATATAAAAAAAAAAAAAATAACATATATTAGGCTATCATTCCAAGAAAGAAAATAACAATTAAATACAAAATAACAATCTTTTTAAATTGTTCTTCAATTACAATTTATAAAAAAAAAATAATAGATACAATGACATCATAAATAGCATATTAACAAGAACTATATAATTGATGACAGTATTCTTGAAAAGACCTATCCCTACAAGCAGCACTTTTTCATGCGCATGACAGATGATTCTGTTTTCAATAAAAAAAAATTGAGCCATAGGAGGGTACTGTGTGATGTCCATAGTACATATCTTATAAGTATTAGCTTATTTACTACTAGCTATAGCCTAAAAAATAAATCAATGATTGGCAACTTTATCAAAAAATCAGAAGAAAACTATAGTGTAAATGGCATTTATAATCTTTATCTCTTTTTATTAAGGACTCCAATACGTAATTGAATAAATTAAAAAAACAACAGAATATTAAACATTTTTATATTGATTTTGGATATGTCAATTAACTTATTCTAAAAATCTATTAGGTATAATAAAAAAGGGTATACTATTATAAAAATTCACTAGCGGCCCCTCTGATAATAACCATAACAAAGAATCAACCTTGAATTCAATAAGAAACTTGATTCAAACTTATTAGATGTTACTACCACGTCACTAAGTGTTTTTCATGTGAAACTAGATAAACAGCCCTTGAAAGGTTAATTAAATAATGAACAAAGAATATGAATCATTCTAAATAGATATTGAATATAGATTTCTTAATAAGAGCAGTGTATTGAACGTTAATAGAATGTGATTTCGGAGACGCCCCCCGGTTAACAAGTTTTTGTTAATAAAAAGATATAAAACTACATTGAAAGATAAAACTTACCATCATTTTTAAGTATAATGGCGAAGTAAATAATTAAAGAGGTAATAAGACAAGATACTTTAGATTGGGTACCTTTTGTAAAACAATAAATCAGTATCAAAAAATAAATTAGAAATCTTTAGCAACGTATTGTGTTGTAATGTTTGACAGTTAACATGACATTCGTGACTTGCACAGTGACACTGTATTGACTGACTTTGACAGTTTGTTTTTGCCTAACTTTGACAATCCAGTATATTAATGTAATTTAATGAATGGGGCCATCTCTTGTTCCTCATATGGGAAGGCGGGCTAGGTGAGGTAGGAGCCTCGGGCTCTACCCCATTGCACTAGGTTTCTTTTTTCCGCTTATTCTTCTTTCCGTTTTTTTAATAATATTTAAATTGTTGTTTTCTTTTCTTCCCTCTTCCCCGTTCCCAATAATGTTAAGGACCGACACAAGAAGTGTGTCGGCCCTCCCCCCACTACTGCGGGGAACTTAATTCCACACTAGGAACGGTAGAGAGGTGGGAAAGAGAGAAAAGAGAATAGGGAATAGAAAAGTGTCGTCGTATTAGACGACGAGGTGTCGCTATCGCTAGTTCTCCTGTGCGCAAGAGGTTCCTAAACGTGGGATGGCCGTCTGGCGGACGCGCGTGCAGCGGCGCTAGGCCTCTCAGGTGAAAATGGGGTCCGCCTTCGGCACGGGCGGACATTTTGCTCACCATGCCAACGACGAATTCCTTGACTGACGAAACCCTTAAGCCACGGGCGATGACGTCGTTGCGGACGTATCTACCCGTTCCCACGAACAAACGAAGAACGATGTTTTGCTGGGCTTGCAACCGGCGCCTTAATGTCGGAGAACACAGTGCATACGTAAGCATGCATTTAATAAAGCATGGGGGTATCATGGGCGAAACAGTATACTCTGTTATGTTCATGGTACTGCTCATATCTACAGGCGATGTTTACCACTTTTCATCAGGTGGGCCGTCAGCTTGTTTGCCATTGTATGTTCGCTATCGCTAAGTTGTATAAAAAATCTAAGGATTTATTATAAGTACATACTATAAAGAGAATCCAAGTTAATTTAAAGAATAAAAATACCTTAGTACAACAAAATTGACTTTTTAATTGTATGAACGCAACATAATTTTATTGATTTTTTTTTTTTTAGTACGTTTGTTCCGTTTGGAACAGGCTAAGGTCGGAGACCATGCTGCCTAGTCTTCAAAAAGATAATTTGTCTGGAATGTTTCTAATTTTATTGATTTTTTGACAAATTAACAAATGTGCTGCCATTATTTAAAATTATATTATGAGTTCGTAGTAAATGTTCATACATACAAAATATTTCAATATTTGTATTTTATTTGAAAATCACAGTAAAAATAGTTCACCTTAATTTTTATAGGGATGTAACGATTTTCTAATTCTATATTCATTTTATTCCTAGATTCAACTAATGTTTCTTAGTAAAGATTTTATGGTAGTATATTAAAATTCAGAAATTATAGTAGTAGTTTTTGAAAGCAAAAAGATGAAGTGGTTCCATTAATAAAAATTTGTTTTTCAAATATTTACTCGTAAATTTAGAATATATAAGTCAAAATGGGTACACAAAAGCCTGGAGAATGGGCCAATTCCCTCATAGCCCGTTTCGAGGAACAGGTAAGTTCTCAATATTCGTTTATTTTTATTGTAATATCGCACCCTTTTGCGTTATTTTTTATTCGCAAAATGTAAACAAATTTATACTTTTTTCTCTTCTTATTTTTAATTTCGTTTCGTAGAATATGTAAAAATAAATCCTTAATATAAATTTTTATTAAAATTACTATATATTAATATTCATTAATATTATTGCACTGAATAAGTACCTACTCATGAAAAAGATATTTATTTTTTTAATTCTCTACAGTATTCTTTAGTGAACGATTGATTTTTAATTATCCCATCGAATTATATATTTCTCCTTCCTGTCATATATATCAGACAACATAATACACTATTGAAATACTTTAAAAAAAAAAATTAATATTACTTAATGAAATTTTATATTTTTATGTCTTTTTTTTTTACTGTAATCTAAATGTATTTACTACCACTAACAAGATACCTTCACCAAATAGCTTCCATACAAGACTGGGGCACAGAATTTACACTCAAGAATTAATGAGGAGCAATGCAAGGCTTGCCTTGTGCAGATTAGTCGACACCGGTTCTCATTAGTCATAGCAGGTCTCACTAAAATATTACAGCGTGTTAATGAACAGGTAAGACTGCTTAATAATAGTTACAGTCTTTGACTGTCCTTATATATTATTTATAAAGTAACTGGCAGCGTCCATGAATTTATATTTATATCAGGAACATATTTATTTTACCAGAATAAAAAGTAGCCTCTATTCTCCTTCATGCAAAATGTATGTAAGAATGAATGAACTTTTAAAGCTCCAAAAAGTAATAACACATATGTTTTCACATTTATACATAAAGTAATATTTAAGAATTGGTAACAATATAAATATCTAGTAGAAATGTTAAAGTTTACATGGTAAAAAATTATTTCCGTTCTATTCTATTCTATATAGGAGAAGATAACATTACTTATTGACATAAATTTCTGCCACTTTGGCAGAGAACATACCCTTATAGGGTATTTCTGACAACAACATTAAAAATATCTATTAGAAATGTTATAATTTTAGTTTACATGATAAAAAAATATTTCCCTTCTATTCTCTTCAATATTGGAGAAGATAACATTACTTATTGACATAAATTTCTGCTACCATAACAGTAAACATACTCTCGTAGGGTATTTCTGACAGACTACAAATTTAAAAATAAATATTTTTCTTTTGAACTACAACACTTGAACATAAACAATTTGCTTTCATGATTATAAGAAAAAGGTATTCAAATAACAATATTATTTCAGTACCAACCTACTATATCTGCTACTGTGAACCGTGAGTCGGAGAAGAGTTATCATGACAGCTTGGTGATAGTGCTGGATACCCTTGAGATATGTCTCAGCTCACAGCCTAAAGATACTACCAAGTATGATGAGGCCATGAATGTTAAAATATTGCTGAGAGAGGTCTGCCAATTTATTGGTATGTATAAATAAATAATATACTTACAACTGTAATCCTGAAAAGGGTGGCCATTACTTGATTATTCCTGTGATCATAACTTTTTACTTATCTATATTTTGCAAAGTATACTTAAATCAAATGTTATCACATATTGGTTAATTTTGTTCATTAAGAGTATATCTCATTTATTTAATCATCCATTATTAAATTAATAAAATAATAAATAATTAAAAAAAATTTTTTTTTCAATAAAAAAAGTCACTAATGGTGTGCTTTTTTTCAGATATGCGCAATGAGAGTGTCGTAAGTAATACGCTATTGAGGCAGTTATCCAGTAAGGTGCTTTTTGCTCTCAGTCTTAATTTTTTCAATGCTGTCTTCAACAGAATCAGTGCCAGGTTACAGGTAAATATTGTACTTATTTTTTTTTAATATTAATAAATAATAAATAGCTCACAAATAGACGCACACTGCCATCTAGTAGAATTAAATGATAGACGTAAAATATAAGTATTAATTACCTATTGAATTAACTCCTATTTTTTGGGGTATATGGAAGCTGAAATAATAATGATGTTGAAAGGAAACTTGGATGGTATTAAAAGGTAAAACTATGCTAAAATTAAATGATGCCGATTTCAATTACTAGATAAATGTAAATATGAATTATTTATGTTCCGAATGACTACATCGCCACAGCATCAACATCGTCGTAGTGATTTTCGGTGCATTGTTTTAAAATAAAAATAATATAGTTTTGTTTCTGAACAGTTCATAGTATCTTATTTTTCGCATATGGGGTCAGCTAAGCCGATGCACGTCGACCCATACGGATCTTTTGTGCTTCCCCCTGCCTTATACCATTATTTCATAGATCCTATGGGTTACCCTAACGATATCCCGCGATTTAAGATATCTGTAGTACCCTGGTTCTGGATAAGTCGTTCCCAGTAGACTCATACTGATATAGGGTAACACACCCTATCGATACCCTGCGGTTTAAGATATCTTCATAGTATCATATTCGTATAGTAAAATCGTCTACAGATAATAGAAATAGTGTTTGTAATAGTTTACAGTTTTACCAAATAGAGACAGTGAGACCCCCTGTCTACCATGAAATAAATATGCTAATTTTCGAGCTCAATTTCGTGTTTTTGTTCGTAGTTCGTTCATGTGTTTGTTTATGATAGGCCGAAATAAATATAAGATTGTAAGTTATTCTCTTCAATTCACTCTCCTCCTCTTTTGAAGATAGAAAAAACAGAAAACTAGTACTCCTGCATCCTTATTCATTATTACAGAAAAATCTCATCTCATCGTTTTATTTCGTTCCTGTTTCACCCCACAGTTCTTCTCCACCATCCGCAATAGTCGAGTCATCGTTTCAGTCATGTCATTAGTAATCATGATCGTTGGTGCTCACGCATCTGGTCCTTCACGTTCACCCATGGTCTGCGTCTTCGACCGAAGCTCGTCGAAAAACGGTATACTATGTCGCTGTCGTACACAGGGTGCCGTTGTAGGGGAATAAGTTTGTCGTAAATTATCAGCGCTTCGGTGCAGACCGACCTGCTTTCCGATCTAGAAGGCAGCAAATACACACAACTTAAATTCGCCCCTACAACTATTCAGTATTCAGTATTTTATGTTTTTTGCAGGAATTATCGTCCAGCTCAGAAGAAAACCCCGATTATACTGATATAGAACTCATTCAACATATAAATGTCGATATTTTGAGGCTTATACGGCTTCTTACAGGTTAGATATAATATTTACTATAATTCTAGATTGTACTGAGAGACAGCAGTTTTTTTATTTCATTTCATTTATTTATTTTGTGATATATAGATGTGGATAACAATGAATGGTAATAGAAGATAAGTCCTCTATGATCAACCTCACACATCGAGGTATACAATTTTACAAATATATGAAAAAAAAAGAAACACAATAATGGCATTTAAAGTTTAATAAAGCATAGGGTTAAGGAAAATTATTACATTTATTTTTAAGAAAATCGTCAATTGAATAATATGTATATTTTATTTTTGAAATTTTTTTTTTGTTCTAGAATCCATACAAAAATTTAAATTATTAAGGAAATCAGCTCATATTGTGTTAGTGACTTCATTAGAGAAAGCAATTTGGAACTGGATGGACACATACCCCCAAGTAAGTATATAGTATACCTATATGCTCGTACATCATTTTCATCCACCTGGCCTTGACCACAATATTGTTCAATTTGCGACAGAGGGGAAAGAGATTGTTAGCAATACGGTAACATCTTAATTCCTAGCAATATACCCTATCGGATTGGCCTCCCTTTGGAAACAAATGTGGTTAATTTCAGCTGAATTCGTCATGATGTGCTAACTTGAATTCATCGGGGGGAAAGGGATTGTTAGCAATGGAGTTTGACAGCGCCATTACTAGCAATATGTCCTATTAGGTCGACCTCCACGTGGTTCCCCCTGGAAACCATCGTGAACAATTCTTGTTGCATTCGTTACGATGGGCTAACTGACCTGCTTCATCCTCACCTATCATCTTTCACTGGTGCCCCGTCGGTGTATACCGATAGCGCAGGCGGGGTTACCATTCCATTGTCATTGTATAAAAACAAATTGTGATTTATACCTATCTATTTTTATGAAAACGTTTATAATGGATGTTTATAACAGCAAAAATAATTATCTGTCTTTATACATGTATAATATACGTCGTATATGTGATGAAAGCTCAGTGTTCGTAACTCTTTTTCATGATGGAACTCTATGATATCCAATTAATCACAGATATAAAATCTGACAGAATGTTTCGTTTGCAGGAATTCGCAGAAGTCCAGTGTCGGCCTAATGAAGAATTAAGTAAATGCTGTGATACCCTTTTTGACATATTGCAAGACAGTTTCTCGGACAACAAAAAGTCTAGGGTAGCCATGTGGCCCTTGCAGATCATGCTTCTTGTTTTAAACCCTGTTAGTATAGATATAAGATTCATTATGCGATCTTCAAATGTTTATCTGTACGTTTTGCCAATAATTATCTTTTTTTTATACAAAATCAAAAAAAATATTCATAATATCAACTGGCAATAGCTACTTATTAAATCATATTCAATGCAAAAACAAGGTTGACTCAAAATTACTACAAATAGTTGAAAATCTAGGCTGCTCATAGTCTTTATATGCCCTTAATCTTGTCCGTCTATCTCTCTGTAACATATACATACAACATATATTCAAACTACCTTTCTCTGTTATATTTTTACAATTATTATTATTTTAGCCGTTAACTGTAAACTGCTGGATATAAGACTTCCCTATAAGGACAGTTTTGCCAGTAGTTGTCTTGTTTGGCAGACGGCTTGGCAACCGTATTTAAGCTCTAAAAAGAGATGTTTTAAAAGGGACGCTGCTGCCCATCCCTCGACTATAAGTTCCCTAAGTTTGGTGGTTCATTCTATGCTGGGACACACGGCGTATTGCCTTTTAGTAAAGGAATATGGTTGTAATTATAGTCAAAGGTCCAAATATATACAATAAATAAATGTTATAATATCTTACAGGGGAATATATAGTCATTATAAGGTGGTATAGTCTGGTATTGTTAGAGTCATATATCGACAAATTGAACAATGTAATCTACGGTAATACATAAGCAAGCATGTCTTGAACTACAAGTGTTGGGATGTCTGATGGGGCATACAGTGTTATATCTCTAAGTAAATTATGTATAATTTTTTTTGCAGAAAGTTCTAGAAGAAATAGTAAATGCGGACAGCGGTGCACCTTGTAGTCCACGACATACAAAGAAGAAACACTTCATAGACTCGGTCAAGAGGGGACTGAGTGAGTATTTATTACAGATATTAGCAGTATTCATTTTTAAGGTTTCGTTCCTTAGAATTTAAAAATATCTATTGTCCATTTATCTGTCAGTTCGTTACGATACCTACTCTAAAGTCAACATATTGAAATATATATTTAACATACTAAGATGTATGTAGTCTTATATTGTAAATAAGCCATTCGCAAATATTTATAATGGTTTAATTCTTTCTTGAAATTTGAATTGTGATAAACACGATCGGTTTTTTCCTTCAGGTCCTCAGAATAATTCAAAACAGATGACAGAAGCGGCTGTAGTGACTTGCGTGAAACTCTGCAAGGCGTCCACATACTTAAACATTGCTGATTCGGGCAATGTCACTTTCGTGCTAGTCAAATCAGTTATAAATGATCTCAAGGTGAGATTTGTTTATAATATGTAATAAAATTAAAAATGTAGTATGTATGTAAGATATAGTTGTGTTAACTAAACTTACGTAATCGATGTATATTAAAATTGAGACTTTTTGATTTCTATACATTAAATTTTTTTTATACAACTTAAAATGACAAACAAGCTGTCTTGTCTGTAGGCGACAGTTACCACTTTCCATCGGGTGGGCCGTCAGCTTGTTTGCCATTCTAAGTGTATAAAAAAAAATGGGCTCTTATAGCCCCATTGCTAGTAGTATACTTTATCAGATTTATATCTACGCAATTCCCTCTGGAAACCATCATGGTTAATAGTGGGATTCGTCACGATAAGTTAATAGCTTGCTTTCATCCTCACCAGGATAGGTGGTGCCCCACCAGCGTATACAGATTGCACAGGTCGGGTTACCATTTTATTATCACTCATTAAAAAAAAAGAGTACATAGTATATACAAGATCTGCTGTTATTTTTTTTTTGTTAGATGATAATGAATTGGTAACTCCGCCTGCGTTGACGGGATACGCTGGCGGAGCACCAGTGAAGGGTGATCGATGAGAATGAAACAGGCCAGTTAGCCCATCATGATGAATTCATCGGGAATTAATCATTATAGTTTCCAGGGGGAACCGCGTGGAGGTCGACCTGGTTAGGCATATTGCTAGCAATGGGATTTTTAGTCTCCATTACTAATAATCCCTTCCCCCCAAATCTGCTGAGTTTAGAACTAAGAAGCGTTGTATTATGCGTCCAGAGGTATTTATTATATTATTAAATGAAAATATGTTTCTTTCAGTCACTCCTTTTCAATCCATCCAAGTCGTACATACGAGGCAACCTCATCTCAGGATATTCAGAACTGGACCTAATGACGGATTGTTTCGTATCTCTGTTCAGAATAATGCCACATAACAATGACGCGCTCAAAGTGTGTTTGAATCTTAACACGCACATATCCTATCATTATGTTATTGTGAACTCGCTATTGAGGTGAGTGGCTTCTTTATGTATTTTCACAGTTCCTTATAGAATAGAGAGTCATCATCATCATCTCCCTACCCTTATTCCAATTATTATTTGGGGTCAGCGTAATATGGTTTTATCTATATTACAAAAGGATTTAGCTTATAGTTTTACGACCGGCCGCCTGCCTGACGTCAACCCTCTTTGGGAAATATCTTATAGAATAGAGAGTATTACTTTTAAAATTTACGTGCATTTTTTAAACGCTGTTTATTTACATGTATTTTATGAACTTGTTATATTTATCGTTTTCGACAATTGTTTTGAAAATCGAATCAGGAAGTCTTCTTCAGGAGGAGTACCGCACTGCCTATCCTTATTATATATAATATTATATAAGAATTTTGTTTTAATTTAGTATTGTCTAATTTTGTGTTTCGTTTACTCGCATTTTATTTTGTGCAAATTCTAGTGGCTACCAAATTACTATTTAAGTATATAATTATGTATTATTTTAGCTGTTTGTTTGCCTTAAATAAATAAAAACAAATATGTAGACAAGAATAAGAATTGTTATTAAAGGCCTATAACATAATAAACTCTTTATTGTTCAGAAAATTAAAGTATATATGAAATAATGTAAGAGAATATGCAATTATAAAAGGCAATTTTATTCAGACAGCTAATTCTATTAATATAATAAATGCGAAAATTTGTAACAATGAATGGATTAATGGATGTTTCTTACTCTTTCACACAAAAACTACTGAGCGGATTTGAATGAAATTTGGTATATGAGTAGGTTATATCCTAACATAGCATGTAGGATATTTTATGTGCTGATTCACGTGGGTGAAGCCGCGAGATACAGCTAGTATTTTATAGTCTGATAGAGGTTTCATTTTTAGTTTTTCATCTCTTGCATTGAAATTATGCTTAGTTGCCTTAGATGGTTCTTACTTCTCTGAGATAAAAAATTCATAATCTATGTACAGGAACAAATAATTATTTTAATATTAAATATTATCAGTGTAATATCTAAGAAACATTTCGTCTTTTGTTGATGTGTTTTCTTGCCATCAATACAAGATACATACAAATATAAAATAAACAACTGTTTTTCAATTGACTTTAATTAATTTAATTTAATTAATAAGAAAAGAATATCAGAATCAGCTATAAACCGATTTGGGAAATTCTTTTTTTATCTGAAATGATATTTAATACACTTGCAGATTGTCTGCATAGAAATTTTATTGAAATCGGTTCAGTGGTTAATTGCAGTCAGTTTTCTTTTTGTTGACACAATATTAAACTTGTGGTAATGGATTAATGCCAAAATATGACTACTTATGTATATAGACCGGGATTTGTTCGCTGGATAAAAGTAGCCAATATTCATCTCCGTCTCGTATAGTATCTCTATACCTAATTTCATAGTAATTGGTTAAGCCATTAATGTGCTGAGGGGTAACAAACTCGCTTTCAAAGCCATGGTATGTGTAACTGTCTCCCCGCTGACGTTTTACCATTCCAATATAAACAGCACCAATTAAAATGCATAAAAAAATAGCACCAAATGTATTAAAAAATAGACTATTTATAGGCTTTTTTATAGGCATCGCTTTCCATCAGGTGAGATTGTGATTAATCGCAGGACCCTTCAATACTAAAAAAAAACTTTCACATTTATAGTAAGGAGTATAACACAACTGCATGTAATATTTCTTTTTTTTTTTAGGATTATAAAACAGCCTAGACTACCGTGGTGGCCACAAATAGAATTGTTATATCCAAGAGCGGCAGAACTCAGAGCTATGTTTACGGATACACTGAATAAAGCAACACAGGTATAAAGTAATATGTGTGGAATTATAACATATTATCTGTAGTGATACATTTGTTTTTTATTTAAGAATTTCCTCTTGTCTCAGTTAATTTCTAAACTAGTCGGACAACAACGTATTTAAAACGTGGATTATTTTTTTTAATTAACATTACATATATAACATTCTTTTATGATACCTTCTTATAACTTAAAAAAAATATTTAACACGATATACTATTGTTACGAATAAATTGAATTGAATTGTTACATTACAATTTATGATCCCAAAATGAACAACTTTATAACTATTTTTTAACTTTCAGGGTTACATAGTGCATACTCCACTCCGTATGATATCCCTGTCGCTGAAGTCCAAAGAAGTTCAATCCAAGTTTAACAAATCTGAAGAGATGCCGGCCTACAGGAACCTCTTGTTGTGTATGGTGAAGCTGATACATGCTGATCCTATGTTGATGCTAAGTGTAAGTTCGTTGGGTTTTATATAAAAATTGGCACTTCATCTAGGCCCGGATTGGTACGGGTAGATAGATAGGAAAACAAATATATATTTGTATTTTATATTAGCTTTAATTTAATAAACAAGTGTTTAATAATTTGGGTTATATTATTGTAATATTCTTAGAGATCTCTAATTTTTTATGAAATATATATACATACAATTTTCAAAATAATATATATCATAGCTAGAGACTACAATCCCAGGATTTCTCCCTCAGTCGCCTCTTACGAAACCCATGGGAAAGGAAGGTGTGGCCTATCCTATGCTGGGACCTCCCTGGCTAATATAATATATATACGTCGAATATGATACGATTGATTATAATCTACAGAACCCAGGACGCTCTGGTGTGGAGATACAATCGTCGACCACTGAACTCATCAACGGCCTAGTGTCATTGGTACACCAGACGGGCATGGGGGAGATCTCCCAAGAGGCGATGGACGCATTGCTTGCGCTGCACCGTCCCGACAGGGTGCATATGTGGAACCCTGAAGCGCCTCTGAACACATTCTGGGACATTAGGTAAGATTCTTTTAATATTATACTCTAGACTGGAGTGGTTAATCTCAAATCGATATCTATTTATTGTAGTTACAATATCTATGTAATGGTCCGATAATGGAAATATCAAATATTGAATATTTCCATTATATGTAATGATAAGAGAAATATAAATAGTGAGGGATTTTTTTTAATGTGTGATAATTGAATGATAACCCCGTCTACGTTATCGGTATACACTGGGGGGGGGGGGTACCAGTGAGGGATGATAGGTGACGATGAAAGCAGGTCAGTTAGCCCATCGTGACGAATTTCACTAGAATTAACCACGATGGTTTCCAGGGAGAACCGCGTGGAGGTTGATCTGTTAGGGTGTATTGCTAGCAATGAGTCAGTTAGACCCCATTACTAAAAATCCCTTTCCCCCAATAGTGAGGGATGATAGATGAGAATGAAAAAGCAGGGTAGTTATCCCATTATGATGAATACACCTGGAATTTAACACCATGGTTTCTAGGCGGCGCACACGTAGAGGTCGATCTGTCTAGGTGTATTACTAGCAATGCGACTAGTACTCTGCATTACTAACAATTCTAAGCAGATAGCAACATTCCGAATCCAGCAATCGAAGATAACGATTTAAAATTGATTGTAAACAAATGTATTAGAATAAAGAAAATTTGACTTTGGATCTGATGGCGCATGTCTCAAATGAAAGTAGCAGAATGCGCGCAAAATGTGCAGTTTAGTACCATACAGATACTGTTACGACTGATAGACAGTCTAATACCATTCACGGTGTACATTGTAATATTTATTTTATTTATTTATTTATACTTTTGCACACATTGAAAAATGTCTACAGGGCGGACTTAATGCCCGATGGCATTCTCTACCAGTCAACCGCAACGCCAAACAGAGAGAGAAAATGGCGGTGCACAGATTTAAGAAAATAGTAAATGAAATAAATATTTTAAAAGATAACAATTTATGATAAATAAACATACAAACATATAGAATAATATACTTATAAAAAATATACACACATAAATCACATACAATACATATATAAATAACCATACATATTATATACTAAATTAGAAAATATATAAATAATAACTAATTATATAACAGATTAAGGCTTTTCATTGTTGTGATAAATTGAAGTCATGTTCACGAAGGGACTTTTTTAAAATATATATTGTTTATACTTGTTTCTCGATTTGCCCAATGGTTGACTCGTAGAGAACATCGTCCGGTGTTAAGTCCGCCAAATGTACGTAGAATTTTACTGTGCATTAAAGTTTAAATAAATAAACAAATATTGATATAGTATAGACCGTTCCCGAGCATGACGCGCCCCTTGCTTCAGTTCGCAGGTCCTCTACAATATCAGTCAGAAGCTGATCCAGCGCCAGATCTGCAACTACCGCGAGGTGCTCCGCTGGCTGCGCGACATCCTGACTTGTCGAAATGAGTTTCTTGCCAAACATAAGGAGTATGCCAATGTTGGATCACAGATACCTATATGCAAACAAGCGCATATCAAACTTGAGGTACGTTTTCACATCAGCGCACGTAAAAGCGTATTATTTTAAATGTTTACATTGTATTATACAAGTGTAATTCACAGTGAAACTAAAACGTAACAAATATAAATTCGAACAAATCAAAACTAATGAAATTCGACTTTATAACATTGAGATAAGGTACACGCTATTTCTGGCACTCACACACATGGATTGAATGGTCAGTAACGTGAGAGCCATGGACAAGTGCACACGTGCATCATCTCTGTGTGCGGTGTTGGATGAAACCAGAGTATGGGGTATTTTTTATGAATGATAATGGATTGGTAATTCCGCCTGCGCTAATGGAACACCAGTGAGGGATGATAGGTGAGAATGAAAAGGAAGGTCAGTTAGCCTATCGTGATGAATACACCTAGAATTCAGCACGATGGTTTCCAGGGGGGACCACGCGGAGATCGACCTGACAGGGTATATTGCCTTTTATTGTCTATTTAATTACATAACACATAACTTTGCCCATACCAGGTGGTGTTCTTTATGTGTCTGTGGTCGATCGACACGGATGTGGTGCTGGTGGCGATGTCGTGCTTCGCGCTGCTCTGCCAGGAGGCTGACATACGATGCGGCTCCGACGAGATCACTACGCAGTGTCTGCTGCCCAACTACGCCGTCTTCCAAGAGATCGCGCACACGTCCACCGTGCTTACCACTGGTTAGTTACCATGAGTTATTCGACATATCACATCACTCCCCGGACACTTCAAACAAAAACGCCTCGACCCGTACTTGGCACAACTACAGAAACAATTAATGTATGTACAGGACCCAATGTGTGCATGTGTAGTTACGATTGGCGTAGAAAAATAGGGTTTGGGTTCTAATGCATATTTGAGAAGGGTGAGGTCAGATCTGAGCGGGCGGCAGAGAGTGTCTATAATGTACTTTAGTATTATTACTTTACTGTGCCTAAACCAAGCAGAGATCGTGTTATGGCTTAAATACAACTAATAGGTATGCTTAAGAACGTTCATACTTTAGCTTACCAAAGTGTGGCAACGTCGCAATTATCTGTCAACTTTCAAAAACAATTGAACTTTTTTTTAATGTTCCTGATCACTTTGAAATGTGTATGCTCCTATCAAAATAAACCATTAATCATAGTGTCCGTTAATAAAGTAAATTTTCCACTAAAATTTTTGCCTCATATTTTACTTCATTATTTTTCAAGTATATTTTTGCAAATCCAAATTTTCAGTGATAGTTACAGAAATATTATTGCAAGAGTAACGTTTTTAATTGAGGAACTCTTGTCTCTTTGTATTTGTATTTACATAAAAAAAAAAACAGACGAATTGCGTACTTCCTCCTTCTTTAAATAGTTAAAGTAACTTACGATTGAATTTATATTTACAAGCAGCCAGCCAGGATATAGGCAGAGGTTGTTTTTACAAAAATATTCACAGTAAGTAATCATATCGACATTTTTAATTACTAGCTGATGCCATTTTGACAAATACTGTAATCTATCATATTATTGTAATTTATTATCTATTTTTTTTTATTTAGGGTCTATTTTTTCTTATTATGATAAGAAGTAGCATGTTTCTCAAGTTCGAACAAACAATAGATATTTACAAAAATTCATTAAAATGTAGACGCAGTTTCGGAAATTAGTGTGAACGGACACAGGAATTTTATATATCAAGATATGCTATCGACAAGAATTTTACAGAACAGGCAGAGTGAACTAATTGTCAATGTTCTTTATTGTTATTATATCTTTATAATTAGTGAAGGGACTCTTTTTTTATTTTTTTATTTTTTGTATTTGGCGATTACGTCCAACAGAAAATTTAATTAGCTTAATTACGTTGTTGTTTTGTTTACGGTACAATCTTCAGGTTTTGATTTTAAACTTATTTGTCTTAGTATTATCTTTAATAAAGCAAGTTAGTTCTAGGTAATTTAATAGTAATAAAAGTTTGCACTTAATAATTAAATTATATTTAGTTAGATCAGAATTAATTTAATTATTATATGCTAACTTTTATTGTAATTATCAATCAAGATATATAGTAATGAAATAAAATGTGATCTTATTTGGTACATATTTGTAGGTTCGGCAGCGTTACTAAAACGAATAATGGCGTTACTGAGGAAGATTGAACACTGTGTGAATGGCGTGCAGCCTGTTTGGGAAGAAACATTCCGATGTTGGTAAGTGTAACAAATTATAACCGCTGTATTAATATGGGGCAGGGGGGCACACCCCCCAGGGAGAGGTCTATATTCAATAGTAGGGTGATGTCATGATCAATAAAGTAAAGAAAGCCAGAAGGACTGAGAAATATGGCACTGTTAAAGTACCCATTGAATTGTGCAAAATGTTTTATTTATCTTTGTTTAACAAAAAACTTTCTTATCTTATGTAATCTATGTATGTAACTAGTTAATTGAATATGAAGATATTTATTTACACTACAAAGTAATTAATTTTTTTTTTTTTTATTATTTTAATACTTATATTTGATTACAAAGATTCAGGTTCCAAACTCGTCCACATAAGATCAGTGCCTAATCTCAAATAATATCATTTTATAGGATGAGATATGCATGTCAAATTACTGGGTACTGCGGCTTAAGAGTTACTAGTCATAAGTCGACAGTGCGGGTGAATAATGTCTTTGATAACAAGCGCTTATAGCTTTCGGTAGTTGCTTACCATTAGGCAAATCGTATGCTTGATTGCCACCCACCTTATACATATTATAATTGGAAAATTATAATAAATGGAAAGTAATCATCATGTGATATCTTTTGTTTTTAGGGACTCACTATGCAAGCTCCTACAGAAATACCCCAAAGGGCAGGGCGACAAGATGGACGAGTGTCAGATGGAAGCGCTGCACAGAGCTGTCGCTAAACGCAGGGTCTCGCATCATACCAGCAGTGAACATGACTTTGAGGTCAGTACATTGAACTTGACCAACATATGGACTTCCACAAAATAATATTTATTTCAGTAACATATCTAGTCAATGGCGGTATAGTATTTTGTAGAAACATGGTTTTTGTTATACAAAAGGCATTGTTATATTCATGGCATCCATGGTCTGTAGGTGACGATTACCATGCCGTGATTAGATTATCAATCAGTTTGTTTAGTATATTTCTAATATAATTATTTAATGACTTGTATCTTTTGATATAATTTATCTATTGATTAAGATTCATTAAAAATAGTTTAAAAGTTACTATTATTCTCGAGAAAAATCTGACGAAGCAATTAAATAAAATTAAATATATTTTTTTAACTACTGTTACACATTACACTTACATCAATTTTGATACATAGGTCCAAGTTACTTATAACGAAAAGAGCATTTTTATGAATTCTATGCTACTCGTATAATTATTGATAGAGGCATATTGTAAGTAGTTGTACAATACTATAAATATTCATTTATTTCATTATATTGATACCATAGGCTTATTTAGGCTGTGTGGCTCATAGAATTAACCGTAGAAGCTTCACAAAGAAATATATTAGAGTACATATGCGCCTTTTTAAGATAAAATAATTACGCCAATGATTGATATTTCTACTAGATAATTACATAGATTATTAAAGCTTCATCGATTTTGAGTGTAGTGCCGAGTCTCGAATAACGTAATGATTACGATGTGGCGGTGTTCAGACGCAGGTCCAGGAGTGGGCGAACATCACGTCGTTCTTGTGCGCGCTAGGCGGCGTGTGCCTGCAGCGCCGCCCGCCGCCCGTCTGGCCGCATTTGCACGCGCACGGTCAGTCACCCGTATTCACCCAACTATTCATATGGGGGGAAAGGGATCGTTAGTAATGGGGTCTAACAGCCCCATTGCTGGCAATATACCTTATCAGGTCTACTTCAACGCAGTTATCCCTAGAAACCATCAGGGTTTAATTCTTACGGAATTTGTCACAATAGGGTATTTGACATGCTTCATCATCATCTATCATCCCTCACTGATATCTCGCCAACGTGTGCCGATAGCACAGGTGAGGTTACTATTTCATTTTTTCTATAAAAGAAACTAGTCATATTGCTAGATTAAGACATTTAAGAGCGTTCATAACAAGATATGGCAACGTCGCAGTTATCTGTCAATTTTCCAAAACAATTGAAGAATTTTCAATGTTCCTGACTGATTATTTAAAAAGTACTCTACCTAAGAACTAAAACGTTACTCATAGAATACATTGCATATAAATCTACCACTAAAAATTTTGCATCTATACTTTATTTATTGTTTTGAAACTTTTTAAATACTTTTTTGGTATCAAAATCCAAGTTTTCAGTGGCAGCTTAATAAGTATATTATCTCACTTTGTTATAATTTTTGTTACAGATTCACGTAAATATAACGTATTGGCGAACAGTTCACAAGAAGTGCAGTACTGTCCTGTCACACAGTGAGTATACTATTTTAATTTAAAAACATTCTTAAGGTTATTTTGAAAAGATTGCTTTCAGCAGTAAGGCCGCCTTACTGTACTTTTACAATTACATGTTACCTTTTTTATGTTGTACAATGCAAATAAAGTATTACTTCAGTCATTTATTCCTGGCACCATGTCCCATTAATTGAATACATGTAAGCAAATCTGCATATTAGTACTATAGATGGTTATACATTCAACTCGTCAGATTCATCGGCCAGCTTCTAAGGTTGTTGCTCTGCAGCAACGAACGCTTCGGTCAGCAGATACAGACTCACGTGAAGGAGCTGGTCGGTCACGAGATGTCGCCAGCGCTCTATCCCATACTCTTCGACCAGATCAAGGCGATAATTGACAAGTTCTTCGATCAGCAGCAACAGGTCAGTGTACATGGTCACCGGTGAAGATTATTGAAGTATTTTTTTTCTATGCCTGCTGTTATTGTTATTGCACTTGGAAGCATCTTTAATGACGATCATCATTATCATATCAGTCTTTAACCGTCCACTGCTGAACATAAGCCTCCCCCTTAGGAAGGTTTTGCTAGTAGTTACCACGCTTGGCATGCGGATTGGCAAACACAGTCAGACTTTAGAGATGTTTTAAGAGAGACTCTACTACCCATCCCTCGCCCTCCCTTAGTCGGTTTTTACGACACCCACGGGAAAAGAAGGTGTGGCATATTTTTTGCTGGCCATTTGTTTACATCTAAACAAAAGAAAGTCTATGTTAGTAAAAATAAAAGATATTTTATATACTAGATTTTATTATAATAATTTACACATTTTGACACATAATATTACATTTAAAAATTATTGTACTTACTAAACAATATGTAGTCACTTAGGAGTTTTATTATGTACTATTTAAATAAATAGCTTTTAATTTTTTTTTTTTGTAACAAGACCGAAAACCTTTAGTGCCAGAATTAATGAAACAGGCAATTACACTGTCAACAGGTGATGCTAACAGACATAAACACCCAGTTTGTGGAGCATACTATATTTATTATGAAGAGTATATTGGACAACAAGAAAAGTGGACAACCCTCGGAACATCTCAGTACCACCTCCATCGAAGGACTCATGCTGGCTATAGTCAGGTGTGTTGATTAGAAGACTTGTTTCTTTGATGTTTTTTTAATGAATGAAATGGTACTTCCCCGGCGCTGTTGGTTTACGCTGGCGACGTATCAATAAGGAATGATAGAAGGTCAAATTAGGTCACTATGCCCACTGTGCACGAATTTTCTAGGAATTAAACACGATGGAATGCAGAACCGTGTACATCTTACAGAAATGAAATTGGGGACGTTAGCCCAGTTAGATACGGGGACGGGAAAAGTAATGGGAGCTATCAGCCCCCCCATATTAGGTCAACCTCTCCGCAGTTTCCCCTGGAAACCATCGCGCTGAATTTCAGATATATTCATCACGATAGGCAAATTGAGTACCCCGCTAACGTATACATATAGCGCAGGTGAGGTTGCCATTTCCATTTTATCAAATTGTCATCTTTTAAAGAATTACCGTTAAAAAAAGTCCTTAATGCTACTATTATCCCCTTGTCCCTTAAATGTGGGAATTGAAACTGTATCTAATAGTAAACTATCCAACATAATTGAACGTAGTTCAAAATTTTAAAATAGTTTTTTATATTCAGGCTTATACTGTGTGACTATGTGTCTTTTCATTGCAGATATGTCCGACACTTAGACATGACGGTCTTGTCGGTACACATAAAGACAAAACTGTGCCAGGTCGTTGAGGCCATGATGAGGAGACGTGACGACCTCGCCTTCAGACAGGTACGCGAACTCGATACGGCTGTTCTCAATATATATATTTTTCCTATGAACAAATTATAAAAAAGCAAATTTCTTTTCTTTTTTTAAGTTCTATTTATAATAATAATAAAAAAAAAAAAATTATTCCTGCATATTATTTTTATGTGTGAATATCGTTGATTTTCATCAAATATCAGCTATAAAGCTGTTGCAAAAAAAAAATAGAAAAAAATAAGACAATTTGATAAATGTCTATATTTCAATATTTGTTACATATACAGGAAATGAAATTCCGCAACAAAATGGTGGAGTATGTGACAGATTGGGTACTAGGCACTAGTCACCAGATAGCGCCACCACTGCGTGCTGACGCGTCCTCTATCTCCAGGTAAGGTGGTTAACATATGCATGCAGGCTAAATACCAATATTTTTTTACTGCATCATTCCAATAAAGTGTCTTATCATTTAATTTTGTGCTTTTTTTTTTATTTGTCGTATAAAACATTTTGAAATGACAAGACAGCCAACGATTCGTATTCATATTCATATTTCTACGTCAAAATTGTGATAACGAGATTTTTTGCTGCGTAACATAATATACACCTGTGGTACTTCTTAAGACTCTGTGGCTTATAAGATTTAATTAACCATTAATGGACTTATGGAAAATTAACGGAAGCTAATAAGTCCTTTAACAATTTTTAATATTAACAGATTAACGGTCTTCTTCTCGGTTTCTTTTTTATATAATTTAGAATGGCAAACACGCTGTCGACCCACTTGATAAAAAGTAGTAACGTCGCCTATAAAGATGAAATGTTCCCAGTTTTACTAACAAAATGTATTACTACCAATATGCCATTACTAATAATAATTCACTTTTTCCAGTCAGCATATAATTTCTTAATCACAATATTCATTCAGGTATCTAGTATGTTGTCGAGAACTGGATCAAGCGTGTATGGAAGCAGTGGCAGCCCTACTCAAGGGGCTTCCTCTCCAACCCGAGGAGTCCGATAGGGGAGATCTCATGGAGGCCAAGAGTCAGCTTTTCCTCAAGTTTGTACTGAATTTCATCATTATTATAACAAACCTTTAATATCAGTCAATATTAGTTTTGAGAATGAGAGGAGGGGCAGTTAGGCTAAGGCCGATTCTGATCTCGATATTGATACTTACATTTTTTCGCTTTCTAATTTCTGCAGACTCGGTCATTTATAAATACTTATAAGTAATACAATAAGTGTGGTATTACATTAAAAGATAGAGTAAGAAACAGTGTGATTAGAGAGAAGTGTGGACTGAAAGACGATGTAGTGACAAAAATCGAAAAAGGAATGTTGCGTTGGTTTAGTCATTTGGAAAGGATAGATGAAAGAAGAATTACGAAAGAGATTTATGGAGCAAGAATGAATGGAGATGTCGGCAGGGGCCGCCCTAGACGGACGTATGTTGACCAAATAGGCGAAGTGCTGAAGAAGGGCCAAATTAAAAATACCCGTAACCGGCGAGCGTGTATGAAAAGATTGATGAATGTGAAAGAAGCGATAGAGGTTTGTTTGAATCGAAGTATTTGGCGTTCCATTGTTTCTGCCTATCCTAATGGGACACAGGCGTGGCAGATATGTATGTATGTATGTAAGTAATACAAAATATATCCAAATATGGAGTAGTTTTTAGCTATTTTTAACTGTTCGCTAGATACGAGTAAGTACTTAAGGAGTGAATAATACCTGATGACTAATACGGGGCAGTTGGACCGCACTACTAATATTGAATTGAACTTGTCCACAGATACTTCACACTGTTCATGAACCTATTAAACGATTGTAACGAAGTGGAACTGTCCGAGGGTCCGGGCCGGCTGGAGACGCTCCGCAACGCGACCATACAGGCCATGTCCAACCTGCTCAGCGCCAACATTGACTCCGGCCTCATGCATAGCATTGGTACCATTTATATTTGATTATCACATAGCGATTATTTTTAGCATCTGCATTATATGTCAGCTTTCAATTAAAAGACCACCTCCCATTAGACTATTCGCCACTAAGTCCAGTTTTAAAATTAATTTAAAAAAATTCTCAATTGAGAGACAAAAGTTAGACATTCCTGCAAGTTACCTCTATGTTCCTTTTGTCTGCTAGATAAACTGTCATATCTGTCTGTTTACTGTATGGATAATCTGGTAGTATTGTTTTATTGTTACCCTATTCCCTTTGACCGCAACCGAATATCAGTGCTTTGCTCTTTTGAGGGTGAAGCAATAAACTGAGTTGTGGCCATTTTGTATTGTTATGGCAGACGCACAAACGAAAAGTTGTATTTAGCTTTATGTGTTTTTTTAAATAATTTTTGTTATCTCACTTTTTATGTATGTCTATATATGTTGTAATTAGTGGGCTGTAAGTAATGCAAATAAATTATCTATCTATCTATTTATCTATTATCTGAATAACAAGATTAATAATACGACAGTAATTAATTAGTATTAATTAGTAGTATATTTTATTTTCATTATATGTGGTGCATATAAAGCATATTCTCTCTCTAGTCTACAACTATGTTTTTGAATTATTATATATATTTATTACTATCGAAAGACGGGCTTTTTCAGCTAAAAAAAACCTATGACACTGGGACCCTTCCATGATCTTTGTGTGATGTTACTTTTTTATTGGAATAACTATTGTCATCATACTGTCTGCTCGATAGTTAGTGGCCATCAAACCCCATGAATACAACAACAATTGTGACATAACTTGCACATTATTGACCCATGTGACATGAAGTTTAATCAATTGTACTGTTAGAAGCCATCCATTCAAACCGGAATACACACTATAGTTTCCGTTATGTGCATTCAATGATAGAGATAGATAGAATTTCTGTCTTATCTGTTTCTACAGATTACTGTATAAAATCGTATTGTGATTATAAACCCAAGAGAATCAACAGCCAGAATAAGGATATCTTTTGCACATATGTAATTTCCCCTGGAGTATCTCAACGATCAATATCTCCTTCTAGATCTGGGGTACCACAGAGACCTTCAAACCCGTGCTGCCTTCATGGAAGTATTGACCAAGATCCTGCAGCAAGGCACCGAATTCGACACATTAGCTGAGACAGTCCTGGCTGATCGGTTTGAACAACTAGTACAACTAGTCACTATGATATCGGACAAGGTAAGCTAATATGTATTAAAATAAGACGTAGCCCTAGATCTTACCATTGAATTCTACAGGTAGAAGACCTTTCAATATAACTTGGTTTTAATGAAAGATGAGCTAAAATATAATGAACTTAGTTAGCCACAACCTAGGGTTGCTAGGTAAAAATAGATTTTTTTTATTCAATTTAGAATGGCAAACAAGCTGACGGCTCACCTGATAGAAAGTGGTAACCGTCGCCTATAGACATGAGCAGAACCATGGACATAACAGAGTATACTGTTTCACCCATGATACCCTTCATGCGTTGTCATTCCTGAGGACTTAGGTGTTATTCCTCCGTACCTAGTTAATTCACGCTATATCCCACCCTTCAAACCGAAACACAGCCATGCCAACACAACTGCTTCACGGTTGAAACAATTTGAATTTAATCCTATTAATAAAGTCAAATAACAATAATTTTTCAACAAGGTTTTGTGTTGCAGGGTGAGCTGCCGATAGCGATGGCGCTCGCGAATGTAGTGAGTACATCCCAGATGGACGAGCTGGCGCGCGTGTTCGTCACGCTGTTCGACGCTAAGCACCTGCTTGCGCCGTTGCTATGGAACATCTTCTACCGGGAGGTGGAGGTGAGTGGCACACATAGACTCTTCTTCCACTGCTACTTCTTTAAAATACCAAAAATAACAATAAATTCTTCTACTAGTAGGTGAAAACTGAAAGTTTTTCTACTCTCTCTCACATAAAAGATATGGAAGTAAAAGACTCTCTTCCTCGAACAGTATCTCGGAACGCTACTGTAGAGTAAGTTTTGATAAAAGCTATTGTCGTTATGACTACAAGAGACAGACATATGAAATATGTTTTTATTTTTGAGTCAATGTATTAATTTGCAATACTAATTACACCTTGTAAGTCCCGGCATAGAATAAGCTACCCTTTCCTTTCCCGTATGTGTCGTATGATTCGAATAAGAACTTATGGTCGAGGGTTGGGCAGAAGCGTTCCTCTTAAAACGTCTCCAAAGCCTAACTGCGGTTGCTGCCATGCCTGCCAAGCGTGGCAACTACTGGCAAAACCCCCCAAGGGGGAGGCTTATGTTCAGCAGTGAACGGTTAAAAGCTGATATGATGATGATGGTATTGTATAGATTGCAATATCACTAAAATTGACAAAAAAAGTCGTAGGGCTTTACATTAAATGTTACTTTCACCTTTCTAGGTGTCAGACTGCATGCAGACTCTCTTCCGTGGCAACTCACTGGGCAGCAAGATTATGGCGTTTTGTTTCAAGATATACGGCTATGGCTATTTGCAAGCATTACTGGAACCTCTCATCTCCTCACTGCTGGATCAGGCTGAAGGACAACCTGAATTGAGCTTCGAAGTAGATCCAGCGAGGTTTGTACACATACTTCCTTCCTCATAGACGATATTGTGTTGTATCTAAGTAAGCATTTAACACGAAGTTGATTGTAGTTAAAACATGTCATTGTTACCTTTTTATGATATTCCAACCAACTTTAAAAATAATTAGATTCTCAATTTGGTTTTATTTTTTATGTTTGTTACTTCATAACTCCGTCAGTTATAAACCGATTTGAAAAATTATTTTTTATATGAAAATATATATTTTCATATAAAATTATTTTTTATATGAAAATATATATTTACAGATTAACCAATCTGTAAATATATATTTTCTACAGAAATTTTATTAAAATCGGTTCAGTCGTTTAGTTTTTACATCAAAATAACTGGTGGCAAACCACAATTGAAGTCTTTTTTATGGAATCAAATCTAATTATGTAGCTTGAAATGCCAAACAAGCTATCAACTCACTTCTTGGAAAATAATAATTGTCATTAGTAAACATGAATAAAGCTAGCTATAAACATCAGAGAATGCCCATAACTTTACCAAACTAAGATATTATACCTCCTAGTTTCGTAATATTGTTACCACATTGCACTATACTTCCCTTCCAGATTAGATCCAAATCAAGACATCGAGGTGAATAGATCAAACCTAATTGATCTAACGAAAGAAGTGTTTGACAGAATCGTCAATTCAGCTGACAAATTTCCTCCGCAACTTCGCAGCATGTGCCACTGTTTGTATCAGGTGAGTTTGACCTAATGGGAATAATTAAATTAAAAAAAAAATTGTATAAATTAAAATTGTAAGACTTTTATTGATGAATTCCGATGCAATACTATATGTTTGTATAATTTTAATTTACTAGACCTAGTACTTTTTGCTCAAAATTGAGAAATCAACCATGGCATTTACGTTTATGTGTGTACTACTATCTAATCATACCGCTATTTTTTAGTTACTAACTATATCCCGCGGCTTTGACTGCATGTAATGGGATAAAAATGCTACACATGTCAATCTAGTATTTGAATTATATACGTTATTGAGTTATATATAACAAACATATATATATATATATATATATATATATATATATATATATATCTTTATTGCACTTGTAAGTTACATATAAAATAATGTATTTATAAATGTTGTGAGCAAGTGTGGACTTATCTCTGACAGAGATCTCTTCCAGTCAACCCAGTACAGTGAGAAAGCATTTCGTTAGCGGGCAGCTGAAGTGCTACAACTATTAATACAACAAACTTTTATATTTATGAAAAACTGGACGAACAAATAATGAAGAAAGATAATGTCTTTTGTTTGTTATGCAAACTAATAGTAATGAAGATTTTGTCAGTACGCCAGTGTTATGTTGTATGCAGGTGCTGAGTAAGCGATTCGCGCAGTTCCCGCAAACGAGCGTGGGGGCCGTCGGCACTGTACTTTTCCTGCGGTTTATCAACCCCGCCATTGGTGAGTTCTTTGACTTCGCGGTCCTGTGTGTAAGTGAGACAGAGACAGAGAGAGAAATAGAGGGAGAAGAAGAGATTAATTGCATGAATGCGTTTGTCTGTGCAGCATGGATGCTTTTTATACAGGCATACGCTAAGAGAGACGTAAGAGTGCGTGTACGATATGAGTTTTTTGTAATGTACAGTTGTAGGTGTACATATAGATTCTGTGTTACTTGATTGTAGACGAGTATATTTAAAACTGTTTTTTTTTTTTAATAGTGTCACCCCAAGAAATGGGCATAGTCTCACGACCTGTACCGGCCCAAGTGAAACGAGGCTTGATGCTGATGTCCAAGATACTGCAAAATATAGCTAACCACGTGGAGTTCTCAAAAGAACAGCACATGTTGCCTTTCAACGACTTTTTGAGAGCTCACTTCGAAGCCGGCCGCAAGTATGTTGAAGTATATTTTATTGGGTTTACCAGCATTTTTCTTCGCATGACCGCGATATGTTGACTGACTGGAATAAAAATTATTAGCCTATTTTATTCTCCATACCGTACGGTACATGTATACCAAATTTAATAATGTTTCGTTGAGCCATTAAGGCGCCATGAGATAATAAACAGACAAACTCATTATCATATTTTAGCCACTGAGATACAGGCTCAGCCTAGTTCGGTGGCTAGTAGATGTAACTAGGTGTAAATTGTTATTAAATAATTATCAGTTATCAATTATATTTACAATATTGAGCCAAAATATTATTAGTAATTTATATATATATATATATATATATATATATATATATATATATATATATATCCTGCTAGCTTTTTATCCGCTATTTTGTCCGCGTAGATTTCAGAGATATGAAAATTTCAAGATGAAACACACCTCATTTTAAGTTAGGAAACGACCTTTACAGTCAGGAACACGACTGTAAAGGCTGTAAGCATTATGTATATTATACTCACATAAAATTATATTAGTAAAATACTATTACTAATATAATATATATTTATAATAATATTACAGCATAAGTCCATTTAGAGTTTTAGAGAATCATAAACCGAGTTTCCGTTACAGATTCTTCATCCAAATCGCGTCAGATTGCGAGAGTGTGGACCAAACGTCGCACAACCTGTCATTCATCAGCGATGCCAACGTTGTTGCTCTTCACCGCCTCCTCTGGAATCACCAGGAGCGTATAGGGGACTATTTGTCCTGTAGTCGCGACCACAAGGCCGTCGGGCGACGTCCCTTCGACAAGGTAATTTGTTAATTATTTTACATGCATTAAGATGAATGAATGAAATGGTTTTTAAGTATGAGATTGAGCAATTTTAAAAAAAGATAAGGGTTAAGTATTTTGTAATGCAATTTTTATAATTTTTTTTCTCTCGCATATAACGCATCGTAACATTTTTCTTAACCCCCACTCCCCCTCCCTAACAGTTACGTAACACTTAAGTGATCATTACTACCTAGAAATCATAACATTAACGAATACTTACAATGAAAACTAAATAAAAATGACGTACAATACAGTGGACAGATTCCCCGTAAAATACGAAAAGGGTTGCCAATTTGAGAGATCTTAATTCCTTAGTTATTTGAATAAATAAAAAAAAACAATGTTGCGTAACACGTTGTTTGAACCCTCCTCCCGCCCCTGTAACGAATCGTAACGTTTTACAAGATTATTGTTTTAACCCCAAATTGCGTTACGTAATACTTAAACGCCCTCAAACAATTGAACATTATAATTTTTTTCTGATTGACTATTAGTGATTGGTTAAGCCGTCATGGCGTTAAGGGGTAACAAAAATACAAACTCAAGTTCACTTTTATAATATTAATATAGATTAATTTTCGTATTATTTCACAAGATGGCGACGCTGCTTGCTTATTTGGGACCACCGGAGCACAAACCCGTGGAATCGTAAGTACCAAAATTTATAGACATTGCAATGCAACTTTTAATATATAACATATATATTCGTATCGTCTGTCGTCGATTGAGATAGGCAGAAATAATAGAACGCCAAATATAAACAAAATTCAAACAGCCCTTGTTTATCGCTCCTCCAAACGCTCATCGGTTACGAGTACTTTTAATTTGGCCATTCTTCAGTGCGTCGCCTTTTTGGTACGTTATACATTCGTCTAGGGCACCCCCTGACGATTCCATTCATTTGTGATCCATAAATGTCTTTCATAATTCTTCTCTCATAAATCCTCTCCAAATGGTCAAACCAACGCAAGATTTATTTAATGGTCTTTATCACTACATCATCTTTCAGTTTACACTCATTCGTGTTTCAACTGTGAAGCAGTTGTGTTTGCATGGCTGTGTTTCGGTTTGAAGAGTGTGATATGGCGTAAATTTACAGGGTACAGAGGAATAACACCTGGGTCCTTAGGAATGGCAACGCATGGGGGGTATCATGGGCGAAACAGTATACTCTGTTATGTCCATGGTACTGCTCATGTCTATAGGCGACGGTTACCACTTTCCATCAGGTGGGCCGTCAGCTTGTTTGCCATTCTAAGTTGTATAAAACAACATATAAAACACACTGCCCTCTAATTGCTGGTCTATGCTTTAATTAAATAATTATGTAATTTTCTTATGAGCTGTCGTTTTCATGATTATTAAAAGTCATTCGTACTACAGTACTTCAGGTCTCCTGTTCTCCTCATACGCCCGCTGGTCCTCAATAGACATGTCGTCGACCAACTTTGAGGAGTTCATAGTGAAACACAACATGCACGAGAAGGAGGAGTTCAAGAGCATAAAGAGCTTGAACATCTTCTACCAGGCTGGCACCAGCAAGATCGGGAACCCGGTGTTCTACTTCATATCCAGAAGATATAAGTGAGTTAATAGATTTCGACTTTATATGATAAATTTGGTAATGCAGTAATTTAACACACAGCCAAACATTCCAATGATATGTTTATGTAAAAATTGGGGATTAAAGAAGACTTCTGGATGAAGTCGAAACAATTGTCGGAAACGACTAAAATACAGTGAGTTCATTTATCTCCCGTTTTTACATAGACATTGAATAAAAATTGACATAACCTTTATAAAGAATAATATGTTTGTGTTCATAAGTATGTCTATTTATATTAGTTTAAATGTTTAATGTTTTAAAAAAATATTTATGTATAATATTTACAAGAAAAAGTATTTCTACGTGATGCTCAGTTTCCTAAACACAATTTAGTTTGTAACTAGATGGCGCTGTGTATTATGTACTGTATGTGTGTACTTACGTAGTACATATACCATACTGTAGGTTAAAGCTAAATAGTATAATAGGAGAGAGCGAGAGAGAATATATATTATACAAGAAGATCAGCAATCTACGTGTTGCTAGTTCAATTATTTTTATATAACAAATGTGGCAAACAAGCACACTGCCCGTCTAATAGTATAATAAAATAATTCAATAAAGGGTAAGACAAATCCTTATCGGAATAAGTGATTGAAATGTTTAGAAATCTCTTAACCGTAAAATAAATTTTTACATATTATAAAGTTAATAATTACTGATACCAAGTCATTGTCCAATCACAAAATTGTATTTTAATTTGTTTAATATATTTTATACTGCTAATAATAAGTAATAGATAAAATATGTAATTGCAATTTTCCCCAGGATCGGCGAGGTGAACGCTGATCTGCTAATCTACCACGTCATCCTAACGCTGAAGCCGTTCTGTCAGCAACCTTTCGAGCTGATTGTGGACTTTACGCACACCAACTCTGATAATAGGTTCAGGTTAGTTGGATATCTCATATGCTGGCTGCATAGTCAAACATGAGTTGAACACAACAAATGGAACAAGAGAAAATTCTAACATATATAGACACGTAAAAATATTAATTATATTGGGGCAGAGCCAGTAGAAGTTACATAAGTATTCCCATACATAAATATATACATATTATGCCCTTTCTAAGGATTATGAATCTTGTGTAATAATAATAAAATCTATTCTAGGTTAGAGTAATGAGTAACGGTTATTTGTGTTTTACAGGACCGACTTTCTTCAGAAATGGTTCACAGTGTTGCCAGAAGTAGCATACATAAATATTCACGCGTGTTATATCTATAATTGCAACAGTTGGGTGCGCGAATACACCAAGTTCCATGAGGCAATACTTGCACCGCTTAGGGTAAGTTTTTATTTTTCGTAAGGATATTTAAAAAAAATATATACTCATTAGTTGTAAATACTTTACTGAATTAGGTGTTATTTTGTTTAAGTTCATATTTCATCCATACTAACCGTTAATTACTCTCTGCCGAACGTAGGCCTCCTCTTGAGAGGGGTGTTGTCAGTTCTTACCATGCTTGACAGGCGGGTTATCAACCGTACTTAGGCATTAGTGATGTTTTAACAGAGATGCTGCTATCTGTCTCTCAACCATTAAATTCTCTTTGTCGCCTCTTACGACACCTACGGGAAAGGAAGGGGAGTAAGTTCATATGCTTAAAATAAAAAATAAAATAGTAGTTAAATGTTGCCAGTCGCACACATACTGATGGTAGCTGAATTAAATAAAACAATAATAATTAACTTATAATTCATTACTGGTGATAGACTTATGCTCAGAATAATAAACAAGTGACTCATTTAATAATTTTGAAGTTAACAGTAGGATTGAGCGTGTTTTTTACGGAGTCAACTTTTAATAAATTGCTCCAGATTAGTAGGGAGATACATATCCTTAAGATTAAAATTTAAGGATTCGCACATTAAGAAGATAGGATGATGATTTCTCCTTCGTTCTGAGAGATGGTTCTTCAATAGTAATAACGTACTTATTTATAAATTTATATACTATTTTTCTAAGGCTGCTTGCTACTAGGGCTTATTCTTTTTGCTTGACTTAGTAGTCGACTACACAATTAAATTTATTGTAACATGGTAACATTACGTTCAAATGTTTATTTGTTTATTCATATAACAAAACTGTAGTCCATTATGAAGATAAAGTCGATACGCAATATATTTAAATTTCATCCCAATCAAGTCGTTTTCGATGTTTTATTACTTTCCTCATTTTTAGGGTAATCGCAAACTAATATTCATAGACAACCACAGTCGGCTCAGCGAGTACGTAGAAAGTGAACAACAGAAGTTACCAGGCGCAACCTTAGCGTTGGAGGAAGACTTGAAAGTATTCAATAATGCATTGAAGTTGTCGCATAAGGACACAAAAGTTGCTATTAAGGTATGCATGTATTTTAAATATAGAATGAGATTTCTATTAAACTCTTATAACTATACAAAAGCTATCGTACTATTTCTGTAAATTCGCTCTTTTAACCTCCCAATAACAGCCAACACATGACTTTAGTTACCAAAGGTCATAACACATGAAGATTTATTCTTCTATATAGAATATATGAAGAATCGTTAGCCAGTTATACTTGTCAGTACCGACTTTCCTCCTTGGTGGTGAGAGTGGATTTTTTTTTTTCACCTGTCTCTACCATTATGTGTCCAGTAGGTTTAAATGAAACAAATATGGCACCTTTTCCTACCGATATTTTTTTTTTGTAATAAAAAGTACACTTTGTTAGAAATTTATTAAACAAAGGTATTCGTTCGATATCACAACGCAAGAAGTAACCAGTAATACATCCTTTAAAGTCTTGCGAAATACCGTTTTCATCACAGCGTACCATCATTCACTAATTGGATCATTGATATATTTGCCATATTCGTAAGTATAAAAACACTTAAATTTTCGCAGGTGGGACCTACAGCTCTTCAAATAACGTCTGTGGAGAAGACAAAGGTGTTAGGTTTGCCGGTGTTACTCAACGATGTTTATTACGCTTCAGAAATTGATGAGGTATGCATAAATACTAATACCGTCGTATACAAAATCGTATTGAGTTAATTTTTTACATACGAGTATTTACAAAACATAGTTTTACTTCATTATGACGTAAACATAGTTTCGATTTTCAAAATGGCCGTCAACACAAAATGGTGAATAGTATATATTTTATTAGCCATTTTAATATAGGTATCGAATGTAAGCTCCTGAAGATTAGATAACGATAAAATAAATTACATCATTTGATGAAAGAAGCTTGTTTTAAAAATGTTTTTAAACAGACTTGTTACGGTTTGTCATACTGTGATTAAGGTTATTAGGTAAACAAAAAAGATAGTCTTTTATGGGTCAGTTAGTCGCAACTTAAGAACTTTTAATATTGAAGGTTTTTTGTGTTTACCTGCAGGTGTGCCTCGTGGACGACAACCAGTTCTCGCTGTCCATCATCAATGAGGGTACTCCGCTCAGTTTTATACACAACGACTGCGACAATATCGTCCAGTCCATAATACACATACGCAACCGGTGGGAGCTCAGCCAACCGGTCAGTATTTTTTTTAATGGGTGATAATGGAATGATAACCTCACCCGCGCTATCGGTATACACCGGCGGGGCACCAGTGAAGGATGATAGGTGAGGATGAAGCAGGTCAGTTAGCCCATCGTGACAAATTCAACAAGAATTGTTCACGATGGTTTCCAAGGGGAACCACGTGGGGGTCGACCTAATAAGGCATATTGCTAGCAATGGGGCTGTCAAACTCCATTGCTAACAATAACTTTCCCCTCACCGGTCAGTATTAACCTATTTATATTTACAGAATGGAAGAGACAGGTTGGCCGAAACAAAAACAGCTGATTCAGATGAATGGTCTGAATCAGATGGGAGATTATTTTCCTACCGGAAATATACTACAGCCATATAAATAACGATTCTTAGTTTTGGCGCCGCGCAATGTATTTGAAATTTACGATCCGTACGACGCGTGATACCTACATCGCGCGGTCAATGGCACTTTTTCATTGGTAGCTTTCATACCTTTGTGATGTTGACCTTATACAGCTGGTTCCGCGCGTCGCAGTAGGATATTAATACGCATGTTACATTGCTTTTTTTTTGGTATTTTATAGTATTTTACAATAAAATATTATTATTAGTAATATTTTAATAGTTAATAATAATGTTTTATAGATATAATACAATATTATTATTATGATAGATTGATAGATTAGATTACATAATTATTTCGAAAAAAAAAATACAGGAAAAATGATTAAAATTTTCTGGAAAGAATTGCCACTGGTTTTCAGTTCAGAATAATGATCTGAATACATTGTTTCAGTTGTTGCCAATCTGTCCTTTACCCACTATATTTAAAAGAGGATGCTAATTGACTGACTTGTACAATTACTTATAGGACTCGGTAACAGTTCACCAGAAGATTAGACCCAAAGACGTGCCAGGGACGCTGCTCAACATGGCGCTGCTGAATCTGGGGTCCTGCGATCCTAACTTGAGGACGGCAGCGTACAACCAGCTGTGCGCCCTCACCGCCACCTTCCACCTGAAAATCGAGGGCCAGCTGTTGGAGACGTCAGGTCAGTGATCATTGATTACAACTAATAATCATAATTAAAAAAAAATGGCAACACTTGATATCTTCAATATTGATATATTTTTATGCAAATAGGGTATCATAAGCGACACAGTTATGCCTATGGTACTGATCCTGTTTATAGGCGATAGTTACCTTATCTATCAGATGTGTTGTTAGCTTTTTGACATTCTCTTATATCATAGAATGTAAGAATAGTAAGTCGATTGCTTGGGTACCTCTGTCCCATTCGTGTTTCTACCGTGAAGCAGTTGTGTTTGCATGGCTGTGTTTCGGTTTGAAGGGTGAGATATGGCGTGTATTTACAGGGTACAGAGGAATAACATCTGAGTCCTCAGGAATGGCAACGCATGGGGGGTATCATGGGCGAAACAGTACACTCTGTTATGTCCATGGTACTGCACATGTCTATAGGCGACGGTTACCACTTTCCATCAAGTGGCCGTCAGCTTGTTTGCTATTCTAAGTTGTATAAAAAAAAAGTAAATATAATGGAGCGAATAAATAATTAATGTAACACTGACATACTGAAATAACAAACAAATAATGTAAATAAAATTTGTATTAAGGACCGAACATGTCACGCCATACGTAGACATGTAGGTACTTATGGTTTTTATACGTAACACCATGTATTTCATGTTTCAAGTGAATAATAAATAATAAAAAGTATTTTTTTATATTTGAAAGATCGCTAAAAAGAACAAATGTGCATATCAGATACTTCAAGTGTATGGATCGTAACGTATGGAAGCGAGACAGCATGATAGACACGATTGATAATTATGAGATAAGAGCAAGAGAGACGGACTATGCTATTGAAGTCGCCTCACTCCTACTTACAATAATTTTTTTTTTTCAGGGCTGTGCATACCATCCAACAACACGATATTCATAAAATCCGTTAGTGAGAAACTGGCGCACAATGAGCCACATCTCACGTTAGAATTTCTCGAGGAATGTATACAGGTATTTTTTACCAGATAAATAAACTAGTTCCCTTAGATTATATAGATAGAGCTTCAAAAACGGGTTAACTTTTTTTTTATTAATGTTCTATATACTTACGAACACAATGTATTTTGATGTATCTATACTTAATTATTTAACAAACAAAATGAGTTTTTACGCAAAAAAAAAGTAGAATTTATAAGACAAAATAAATATAGAAATTATAAAGGAATTAGTCCTAACTCTTAAACGCAAAATTGTATGAAAAAGGTGAATCGCTTTTCTCGAAGCATTTGTATGGAGACACTCTATCTCTAATATGCAACTTACTGAGGGTTTTTTGGTAGATGAAAATGGAATGGTAACCCCGCCTGCGCTAACGGAATACGCTGGCAGGGCACCAGTGAAGGGTGATAGATGAGAATGAAAACAGGCCAGTTAGCCCATCATGATGAATTCATCTGGAATTAATCATGATAGTTTCCAGGGGGAATTGCGAGGAGGTCGATCTGGTTGGATATATTGCTAGCAATGGGATTCTCAGTCTTCATTACTAACAATCCCTTTCCCCCCACTTACTGAGGGTTATATTTTTCACTCGTATTGTAAACTACTGTCCTAACTATATTAATAAACAATACTGTACATATTACATACTCTGTAGATTCCGGCATAGAATAGGCCACCACTTTCTGTCCCGTGGATCTCGTAAGAGGCAACTAAGAGAGCTTATGGTCGAGGGATAGGCAACAAAAGCCAAACTGCGATAGCCAACCCGACAGCCTAGCGTGGTAACTACTGGCAAAACCCCCCTTATGGGGATGCCTTCAGCAGTGGACAATTATATTACACAGCGCCATTCAGTCCCAAACTAAGCAGAGCTATAGGTACTAGACAACTGATAAAAATACTTAAATGCTTTTTTTTATAAATACATACATTTTATTATTTCAGCCGTTAACAGTCCACTGCTGAACATAAGCTTTCCCTATAAGGGGGGTTTTGCCAATAGTTGCTACGCTTGGCAGTCGGATTGGCAACCGCAGTTAGGCTTTTACAAATGTTTTAAGAGGGCGCTGCTGCCCTTGCTATCCCTCCCTTAGTCGATTCTTAAGACACCCACGGGAAAAGAAGGGGTGGCTTATTCTATGCTGGGACCACATACATACACATATAAAAAATACGCAAACCAATACAAACAGTTATGAATATAAATGTTTATATTGTGAATCGATCGAACATCAGAAAGCAAAGCGATGTAAAGCCGCTAGACTACCAAGGTCGTATTATCTAGTGATGGGAACCCGGGATCTTAATAACAACTAATGATTTCAGGGATTCCGGGGCTCCACGATAGAGCTGAAACATTTATGTTTAGAATACATGACGCCGTGGCTCGCTAATTTAGTCAGGTAAGCACTATATTATCTCTATTTTCGTGACAGATCACTTACAGAATCGGCAGATTGAACAGTGCTAACGTCTCTGTCTTTGTGATTACAATTCACTTATTATAAGTGCAGCGGTGTCACTATAATTAGTTAAATATTTAATTGAATTTGAAATAGTCTAAAGAGGTAGTTAGAGATATGCATGGCATGATAATATCAGTACCGGAAAAAAAGATACAAATTCTAAAAAAGACATAACTATATCAAAAAAAGTAAATATAAAGTATATAAACAAAAAAAAACATAAATAAATAAATGAATAAAATAATATAAAAAATAAACAACAAATATAATAAACTAACATCAGATAATATCAAATAATACTCGTATACGCACTCAAAAATCAAAATTAAAATAACTTACCATATATATACACCGCTGTGCGTTGTATTCCAATAGCGATGCACTTTGGCTCCCAAATAACAGGATCTCAGCAGATCCTGAAGAAAAAAAAATCAGTACCGCTCCAATATCTATATATTGGGTTCCTCTGGACATTGATGGACTATAAAAAAGTCCTATTTTGACATCACCCACACCCATATATATGTATATAAATTACGATCAAGTTCTTCATTTCGATAATATTATATAACCAAAATTTAATACTGAGTCAATATATAGATGTTATTACTACAATTATATTGATACACCACAATTGCTCACAACTTAGGTTACATGTATATTTTTATAACTAATAATGCAACTTTTAAAATATTATAAGTCTAGTGTTATTTAATTCATTATAATTGTTACTTCATTTTTTCGCACTGTATAACTATAATATGTTAAAGTAAATGCTGTGAATACCAATAATAGGCATGTGCATTAATATTGTATTGTATTTAATGTTTGTTATACCTATATGTTATAATGCAATATGCTGTTGGTGTTCCTTTAAATAAATAAATAAATATATATTACACACACCTAGTTATAGATATTTGTCAACTTTTGAACGAAACAATCGATATGGCCGCCATAAAATCCAATAATTTTAATAATTTTTCAATGTTTATCATAATCAGTTAATAATAATAATCTATATTGAACTATTTACTATTGGCCAGATTCTGCAAACCATCAGACGAGTCTCGACGCCAGAAACAAGTGGCGCAGATCCTGGAGAAACTCATCACGTTGACCATAGAGGAGACGGAAATGTATCCATCGGTGCAAGCCAAGATATGGGGTTCCATAGGTCAGGTGCCCGAACTAATCGACATGGTTCTGGACAGCTTCATCCAGAGGAGTGTCAATTCTGGTGAATATAGTGTTTTTATACATTATATAAAGTCGTCTGTGTCGACAAAAGCATGCAGCTTTTGTCTCATTCACCTACTTATTCTAGTATCTACCAAGTAAATTATAATACGATATTATCGACAACGCGCGCGTGACGTCTCTGGTGTTACAGGCGTTTACAGGCTACGGTAGCCCCGTTTACCATCAAACGAGCCGTATGCTTGCTTGCCACCATAGCACTATAAAAAAATATCATATTAAAACATATACAATTGCCATCTACGTTACGTGAAAAGGAACACTCGAAATTTTATATAAAACAATGGCTCACTCTACATGCCCTAAATAAGGAAAAATTGTCTGAAAGATGAAGATATTCGTCTTGATTCTGAGGGGCTTTTTCTCTAAATTTAGTATATTAAGTTGATAGTTTCAAGAAATTACTGTTTTATAGACTATTATAAACTAAATTTATTACAGTTTCTATTTAAATATATTAGAAATCTAGTTTATATTGATTTTAAGCATAAAGTTCGCTGTATTAGGAAATCGAAATTTTAATTTCAGAAATTGCCTCTTATAATCAACTGCTCTGTTAATTTATGTTAACGAGTCATTTTTACAGCTTTGGATACCTAGAACATTTGTTTATTTAAAGGTCTGGGATCACCAATGATCGAAATCATGGCCGACACTGCTGTGGCACTCGCCTCGGCTAACGTGCAGCTCGTTTCCAAGAAGGTTATAGGACGAATGTGCAGGGTAAGTTATTATAATTACTAAGTACATATTAATGCAGTTTCTACTAGTAATAGGTGTGTCCAGATTTCACATCGTTCACTACTGCTCTTCTCATGTACATTTGTGGCATGTAGATTAGTTTCTGTATTTATTCACTGAGTGTGTTTTTAAGATACTATAAATGTTTATTTGGATAACTACAAGGATAGTAGAAGGCTTAAAAAGACATGGATGAACTGCATGAAAAATGATATGACCAGAATGGAAGTCAATGCGGAAATGATTATGAATAATATGAATGGAAGTGGAAAACGTGTTACGCCAACTCCAAAAAATTTGATAAATATAGTAGTAAAAAAATATTAGTAGGAAGATGAGGATGTAAATTTTTATATAAATAAATTATGCTTATGTTAAAACCATACCAATAAGATTTTTCTCGAGCTATATCTATGTCAATTTTCATTAATTTCATCCATTTTTTATAAAAAAAAAAAATACTTCTAACGAGTTTTTCGGATGTCTTTAGTACTCAATATTCCATACAGATGTATAGATCATCTATCAATACTATAAAAATACTTAGTACAAGATGTAGAAATGGGTAATTTCCGGCACAGAGGCGAAGTAAACTGAATGTATTTGTTGTCCAACAGGCCCTATCCAAACTGCCCAATAATATCCTGGGTCCCGTTACCCCGGCCACTGTGAGTTCACGCTTTTATTTTCATTTTATTTTGCTACACATATAAACACTTATATTTAATTTTGCCTAATTTGTTTTTTATCCTTTTCTTTATTCGATTTATTTTTATTTTGAATTGGATTAAACTAATTGGCCAGCACTCATCCAAAATTCCAAATTCCATTACCTATATTGATTAAACTATATGCTTAAGATAGTAGTAGTATTTATGAATGAAATAAAGTCATTATCCGAATTTATTACCAAAATGTAAATAATAATTTTCATTAATTTTTTAAAAAATTTCTACTTAAGATCTATTAACTTTTCTGTAGAGTCGTTGCCATTAAGAGTTGAATTTGATATATACTTTTCGACTTTATAGTGTGACGATAAGGTTCAAGTTTCATAAGCCTAAGTCTTCTATTAAAAAAAAAAATTGAAAATAAAAAAAATTATGTTATTACATTGTATATACTAAACTTGAACATTATCTATAATGGCTACAGCTATTTGTTTAGAGTTTTAAACAATATCGGATAATGACAGATTCTGTATTATAATTTACTATCGTATTATCTGTTATACTTCTTGAGAGTGTATTTAAAATTTTAAAATACCTCATATCTTCCGTTTTTTTTTCTTAAAAACGTTAAATGTAACTTGTTTTAGTTATTAAGGAGTGTTTTCTTTTTCTTTCGAGCTGAACTCTTGAAAGAAAGTGACACACTAATAGTTAAAAAAATCACGATGTGTATTTTTAAATGATATATTTTTAAAGTTTGTGTGTTATAGGTGGTCGATAAAACATGCCACTCGCCGACAGCAATGCTGGAACAGCATATGATGTGGGACGACATAGCTATACTAGCCAGATATTTGGTAAGTGAATTCAATATGGGTGCATTTGCATGTATCCATAACTTCTCTAGTTGATTGAGTGCAGTAAGAGAGCTGGGATCAGAAAGAATGTAAAGAAGACTAAGCTTTTAATAATCTCAAGACATCTCAATATTAACTCAACCATTAGGGTATCAGGTCTGCCACTTGTACAAGTGCATAAACACATACATGTTTAGCCATGCACGCATGGCTTACTGAGGACTGGAATAGTGAATAAATATTACGCGTTCTAAATTCAAATACTTCGTTGTTTTGTCTCGATCAAAATTATTGTATTTTGCAAACTAAATGCTCCCCGTGCCTCCTATTTGTTGAGCCGTTAAAACGTGTTGTCTCTCGTGTGCAGTTGATGCTGTCGTTCAACAACTGCCTGGACGTGGCACGCCACCTGCCGTACCTGTTCCACACGGTCACCTTCCTCGTGTGCTCCGGCACGGTGTCCATGCGCGCCGCCACTCACGGACTCGTTATCAACATCATACACTCGTTGTGTACGTGCAACACGCCCAGCTTCTCCGGTCAGTTTCCGCTCACTCACATTCGTTCACTCACTTGACACAGTGTCCATGTGTATCGCTATATTAAAAAAATATACATTAATAATTTCTTTTATATACAGAGGAGACACAGCGAGTGCTAATGTTGTCTCTTGACGAATTTGCACTCCCTAAGTTCTACCAGATGTTCGGCATTTCGAAAGTGAAGTCGGCCGCTGTCACCGCCTTCCGGAGCGCTTATAACCGACACACGAGCGATTGGTGAGTTATAGTCAAAATCATCCTTATTCAAATAGACTTGTTTACAAGTACTTTTAAATCGCTATTTCTTTTTTAATCTACTGCTGATTTCGAAAAGTTGTTATCTGTTGAGAAGAGCCCGCAAGAAACTCGACAGTTGCTCTTTTAAATCTCTATTAATATTATATGTATTTAAATGTACTAAATCTAAAATTACATGGTCGTTAAAAACCCGTGCATGATCGACTAACACTTATTTAATTATTTATTTAATAAACAGATGTAAAATGTGTTGATATAATTGACTACTGAGGGAGTTAAGAGTCTACAAAACAAGCTGTTAAACGCAGACCTCGCACGGGTCCGAAATTGTCGATTACGAACAGCATAGCAGATTAGCGACTGCGGTAGTGAGACGAGCATTGTCATCAGGTACTCGGAGCACTCGTACGCGGCGTGCACGGAATCTTCATCAGGCAGCGGCGTGGGGTCGGGCGCGGGTGTAGGTTCAGCCCTGGCGCCGCCAGCCGGGCCCTCCAACCCACCCACTACACCCGCCCCCCTCTCTGCGACACACACCGACCGCGAGCGGCTGCCGCTGCAGTCGCTTGAGACCATCACCGACGCGCTGCTCGAGATCATGGAAGCGTGTATGCAGGACATACCCGACTGCGATTGGCTCTGTACCTGGTTAGTTCATCACCTTAGAACTTAAAAATAACCTTATTTAAATAATGTATGAATAATATGAATGTACCCTGTGTGTAGTATTAAATGTGTATTGTTATTCGATCCTTTCTTATTTTTTAATAATTTAATGATTCTTTACATATTTAATTTGAATAAACTTAATGCTTTAACAATAAGACCACCTTTTGTACTTTATAAGTGAAATATATATATATATATATATATATATATATATATATATATATATATATATATATATATATATATATATATATATATATATCTTTTTATTAGTCTTTAAGAAGTGCAATCATCATGATAAATATAGTTTATTTATTTATAAATTATATTATATTATAAATAAACTATATTTATCACAATGATAACTCATAACCTCATAAGAATTTATTATGAAAATAGGTGTTCCACAAGGGTCGAAACTCGGTCCCTTCATATTTTTTGTATATTTATACTTTGTTTTGTTATTTACTACTACATCTTATAATATTTTGTCTGCAGGACCTCCTTGGCGAAGAGTTTTGCCTTTTGTTTCAACCCAGCACTTCAACCTCGAGCGCTCATCGTGTTTGGCTGTATAAGTTAGTTTATTTTTCATAAAATCTATTACCAAGTCTGCTTGGTCTTTATACAATAATATCAATATATGATTACTCTATCAATATAAAATTAGCATAAAATATATTATTTAAATGTATTTTTTAAATACAATTTGACTTTTCTTCTGTAAACACTCAAGATGTGGAATAAATTCCTGATAAGATTTTTTCTGGAGACTACGATAGAAAATGAAACGCTTTCTTCAAGGCAGGGAATATGCACTCGATACCTTATTAAATGTATGCTCTTTAATTATCAGGTAAGAATGTAACAGACGATGATATGAAGCAACTCCTAAGGATATTGGTCAAAGCGCTAGAATCTTTCAACGATCTTGCCCTTTTAGAAGCTTTGATTATGTGCCTGACGAGATTACAGCCACTTTTGCACCCGGTGAGTCATTATATTGTTAAAGTTTTTAAAGATTCTTTGACTTCTTTTTTTCTATTAGTAGTCTCTATATGTTGCTATACATTACTCACCCCTAATCTGTGGAGAAAAAATCACAAAAACTATTTTATTCTATATTTACTCGTAGAAAAAATTATTATGTGTATTACGAAGTGGTGGACTGCGACGAAAGTGGTAAAATGATGTAGATACGGATTTTAATGAATATTTTACTAAAAAAAATAAATGTACTTGACAACCTATACTGGAGATGTAATTGGTACTTTTGCTCTTAAGTTTAATTTTCTGTTTATTGTAATAAATTATGTATATATTGATTTATATGACTAATGAAGAGTAAATCTCTCATATCGTTAATAATTTGCACGCCGACATAGAGGCAGAATGTATATGGGAAATGTAAACCTCTTTCATCTAAAACGACTTACATTCTAGCAAAATAAAATCATTTCATTTCATTTAGCAGAGAAAATTGTATTAACAGTGTGCAAGGAACAGACAGTGTCAAAAAATATAAAATTGAAATTACAAATAAGAACATTCTAAAAGTAAATATGTATAAAAAAAGTATAATAATATATCTAAAGAGTTTGCATCGGCCTGTTGTCAGTAATGTGAGTAAAAAGAAGTGTAAGAATATCAACGACAGATTGTCATGGTTGTTAATTCATCCCATGTTCGTTCACAGGAATCCCCAATCCACAAGGCGTTGTTCTGGGTGGCGCTGTCGGTGCTGCAGCTGGACGAGCCCACGCTGTACGCGGCGGGGCTCGCGCTAATGGAACAGAACCTGCACACGCTCGACTCGCAGGGACAGTTCGACCACAAGGTCACTGGAGCTCATTGCTTCTTTATAATGTTACCAGTAATCCGATCAGTCCGATTGGATCACGGGTACTTGTAGCGATATTAAGTATATATATATATATATATATAAACAACTTGGAATAGTAAACAACTTGACGGTCCATTTAGTGTAAAGTGGTTAATTACAACAATAACTATGAACATACACTGTGACGCCCATGGTTTCACCTCATGCGTAAATTTGTTAGTGTGTAACCTGTCCTCTTCGTGTCTACAGGCGACGGTTACCACTTTTCATCAGGTGAGATATAAGCTTTTATTCTCTTATATTCTCTTCACTTCTCCCCATTTAAGGACGCAATAGAAAAATAATAGGCATTCCCATACTCTTTGTCATATTATATATTAATCTATTACTCTTAAGGTTGTCTTAAAAAGATTTTTTTCATTAATAAGACCACCTTACTGTACCTTATACAACTGTATCGTTAAATTTATTAATTGTCTTGCTTATTCCCTATATTGTATAATGCAGTTACAGTAACTCATTCATTCATATTATAATTTTCTGTTTATTATATAAAATGTTTACAGTCCATAGAGCAAGTGATGATGGAGACCCGAGAACCGTTGGAGTGGCATTTCAAACAGTTGGACCATGCAGTGGGACTAAGGTAAGTGCATCTAACAAATACCAGAGGGAGACTTTGTACAAAAGTCGTTTGCTTGGGTTTGTGGTTTTCATGGCTGTGTTTCGTTTTCAAGGGTAGGATATGGCAGTGAATTTACAGGGTATAGAGGCATAACACAGTCCTCAGGAATGGCAACGCATAATGAGTATCATGGACAAAACAGTATAATACTCTTTTATGTCCATGATAATGTTTAAGTGGGCCGTCAGCTTGTTTGCCATTCTAAGTTGCATAAAAAAGAAATAACAAACATGTTTGGATTTTTATTAGTTTATCAAATTTTACTGACTGAACGTGTTTGGGTGAAATTTGGTATGCATACAGATCATGTACTGGATGGAATATAATGTCACATTTTGTATTCTTATTAATATTATAAATATGAAAGTGAATTTGTTGCTTTTTTGCCTTATAGCACTTTTACAGATCAACCAATAGCTACTAAATATGATATACTATTTGGGATGCAAAAGGATTTGGGCTACGTTTTATCCCAGCCAATGAATATATTTGGTCAAACGGACGAAGTCACGGGTAAAAGCTAGTATTATAAATATAACGGGAGTTTGATTAAATGTAGTCTTTTTTTATTGAATAATAATAAAATAATAATCCCGCCTGCCTCTCCAACGGTATATGCTGGGGAGGCACCAGTAAATTATGGTAGGTGAGAATGAAAAGGCAGGTCAGTTAGCCCATCGTTATGAATTCTTCTAGGAAAGAATACGATGACATACACATACTACTTGAGATTATAAAGGACTTAGATGGCCTTGGTCAGTCAATATATTTTGTGAACGAGGTAGTAGGTAAAGATTAGCATAACATAATTAGATGAAAACGTGCTTACAAAAAATAAAAAAAATAAAAACAAAAATTATGTGTCAACTAACAGTGCTAATGGTTTCAGCTTCCGGTCTAACTTCCACTTCGCACTGGTAGGCCACCTGATCAAGGGCTACCGTCACCCACAAGCGGCTACGGTATCGCGAACGTGCCGCGTACTAGCTGCCCTGCTGGCCATCGCCGCGCCCGACCGCGACAAGTTCCAGCTCACCAGGGACACCGTCGCCTACCTCACGGGTCAGCACGCTATTGTTTTTTCTTTTTATTGAGTGAAAATGGCATCGTAACTCCCTCTGCGCTATCGGTATACTCTGGCGCGGTACCAGTGAGAGGCAATAAGTGAAGATGAAAAGGCCAGTTCAGTTAGCCCATCGTGACGTATTCAACGATAAATTAGTCACGACAGTTTCCATGGGGAACCGGGTGGAGGTCCACCTGATAGGGTAGTAACAATGCCTTTCCCTCGCATGACACTGTTAGTGTGATAGTGTTAACCTCTACAATCGAGAGTTTTTTGGCCACTTTCGTTATACACTGAGTCCTTTGACCTGACTCACCGGTCGATACTGTATGTGCCCTCCAAAGTAATGAAATAGATAATTCATAAGTTTAAGTTGAGATTTAATTTTTGAAACCATAGATTATAGTCAAACACTGTCCAACTGAGCTATCATTAACGCAACACAAACTAGTACCCTTACGACAATAACATATAAGATGGTTCTCAAGCATGTATAATCTTTAGTCGCCCTACAAGCTACGCAAGTCAATAAAGCGAGAGACGTACCTGTTTTTTTTTATACAACTTGAAATGGAAAACAAGTTGACGGCCCACCTGATTGAAAGGGGGAAAGGATTGTTAGTAATGGAGACTAAGAATCCCATTGCTAGCAATATACCCAACCAGGTTAACCTCCACGCGGTTTCCCCTGGAAACTATCATGATTAATTCCTGATGAATTTATCATGATGGGCTAACTGGTCTGTTTTCATTCTCATCAATCACCCTTCACTGGTGCTCCGCCAGCATATCCCATTAGCGCAAGCGGGGTTACTATTCCATTTTCACCCATCAAAAAAAATCCACCTGATTGAAAGTGCTAACCGTCGCCTGAACAGTACCATGGACATAACAGAGTATACTGTGTCGTACATGATACCCTTCATGCGTTGCCATAACTGAGTACTAAGATGTGTAAATGTATATTCCTATTAAATTTACTACTGTAATCTTTTGGAGGAAACAATAAAGAGTATATCTCAATCTATCTATCTATGACAGAGGCTTTTAACGTTAGATTGTCTCTGTCTACAACATCTGATAGAAAGTTATCTGTTAACATATTATTAATGTCCCGTGTGGTTCCAGCATAGAATAAGCCACCCCTTCCTTTCCTGTGGGTGTCGTAAGAGGGTAAGGGCAGTAGCATCTCTCTTAAAACGTCTCCGAAGCCTAACTGCGGTTGCCAATCCGTCTGCCAAGCATGGCAACTACTGGCAAAACCCCACAAAAGGAAGATTTATGTTCAGCAGTGGACAGTTAAAGGCCGATATGATGATAAATGTTTTATATCAGATTGGCTCATTCGCTCTCCATACGCTTTCTTCGCCTATATTTTCATAATATTTACTTTCAGCCCTGGTGTGCGTGAGTGAAGAGGTGCGGTCACGCTGCCACGTGAAGCACTCCCTGCCCAAGTGGTTGCCGGACAATTGTGACCACTACTGTCCTACCGCTGAACATCATCAGGTAATCATCCTCCTGCTTTATAAATTTAAGAGATCATTATTAAGTAGTAGCCAAGTCGCCCTGGCCGGGGAGGAATGGGGTTGTTAGAGTAAACAATATGCATTTACATTTCATTAAAATTGATTGAGCATTAAGATTAGCGTGAATGAAAATCACGGCGTGGAATTTTTATGTATCTTTTTCACTTCTTTAACCCTTAAAAGCCTAATTTTTTAAATCAAATTAAAAATATATAAGTATATACTATGTTTACTAATGGGGAAAATAGTAAAAAAAATCAAAACGATATTTTTGTATATTTATTTTGAAAAAACTTTTGGTAACATGTAAACAGCCAAATATTATAATAAAATCGATTGTAGGCGCCTAATGCGATTTATAACCCCGGTATCAAATTTGAAACTTCAGGTATTTAAGGGTTAATACCGCATTTGAGTATTTTGACACTCCCCTATGGTTGACTGGGAGAGAATGCTTTTAACATTATGTTCGCCGTGTAAACATATGTGTACTAATGAATAAATAAATAAAACTTCTTTGAAAGTCTTGACTGACAAACAATGGACCACCTAAATTGATAAAATCTTTATTATTTTGAAAATCCTGACTATTAGACAATGTACAGCCTATATTAGTAATTCTTTTTTACTTCTTTGAAAGTTCCGACTGACAATGTACAACCTAAATTAATAAAAATTTTTTACTTTGAAAATCCTGACTGACAGACAATATACAGCCTAAATTAGTAATTCCCTTCTAATCTAGATGAGCACTAAAAAGGAATTTCCTGGCATCATTGCTTCCTCAATGGTATAAAAAAATCCCAAAATATAAATAAATATGGGCTTTACACATCGTGCACCATCTATATGTAAACGATACTACGGTAACAAAATAATATGAAAATTACTTCTCTGCTTTCATTTTTCATATAGTGATCTTGTAATCGCGCGCTTTATAATAAAAGTGCAAGTATTGTATCTCAATAAACTTATTTCAGATTGTCACACCTGTACCATTAAATATGTATATTGACTTTCAGTCATCGATGTTGATCCAGCCGTCATCGTCCCACTCAGTCTGCCAGAGTCGCCGCCAAAAGTCTTGGGACATACTCGACCAGGCGGCCATATCGTCTGCACACGGAGGTAAGATTAAAGAAAAAAAATAGTCGACCAACGAATACTTCAACACCGCAAATAGTATTATGATAATTCGTTCTAGTGACCATTATTAATTTACTAGCTTTTGCCCCCGACATTATCCACGTGACCGGGATAAAAATAGCCTGTAACCTTCTTCGTCCCATATAGTACATGTGCACTAAATTTCATAGTGATTAGTTAATCCGTAAAAGCGCTATAAAGTAACAAACAAACTCACTTTCATATTTTTAGTATTAGTAAGGATTATAATTTATAATATTCCTTAAGTAGAACAGTATATTTTTTACCCTTTACATTATAGAAACACCAAAATCATAATACTTTGTTTTAATATCAGCTATTTGTTTTAGGTAAATCTCCCACACTACAGCAGTCTAATAGTGGGGGTCACAGCCCTCATTTAATCAACATGCCGCATCAGGTAACACCGTTAAACATTATTATAAATATACTTAAAATATATAACCATTGCAATGTGATCAGTTGTCAGTGTTTAGTCATGTAGGCCTAGACAAGGTGCAATTGACTCTTAACTATTCTCTTTCTATAATCGGTAACGCTTTGGCCGTAAATGTGACTTAAAATTAAGCTCCTTCATTTGTGAACGTTATAAATATATATTATGTATATTTATATAGATAGAAAGAGATATATTTCGATGTCAAATTTCAATTTAAACCTTATAATTAATTTTGAAAACATGATGAATGGATAAATGTATTATTTCTTTATTTAATTACAGAAAGATTAAATTTTATTATATTATTTGTATTGTTTATGAGCTATTTACGTTACCAGAAGTATAAGAAAAATCTAGGTCTATTGCAAAGTTGACCTTTTGTTATTTCTTATAACCCATAAATTCAACCTATCTATAAAAAATTAGGTACGATTAAGCCGAAGCGTTAATTGTAGAAATAGAAGCGTTTGCCACTTGTCTACAGGCGAAGGAATGGCAATAATTTAAGTTGTAAGTCTGCTGTGGGAAAGTTCTAGGAGCGTTACTTATTTTATATCATCCCTAGATGAAATTCATGATGATAAAACGTAACAATAAGTATGCTGAGTGCACTGAGAAAAACATGAGTTTAAGAATTCGATTATTGTATTTAAAAAAAAATATTTAAATTTCTGCATTTAAAATTAAAGACCGCGGAATACGTGTGTAGCTATCTACGTTCTACAGAATATGTGCGTAGTCGAATAGATACGTTTTGCAGAATGTACGCGTAACCAAATTGCATTTGCATTCTACGAAACGTGTGCGCAACTGACTACATTACGTGGAATTAGCGTAAAATTAATTACATTCCGCGACGAGTTCGTGTATACAATCCAATTGTGTAAAATGTTATTTGAAAATTTTCTCATTACAATTATATATTTATTTTTTATGCTTGAATTGAACTAATAGACAAGCAGTAGGTCTACAGTGGTCACAAGATGGTAGACTTTTTTCGAAGATACTTTATTTTCATGTTCATATCATTAGGGGCAGCACAGTATTCTTTTTTATGTCCACGGTACTGTTCATGTCTTTAGGCGATTATTATCACTAACCATCAGATGATCCGTCTGTTTGTTTCTTATTCTAAGTTACATAAAAAAATATTTATATTCTTATTGAGAACATTCTGAGTATTTATTATATTATTTTTGGAAATTAGTTTGTTTATTTTAATTAATAGCAAGAGTTCGTGTAGGTTATAACTATACCAGATATAGGAAGCAACAATGTTTTGCTAATACTGCCTTTTTACCTTATATATCTCAAATTATGACGTAATATAATATTATTTATGTACCTTTTCTCCAAAATATTATATTTTATTTGTTTATAGAAATGACATGTATTTTATTTAAATTTGTAAAATTTGAACTTTGATGAAATATAGCAACCTCTGACCTAGTAGACAATTCATAAACCCCATAAAAGTCCATCGCATGAGAGTTGACGTTGACATAGGACACTGTGATGTTTATGTCCAAGGAACGGTTACTTCCCATAATTTCTAGAATTTTCCATCAACTGAACCATAATATTGTTTACCATTCCTGGTAGTAAAAAATTAGATAAAAAAAAATTACCTATGTATCTTTCCCACGCAGACATAATAATTGGCTTTTAGCAACTAATTTATAATAAGCTTGTGTAAGGTTGAGGAATCGTGTCATCCATGGTCCTGTCTTCTGGTCATTGTCATCGTTTATAGTTAGTTTGTAATTAGATAATATGTTTTCATTCTATTATTATTATTACAGGATATGAGGAAAGTCACTGCGACCCTTCAGTTCAGTCCTTAATACCGATTTATATTGGAAAAAAGTCATTTTCATACTTTTTTTCTTTAAAATAATATTTAAAATCCCTGTTTACCGCTAGTCATATGCCCGGTGATACGATCTATATCTAATTTGTAGCCAAATTATACGATATGGCTAACGTGTCTGAAATACCGTTCAAAATGGTCCTTCCCCGGGTTTCTGCTTTGATTTTGAGGTTGCAGTGATTTTTCTAAAATCCTGTATATGGAGGGTGGAATGTTAAATATTGACTCGATTAGTTATATCGAATATTGCTCGGTTTCTTGATAATATCAACAAATTAAATCAGATTTACGTAAACACTAGATGGCAGCACATGTGAATTTTAACTGTAGCTTTACTCTTTGAAAATATTGTGATTATTGAAAATTTTTCATATATTTTATCTTACCTACGATTATTATTATTATATACTACGAGTAAATAACAATATGAACTGTTATTTTTTTAATATAGCCGTTATTTTAAACGTTATATAAATAATGAACGTTATCGAAATTCCACCCGCCATACATAAAAAAACTATATAATCTCTTATCTTCCAGTATATCTAGGACACAAATTATAACCATTCTATTATATCACATGTGTTTTTTCACGCAACTTGTTTGGACTTGGTTCATTGATATCGTTTGTATGCATTGAATAACGTTCATGTCACCCCGCTGCTGTTTACGTTTATATTCGTTGTTGTTAATTTAACGTTTTCGTTAACTGTTATTCTTCAATACAAACATGTTTAACAAATTTTAATGGCACTGTGTATTCGTTTTTATGAATAACTGTTGTCCCCTATATCTGTGTTATTAATAATATCGTAACAAATGCATTCCTACTCTGTATAATATGTCTATCCTATTTCAATAAGTATTTGTATTATTTATTTAATAAAAATAATATTTTTTTTTCTTTCAACGAATATATTGCGTAAATAAATAAATAACGAATGATTTCTGGTTATAACTGTTATAACGGTTATAACGTGAAACAAACGTTCCGACTGATACGCTTGTGCATCGCTTGAAACTATAGACATCAGCTAGAATGCTTTTCAAAACTCAAAGGTCTTTCTCTGTTCCCACATCGAAAGACACCATTGGACCGCCAAGGGTAATTATTAATTAATCGGTGAAGGGATATTTTCAAATTAAGAATAACTTATGAATAAGGCCAGGAAACTTATCAGCCAGCTATAAATAGCTATCTATTTGTGGACTTTATTGATCGCCTTATTTATTGGCGTGTTGTAATATAGATTATGAATTTTAAAACTGCAAAATGCTCAATATATTATATAACTTTGTAAAGTATATATAAACTATTCATGTCTATAGGTGATACTTGCCTTATCTCCTATATAGACCGTCAGCTTATAATACTTATATATAAAAAAAAATATTGAACTAATAGTACTTTCTGTTGAAACTATCAAATGAAACCATAATGTATCACAGTAGGTTTTTATTCATATTTTTAAAGCAAGAAACCCTATTACGTAGCCTTCTATGCTACAATTTTTCTTATAATATTTTTATAAAATTATAATTAGTTCTATCGCCTTACAATTATTTTATTTATTTATTTAAAAAAAAAGGTGTCAACGTAGAATTTATTTTATCTGCGTATCGATATATGGATAGTACTAATGTTGGCCCTTAGAAACCCTGTTGAACCATTAGAGTTTGACCCTAAGGAACCTGCATGGTTTAACAGACCTAAAAAACCCTTTTAGTTTCAAGCCCAAATAGTTTTTATTTATAGTCCTTGCAAGATTCAATTTACGTATACTAGTGTTTTATGTTTATATAAATAAGGACTATTTTGGCTTGTATAAAGAAGATTATAAATTTTGAGCAATAAAGTTCATTAAAACACTGCAAAACATGCACTGTGCACACGAAACACGCAACCATATGAAATTGTACCTTTCGCACTAAGGAATAACGACTAAGTCTATTTATCAACCCGACATGAAACTATGCAATTGATTTTTTATTTTAAATGTATGAACCCACTTTCTTATAATGTAAATTATTGTTTATTTTTTTTTTAATTTTATCAATAAAATAAGTTTTTTGCGCAAAAAATTAGTTATCATTTACTTTTAAGACATACAAGTGTGTGTAGTGAATAGTCAAATACAACTAACACAGTAACATATAAACGCACACACAAAAATGCTTACAATATTAGTTATTATTAGATAGTAAAATAAAAAAAAAATATTAAAAATAAAAGCTTTAATATAGACAAGAAAATAAATAGATGCTTCTAAGTGTCTCGGTGGCAGTTTTTTATCCACTTTCTATTTTATTCCCTTATATCATTGTGTTGGTGAGATCTCAATGCATTTGTATAATTTGGCCCACTTAATGAACTCGAGTTTAGTATATTTTCGTCTTAATTTATGACATGACATAAAAAATTTTTGTTGAATAATAACTATCGCAAGTCATACTTTATTGTAGTTATTTAAGACGTGTGTAAAGCCGACATAAATAATTACAATAAAAAAAAAATATATTAATACTCCATGCATTATAGCATGACGCTGGTGACAAGTTATTAAATCTATAAAAAAATACTGAAACGTAACTTAAACAGTGACTAATAGATTGAATTTAGTATTTTTTCTAAATGTTATATATCAACCGCATCATGCTACAACGTACTGACTATTATTGTTTATTTTAAATAATTAACAAAAAAAAAAATGCGTCCACGAGATCTCGCCAAGTTCCCGCCAGTGTGCCGTCGTTCTTCCCAAATATAATAGTACATGATTGTAATGTGGACACAATGGTACAGGACAGCGAAGGGCGTGCGCACAGCATGCAACACGGCGCCACGGGGGAGGCGGCCAGGGCTGAGCAGGGCGGTGATACTGATAGCGGTCTCGATGTAGGTATCCTAACATTTTCCCGGATTTACTATTTTTTCTCGAACACCTGGATGTTTTTTTTAAATGTATGTTAATGTAATGGTAACCCCGCCTGTGATAACGGTATACGCTGTCGAGGCACCGGTGAAGGATGATAGGTGAGAATGAAATGACAGGTCAATTAGCCCGTCGTGATGAATTCACTTGGAATTGAACACGATGTTTTTCAGGGGAAACCGTGATGAGGTCGACCTGACAGGTGTATTGCTAGCAATGGGACTACTTATCAATATTATTAACAATCCCCTCTCTCAAATGCATGTGTTATACAAATAAAGACTGTTTCTTGCCGGTTCTTCTCAGCAAATAACATTTTGAACCTAGCGATATAATCATGAAGAGTGGTTTAAAAGAACTTGTCTATTCAAATATTATTTATATTTCTATTTTAAAAAATAATAAATTCTGTTGTGCATATTATTACTCAGCGACATCTAGTCCCTAACTAAGCTCGTACTATGGGTACTAGACTACTTTAAGACAGATTTGCTTTAATACTTTTTGTAAATATATAATTTTTTTACATATAGAGAAAACTAAGACCGATACAATTAGACTTTCTCCTAAATCATAATGATGAAATGAAAACATTTTTGGTGTCAATTCCTTTTAGAAATATCAACGTCCAGAAGAAAGAGGTTCTCAATGAGTCTATATTTTTTTTCAGGTGGTAGAAGACGACGGCCGGATTTCGCCGAGCAGCACGGACGATGTCAACGAGCGGCCGCCGTCCACGAAGTCAGGTGACAGTGACTACCCGGACACGTCTACTAAGGTTTGTTGTGACACGTGTGTGTTAAATAATTAAATTTATACTGAGCTTTGTACTTACAAATATTTCAAACAAATTCATTTTTAAAACACATATGTACTTCGTGCTTTTTTGTATATATATTAAAAAAAAAGAAAAAAAAAGTATAACGTATATGTTAGAGCAAGATAGAAAATTATGATATTCACTTACACTATATAAGCTCGAAGCTGATTTTTTGACAAAAAAAAACTATTTATTTTTCCGTTTTGAAGTAGAATTAATTTTTAGTAAATGAAGTTAGTCAGAGTGAAGTGTACTGCATCTAGATTTATCATATATTCCGGAAATAAAACTGTCACATTTACAATTTACGCACACTAGTGTAACTGTTTTCATGTCTCGTTTTTGTGATTACATTGCCAGTCCGTCAGTGTTACTTAGGTTATACTTTGTCTATGATACATAAACTATATGGTGAGAAAAAAACAGGTAATAAATCAAATTAATTCCTTCTATGTATGTTGGTCTATATGATCCCGAAATAACAATCAATTTCTTTACACCAACTGTTTTATTACGACCACTATGTATGTTACGCGTAGTACAAATATTAGCTACAGTGACAGACAGTGGTCTTGCGTATAATTGATTTGGATGCGCTCTATCGTGCTGCGCTTGCATCTGGGAGCAGGTCGGCCGTTCACCCCGCGCGCTGCCGTACCCTTGGGTCGCCTGGACCGGTTTTTCGGTAGTGATGGGCATTGCATTTAGTGATGCACCACACTTCCTATCAAAGCAACTACTCAATCAAAGCAAAACCCTCCAAGGGAGAGGACTATATTCAACAGTAGGCGGTTAACTACTGATATGAATAAATGAATAAATATAGTACTAAATCAATAAGTTGATATTCACTGATTCATCTACAGCAAGCGTCAACAGATAAAGACACGAGCAGCCCAGAGAGCAACAGCTTGCTGGACCCATCGGTGCTGTCTGATTCCACCACGCAAGCCCTGGTGCTGACCGTACTCGCCACGCTCGTCAAATATACCACCGGTGAGAAATTCTAAATGTTTCTTGGATCCTTCAAACGTACTATTAAGAAACAAGTAATAAGCCGATATAGTGCAGCCAACTGTTGAGAGTAGAATACTCTCATTTTCAGGATTGACAGAATTCATGTAGCAGTGTTTGTGCAAAGGACCTAACTCAGCATATGTCGCAGTTTCAAATCTGAAGCTACGACACTGATTTTCAGTAGGCCCTAAATACGTAACTCACGGACACATGTGTGCAAGAGATGTTATGTATAAATATATAAGAATAATATATAAAACAGTCATGTACTATAATTGTCCCTGTGTTGACCCAGGAAGCTTTGACCACATATCGTGCTATTGCATATACAGCATAGTACATAATTGAGTTATTTAATCCAAAAAATAAACACCGACTTTAGTAATTATAAAACCAGTTACTTTTATTTAAAAATTAAACTAATGAACCGGGTCTGAAAAAAAATGTCAGTCTAAAAGTCTATTGTAGCAGATAATTAAAAAAAAAGATGTGTCATTCTGAGTTGTACAAAAAAAAAATTAATCCAGCCCTCCACTCCCTATTAAAGTCAGGTACAAAGACTACAAGTCATACAGTACATCCAGCGATAATCGAATATGGTAGATCGTTATTCTAACAAACCTCGCTGTAATCACATATTTCAGAAAGCACTTTTTATGATTAATTTACTTTTTAATTTTGTATAGATGAGAACGAGATAAGAATACTGTACCAGTACTTAGCGGAGGGTTCCGTCGTGTTCGCCAAAGTGTTTCCAGTGATGTAAGTATTAAAATAGGTTATTATTTAGTTTAGTAAAAATGCGGGTGAAACTTTATAATAAGTATCATTGTTATTTTAGCCAATAACTGTTAATCCCCCATAGACCATCGTAATAAGCAATCCTGAGTCACACGTATCTATGGACTAACCTATTTAGGAGCCCAGTTCTAAAACCATAATTACTGTACCCTTATAAAACTATAATATTAATATTTATAAGGACTCACTGCAACATATTTAAGGACGTCTCTCTTTTGCGTTTGCTTGTACGCGGTCGCCACTTGAGAATTTTTTTCCCCTTAAGTTCTAGGTACTTTAAACTATGTCGTTACTATCTGTAACCGTTCTACTTAAATTACATATGTAACATTATATAGTATCCCTTACAAGTTCTAAACTAATAACAAATGAGTAACTAGTAACAAAACAAACAAGTAACAAATTCTTTCTTTCTAAATGAATCTACCAATAGATACGTTTTCGTTAATGCATGCAATATGTCGACGGATATTGTTGTCTCGTTCTATTTCATGCATGCTCGATTGTTTCGTTTGTCATTTCTCCTAAAGAAATGATGCGTAATGCGTATTTATTGTAACGTTCTCTTTTTCCGTGTACAACAGTCACAGCCTGCTGGACATGAAGATCAACCACGTACTGATGCACTGTCACGATCAGGTCATACTCAGCGCTGTACAGAGCATCATACAGGTAATATACGCACCGGCCTAAAATGATCGTGTTTGCATATCACATTTTTAAATAATTTAAAACATTTATTTCCGTAGATAGGTTAAAGCAGGTAAATATTATTTGAGAAATCAGTTCAGAGTACGATAGGACTGGAAAGTGGAAATAAAATAAAGAACGTCTCTGTTTGCGTCTGTTTGTTTATCCTTTTAATTCTTTTAAACCACACGACCAATTTGGAAACTGATTTCCTTGTTATTTGAATATTTTTTTTATCTAATTAAATTTTTATAGTTTTGCTTTGCACCTCTAAATCCCGAGCGAACAATCGCTAGTTCACACGCAATTTATTGATATCATTCTATTTCAAATTAAATAATGAATTAATTTAATTTGCAAATATCACTACAGAACATGATAGCGTCAGAAGACCCAAGCCAACAACAACTTCACTACATGCAGAGCTGTGGTTTCGGGGGACTTTGGAGGTTTGCTGGACCCTTCACCAAGGTAAAACTAAACTGGCTGTCTATAAGCTAGATGCATCGTGTAATTGAACTCATTGGATAAACTAAAAAACTACTCAGTCAATTTAAATTTTTTTTTTACTTATAGAAAGCTACGTCATTAGCGAGTATATGCGACCACTAAGGTCGTCAAACAATCGCGTCCCGCCGGTACGATGTGATTAAGTAAGTAATCCAAATGAGTGTTGCATCTGTAGAACCAGTGCACGGCGGAGAGCAGCGAGCTATTCGTGAACTGCCTGGAGGCGATGGTGGAGACGTGCCTGCCGGGCGGGGACGAGCCGCTGGCGCGGGCGCCGCCGCCCGACCCCGACGGGCCGCACCCTGCATCCCACGCCTCCCACGCATCCCACGCATCCCACGCATCGCCCGGCCTCGCGCTCGAGGCGGACACGCATCGCTATGGTGATTGTTACGAGCCTTCAACAGTACCCTCATATCAGCCGTTAACTGTCCACCGCTGATCATAGGCTTTCCCATAGACTGCATAGACTACCATCCTTACTCATATAAAAATAATAAATATGAAAGTGAGTTTGTTTGTCTGTAACCTTATAACACCTTAACGTCTTCACCAGTACTATGTGGAATGACAAAGGATATACTAAACGCTGTTTTTTATCCCGATCCATGAAATTATTCCGGCCACGCGAATGAAGTCGCGAGTAAAAGCTGCTATAATAATATGTTAAGCATACCAAATCTTTTTTTTTGTGATTCTGGCATAGAAAAGGCCACCCCTTTCTTTTCCGTGGGTGTCGTAACAGGCGACTACGGGAGGTCTAAGAATGGACAGCAGCGTCCCTCTTAAAACATTTCTAAAGCTTAACTGCGGTGGCCAATCCATCTGTTAAGCGTGTAAATTACTGGCAACCTCCCCCCCCCCCCTCCGTCTTCTTGAAACCGTGGGATTTTTAATGACCAAAATGGTAATTAAAAAGCCCACGCTTGATTGAATAACACCATGCACGTTTGTTATTCGAATATAAATCTATTATCATTGAATTGCAACAAATTAATAAATAATGTCTCTATTCAGGTGTGCATCGTCAGCCTACACTCTACTGCTCGGGGCCGGACACATAGCGAAAACGTAAAGTAAGTACATACAGTAAAAGTCCTTTATTCGCGGCGTATAACGTTCCGTGAATATGCCGCGAATATACTCGTAGAAAGTCGAAGCACTTATACAGCGGCAATGTCATTTGACAATATACTTTACGTATAGTTGTAATAAGGTCTATTTTACTTTTTTATCCGTCTATTTGCCGACGTGTTTACAAAGGATACATAATCCTTTTTATTAATATGCAACGATTAGATCCGCAAATATACAAATCTTTAGCCGCGAATATAGGAATTGGGTCGCAATTTTTTAATCCGCGAGTCAAGGAAACGTGAATAAGGAATTTTTACTGTACATATTTAAGAGCTTATTGCCCCATCTGTCGGTTAAAGCTTTGCTTGTTACTTAGTTAATTTAAATTTTTAAATATCATCTTAACGAACGCGAATACTCAGGCTGTGGGACGACCTCACTACCGAGGTTTTCCCTAGAGTCTACAGTATGGGGTTCTTCAAAAAGCTTGTATTAAGATTTCTTCAGGGTCGACAACGTGCACGTGACACCCCTAGTGTTACAGGCGTCCATAGGCTACAGTAACCATTTAACATCAGACGGGCTGTATGCTTGTTTGCCACGTTCATGGTATAAAAAAAATATTTTATACATTAAATTTTGTTACAGACTCGGGATTTGGCAGTTAACACACTATAAACCGACGAGCTATTCACCAGTGTCACTGTGTTTTAGTACATCACCATTAGTATGCATATAGTTTCGTTACAATCCAGTATTGGTATCCACCCACCTTTCCCTATAGCTCAACAACTTCGTCCACAGCACTCCTGCGGTGTGACAAATGCTAAGCTGTCCAAACTTAGTGTTTCCATGCTACACAATACATTCTCATTCTCATCAGGGTGTATCAAATATGAAGTTGACGAACTATAACAACCTGCTATTGAGATTACAATAATTTTAATTTATTTAAATATTTGATATCGGCATTGTCCAATACTTCTGACAGATTTCTAATAATAGTGATGTACCCTAGATATCTATATATCGATAAATAGGAGATACTAAATTACTACAACTACTAATTTAGTAATGATGGCGCCAACTAATGTTAAGAGTCTCTAGATCGCATAATAATCCTTCCTGCAACCGTTGTATATACAGTGTGGGAACAAGATGTTTAGCATCCTTTTAAGGAATTGTTATACTAGTGAAATTGACTGTCGACTCAGTGTTTTGTTTTTTTTTTTTACAATTTTTTTTTTTAATTCGTTTAAAGGATGCTAAAGATTTCAATTTCACTCTGCACAAATGCGGGTATAGATATGTTAACAAATACATCACACAAAGCATGCATTTAACATGTGTATTTATATAACTCGAATAATTTATAATTAATTAATTTTGATGTCTAAAATGACGTAAGCATGCTAATTGACTGCATAATTATATTAATATGTAGTGTAAGTATTAAAAAAAAATAACATCACAGTAAATATAAAAATGTAGAATTTATTGAATTGTGAAAATGTTTAGATATTTGTTCCATAATCACGCATAATAGTTGAACTGATTTGCATGAATTTTGACACACGGATAGGTTGTAACTTAATCGATATTAATAAATGGTGTTATATTCGTGTATCATTATCTCGGAAACGCATTCTCATCGGTAAGTATACAGTAAAAGTCATCACAGCCAAATTCCAGTCATAACTGTTATTAATTATGTAGTAACGTACCGAGAATGATATTTGCCAAATAATACCGTTCATTTTATTATTCATTTTCAGCTTTAGAGTTCATACTAGTCTACTAGTTTTGAGGAGGTATTGATGTGTAGGGAAAATTTAACATTAAATATTTATTGTAATTATTTAAGTCAGCTTTATTCACGTTTTTTAAATTTGAGGGTGCCCATCTAGTTTCGAACTCAACTGCCGTTAACCGCGCTCATGAATAAGGGCTCCTATTAAGTTTGAAACTAGTTTGGCAACCTCGAATTTAAAACGTTGACTAAAGGCGATATAAATCGTTACAGTACAGCATGACTCACGATAATTATATTTAATAAAAACTATCGTATTTATTTGGTTTCATCACCACTCCATCTCAATAAGTCACAGAAAATCTATGTGAATAATTTAAGACGCTGTTCCATAAAAAACTTAAACACGAAGGTAAACTTTTTTTTATCAAAGATATTTAGAATTCATGTGATTTTTTTAAATTATTTCAATAGATGTTCTGTATGAAGTCATATACCGCCTCAAAATTTTTCTGTAATACATTTTTAATACATTTACAATTTCGAAATCAGCAAACAAGTTGTTAACATAATAGGTTAGTTTATTAAATTAATTGCCTATAATAAACAAAAACTATTAGTACAAATTAATTTAGAATTATATTTTTATGTATTTACTTTTGTTGTCTGTCCACTTATATGTATTTTTTACATTTTTTGTAAATAATATACAAGTAATAAACTCATGAGTTAGTATATGGATTTTTACAAGTACTAGTAATTATGTTTAAGAATATTTTATTTAAATGTGCTTTTTTTATAATTTATTAACTTGTAGACGTAAGTGAAAATGCAATACCGTAGAAAAAATATAATTTGAACGTAGCATGCATCTCAAGACATGTAGCGAACAAATTTATCGATTCAATAGATGAATTTTATACCAATAGGTGAGATATAACGAGATGCCGGATGTTGCTGTCTTATTATATCACATGTATACAACAGCAGAAACGTATACATAGATTCGATAAACACTCATCTAAAGGGAAAATATTTAGTCCACATGATTTTTTCATGATGCCATAGAGTTATTTTTTATCATTGTACGTCTGTATAGCATGTGAAAATTTGTTTGAAGGCCCAGACGAGAAACAATCTTCGGCGTGCATCTTAGTTTGGTGTGTTAATTTCTTTACAGAATTTTGTTCAAATTGAAATAAAGGATAAATTGTTTCTCGTCTGCACAGGTCATGCTTATTTAAATGTGTAAACGTTATTTTACATGTCATGCAATGTCTATGCAAATGTCCCTTAATTGCCAGAGTTGTGATGTAAAGAAAGTTTTAAATAATTTACACTTGAAAGCTGCTTTCATGCACCGTTTAAGTTATAGTAAAAATAAAAATTAGGGACTAAACTATACAGTTCGCGACAGGTTGATTTATGACTTGCTCTGAATGTGATATTTTTCTATTTTACTTATTATTTTATTGAACACACATCACAAATTGAAACCAAAATATAAAATGCTTTACATATAAGTGCATATATTGTAGTGCAAAAAAAATAATTGTCTTACGTATGTTTTTGTAGAGAATGCAAAAAAAAATTATTTGCATAGAAGAATTGATAAGAAAGTAGCACATTATATAACATATAATACTTTTTATTAACAAATTGGAAATGCTAAGGCCCAGCATAAAACTGTATTTTACGCATTAATGAAGCTGTATTTTACGTTAGATTATGGAATTTTAATTTCAAGAAAAGAATATATTTTTTCTTAATAAACCAGTAACACACCTGCAATTTCTCTGACTAATACTATGACTTCTGACTATTGATTGCTAACTATGGGCGGCGGTAATCACTTCCCATCACGTGAGCTGCATGCTCGTTTGCCCTCTGTGTTATAAAAAAATCATATATAATATTATCGATATCAAATGTCGATAAATATACCCCAACAATACATCACATCCCTTCACTTAAGCTCACCTGACGCGAACAGTATACATTTTGCTTTTATTTTTGAATAAAATAGATAGAAAAGTTATAAAAATTATACAGATCTGAATGTATATACTATGGCCTAAATTGGGCGCTAACTAATAATTTTATCAATGTTTCGTCTCATTCATGTTTACGCGTAAGAAAAGGATAGTGAATTGATGTACCCATATGTTTAGTTATTTATTTAATTATAATTTAGTTAAAATAAAAAATAACCTATTTAGATGAATTTTGTACCTAATTATGGATTTATTTGTTTCCTAAATATCTATTAAATATTTATCTAAACATACGGGGATTAGGAAATGCAAAAAAAAAATATGAGCTTGTAAATTCTGCCCCCGACCAAAAACTAACATGTAATAATGTAATATATTTTAGGACGTGTATTTATTTTAAAAACGAACCAACCATTTATTCTCCAACAACACTTCAAGAGGTTTCATTAACGGGTTTCTTATAATAGAATCCCAGTTTTCTGTGTCTATCTGAAAATAAATAGTGTTCTAGTTGATTGACCAGGTAAATTATTTTGTTTTTTAAATTATAGTATCCAATAAGATGCTAGATAATGTCATGATTCTTTTTATTGTATTGTTTGCATTTTTAATGGATAATAATGGAATGATAACCCCATCTGTGTTAACGGTAGGGTTACTATACGCTGGTGGGGCACCAGTGAGGAATGATAGGTGAAAATGAACAGACAGATCAATTAGCCCATCGTGATGAATACACCTGTAATTCAGCCTGATGATTTCCAGGGGATCACGTGGAGGTCGACTTGATAGAGTGTATTGTATACCCCCCCCCCCCCCCCCCAATATCGTTTACATTAGTAAAAATTATTTAAATTTCATTGCCAAATGGAAATTACAATTATTGTTATTCACTAAATAGAGATATATGCATGCAGGCAAGGCCTACCGAAGTTTTATTATGTACAAACAAATGAAAATAATGATCTCTCGCTCTCTATGATGTGCCATTTTTAGTGGGAAGGCAATGAAGCCGCTTTGGTCGGGGGTATCTATTTGTTGGAACTAACATACTTTATATCAAGCTATTGTTGTACTTTTAAAGATCTGATACAATGTTGTATAATTTTATACGAATCACAATTTATATATATATACACAGTCTCAAATGATGCACGTCAACATTCGTCAATGGAAATATTGAGTGTGACTATAGAAGTGAATGATTATTTGAAATAATAATAAGTTCTATATAAATCTAAGTCCAAAAGTGAAACTAATTGATTATATATATAGCTTTTAATGATCGCACAGTGCAATCTAAACCCAAACTGTGCAAAACTTTTAATAGATATATAAATACAAAATATTTGTATTCACCGGGGTTCGAACCCGCAATAATTGGAATGAAACGATTTAGATATTATCACCAATTTTAGTTTTCCTTATTGTTTTCTTATATATTTCGTTACGTGTTTGATGTGCATCAGCTTGAGAATATTTCTCAGTATTACTATTTTTTAAGAAAATTTATTACTATATATATATATATATATAAAAAAATATTATATTATGAAAAGATAACTATTTGATGTATTTAGTAAAAAATACATAACACGTCATTGTTTTATTTATCTCCTCGATTACCTTTAGAAAGTTCTGTTGAAAATCAGTGTTTTGCTCTTTTGAGGGCAAAGCAATAAATTGAGTTGTGACCTTTTTGTTGTTGTGGCACACGCACGAAAGGAAAATTGTTACTTCTTTTATTATTTTCCTTTATTCTTTTTAGTTTTTTTTTTATCCTTTTACTTTTTTTGTGTATGTCTATTTGTCTGTTGTTACTTGTGTGCTGTCAGTAATGAAAATAAATTATATATATCTATATAAAAAATGTTAGCTTTTACAACCAATTAAGAATAATGAAAATATAGGTAAGATTAAACAAGTGCTTTAGAAGGTAAGTTAAACATTATGTTTACCACAGTGACTGAGTCGAAAGTCTGACTACCCAATTAGCATAATTTGCTTATTTATAAAAAAAAAAATATGGAATTAAAATGGAGAGTCCACCATTATAAGTGGTAGGTGGCAAGTATAAATAAAAGATATATTTTTTTCATAAAAGTTCTTTATTTCATAACAAAATAAATACCAATTATAACCCATAATAATGCCTACATCTATTAAGAACAATTGAAAATTATAGTTCAATAAATCCCAACAATGATTTCGCGCCGATGAGACTCCTAAATCTACATATAACTCTATTATTACTCCTGCACTAATTTATAATTTATTTTTTGCATAGAAAAGGCACCATAGGTACTTACGCTGTATCTATGCTTTCTCATAAGATGAATATGCCAAAAAAGACATGTCAGCATTAGTAAGGCGACTGAGGCAAGAATATACGGGTGGGAGGATCCGATAATGTTAGTAACTTAAGACGTAATCCCAAATGCAGTAACAATAATCGAGTTATATTGTCCAGAACATCAGGTGGCAAGTGTTTATCAATTATACAAGCATTGAATAGTCTATCTACACAGAGTATAAATTCAATCGATGGTCACCATAGGTGCTTGATAGTTATTACAATATATTAGACTTGTCTCCTTTTTATTATTTCAGCCATCCTAGATGAGTTGCAAACGAATTTATCGACAGATACGATTTCGCTACCGTATGGATGAGATGGAACGAAATAACTGACATCTTGTTTTTTCACATGTGACATAATAAAAATGTATCCGATATTCGTTTGTCACTTGTCTAGAATTTGTTTTTAATTTATTTATTATGGTCAAGAAAAATATATTTCTGAATATAAATTCATAATAAATGGAAAACTTTACGTATCTCTAAAATTAGTGTATTTTAAAGATACAGAGAGGTAAAGAGAATGAGCATTTTCGGCATGCACGTTATACCGGTTTTTGAGTCTTGAAATTACCCCAGCCCTGAACTTTTACTATGCTTGTATTTTGTATAGTATATACTTATATAATACAGTAGGTACAGCAATATAATGTATCTACATATAAGGGACTTAATATACTGAAACAATTTAAATTGACCCTTGATGCGTATTCTCATTAAAATGAGCAATTAGGCAATTCTCAAAATTCAAGTTATTATTCGTTTGAGCAAATGAACCCTGCTTCGGCAGCTCACTAACGCAAATGTGATTGTGTCATTTATTAATAAATTGATTTAAATTACACTTCGCAGTAAAAAACTTCTATAGACAATTGAATTTTATTTTTTGTTAATAGCAACATATATTCTCTAATGGCCACGTCTAGGCAAGCTAATTATCTCCCGGTATAAATCGAATGTCTATTTTTAAATATCTACAAAATTTACATACATATAGTTTTAATATACAGGCGAGTTATTAATACTACGTGTATGTAAATGAATATAGTTGAAACACCACCTTACCAACCTAGCCATAATAGTAAAATTTACAGGAATGTTGTCAAGCTAATTTAAACTTATTTTACCAAAATGCGAAATGGACGTTTTTTTTACAGCCAAAATCATGCTCAGAAGCATATACTGAAAATAAAAACTTAATATTCAAAACAAATTCCCATTTTAAATAGACAACACAAAATACACATACATATCAGTGCATTTATGTTAAATATATATCAATAATATTCACCTATAATAATAGTTTGTGCCAATAAAACTACTATGTACCATTACAAGGTTAAATAAATGGAATTAATTTGATTTTATAACCTCCCTGACCAAAGCTATATCTTCTATCGAACACATCATCTTAGGATCAAAACATACTGAAGTAGCATCAACGAAAGCATAACGTTAAAAAGTTTCTAAATAAAAAAAGAACCATTTTACTATTATACTATTAACATTAATGCTTTTTCTGAAACATTCCACCACTTTGCTTTAGAGTATTATTTCTTTTTTTTTTAATAACCACAATATGGACACGGAATTCAATTAGCAAAAACTTCAACTACATATTATGTCTACTGGAAGATAATAACTATATTATTTCTATGAGTAAGGCATTTCTATACATTCTTTATATTTTACTATTGAGTACAAATTCATCTAAGATTATATTCATTATAAAAATTAAATATGTATTTGAAATATTATGGTAATTATTAATATATGTACATTACAAAAAGAAAAGTATTTTTTCATCTATCTCATTACATTTTTGTAAACTCTATCGAACGAAGATGCAGAAAGAAGTTCGATTCAATCCTCGGTGTATTCAAACTTTAGGTATTTAAACTACAGACTAAACCCCCAATAATAAAAAGCACCGTTATATAAAATAATAAACATATTAAGTATAAATAATAAACACTTCGGTGAAACGTATTCGAGTGTGACATACTTATACCATAAGAATAATAAAAAAAAAATCATTGTACAGCCTACCTTTACTCAAATTGAATTTGTAAGTTAAAAAAAAATTTTTTTAAATGCATAAAATGAAATTTTCATGAATAAATATGCGATATAGAATCAAGGTGTCAACTCGAGCCTCCTTATTCATAAAACTAAAACATCATACAAACTTATTTTAACTATTATAATGTTTTGTTCCTGTTTTTCAAATTGAGAAATTAGTGCAAATGAAAAAGACAAAACAACTAGTTTTAGTTTTATGAATAAAGTGAAGTTATTTTGTTAAATGATCTTTTATTTTTTAAAAATTTTAATAGAGCCAAATTAATCTGTATTTGGAGCATTTTTTTAATAGTAAAGTTAAATCTAGAGTCTATGGATGAAGCAAGACATAAGAACAATGGCACCGGCACTTAGTTATGTGCGTCACAGAGAACATAAAACTATACTAATATCTGTACCTTGTACATAAGGTATTTAGTGTGAAGATAGAAAAATATATAATGTAGTTGATTCTGAGGCGCCATTTCTCTAAATCTGACGCTAAAATTTAAATTTGATGTCGCAGCGAAATCTTTATTCTAAGGACCAATATGAACTAAATTTCTAATAGATTTAAGTAAAAAATATAAAAAAAAATATGAGATTTATAATGGTTCAAAAAACAATAATTTTGCGAAACTATCAACTTGAAATCTTAGATTAAGAGATAGCTTTACAGAAATAGCACCTCAGAATTGTTCCCATTGTATTATGTATCAATCTATATTCACTCCAGGGTTTTATTGTGATAAACACTACATCTTGGCCAGATTATTATACAAATTCAATATCCATGTTACATAACTACAAACTAAGGTTTTCCCACTAAAAAAATCCCATTCCCTATAAATATACACTAGAATTATATTCAGTCGAAATAATGCCTCAGTTTTTTAAGTGAGACTATATTAGAGCGAAGGAAAAGAATTTGTGCCACTATACCGTAAAATTATTATGAAACAAATGAACACCTTAGTTATTTACGATAATAATATGCAATCCAATTATTAAATTTGTTAACCTTTTCACCGCTTGACTTTTTAACAATTACCAAACGCTTAGTGTTCAACTCAAATTGTGAACAATATATTTTTATTTATTGTACTTATTTTATTTTTCAATAAATTTGATTATATTCTTTGTTTTGTTACTATAAATAAATGGTACAACAAGCAACCTATTCTATTGGATAAATCCTAAAGGAGCGATTAAAAGGTTAACCAAAATTAACGCAAGCAAGGTACAACGTTTACATGTGACAGGTACATACAATGCTTAGGTATACAGTAGTTGACTTAGGTTGACATTTGTAGACGACGAACTTTACTGGCTCACCAGTATATAAGGTCGTCGTTGATCATACACGTCACAAATTTATATTTTATCTTCAATTGGGCAATTTTATATGTCATCGCGACACAGTACAATAAAATTTTAACGTTACGATCGATACGATATTATCGTCACGACATGACATTATCGTTACGATACAATTTTATCGTCACAACACGATTATATCGTCACAATACCATTTTATGTTTACGACACTTTTATGTATATCGTCACGATACAATATGCAAATGTATAAAGGCACTTTAATATTTTGATATCGTTAACATGCAGGTCATACCAGAGCCATACCATATTACGGTAAATTATAAAAATGCCCAATGTCTACAGTTGGTTGATCCTTACGAATCATATAATGACCGCGTCATTTGTGACAATTAATTAGAAGACTTGATACATAATGAATTATTAAACTTTGGACTCCATAGACGATCAAGTGGGTTGAGTCACGCATCTGCAGCTATACACTATGCAATTGTTAGGTAAGGAATTCGAAGCATCTCCTTCTGTATCAAGATAAACAGAAATATATATGGGCATTACTCAAACCGCTTAAACGTTTATGGTCTCCTTTTGGTAGACATATCTTAAAAGAAAATCTTAAATAAAAAAATAAATATACAAGTCTGCATTAAAAATGACAACCATAACATATTGTGATCCAAATTCTATATTGTTATTGGACAATTAATCTGATTATATGACTCATTATATAACGGACAGTCAAATAAAAGAAGCCGCATGGCTTACAATTTTATACCTTATAACGTTTTAATACAAAATCGATTTTTAATTAATTTACATGGAAACTGAAATTTCACAATTTTATTAATATAATTATAAACCTAATTTTGTTGTAAAGTTGTCTAGGAAATAATTAAGTATTATACTAAGTCTTTACTTATTTGACCTTTCCAGTAAGTAAAATTTATTTATTGACTACAAGTTTTGTTAAGTTTGTATTATCATTTCGATTTACTCTGTTTGTTTCCCACGACACGAATCTCACAAATACATTTCTCATTTTCGTAATAGCTGTGGCAAATTTCATCTTAATACACGAATTATAATGGAACCCTTGTACAAAATTCTACATAACTACATATGTCAATCAATTAAATTTTTTTATATACAACAAAATTTTATTTCAATTTGTTACTACTTATATTATGATACATAACGACATGAAATGGCAACGCATAAGGGGCACCATGGACACAATTTTTTTATATATATATATATTAAATTTGAGCATGTTTGACTGTAATCTCACCGCATCTTAAGTGACGATGAGTTTTGTGTTACATGCAAACCCAAATAATGCCTATTCTTCCAGTTTTGAAAGGCCTCATGTTAAAGTGATCTGTAAACATTATACATAGGTTTATAGCGTATTTTTTAATATGTTTATATCCGTGGAGCCGTTCATGTCTACAGGCGACGGTTACTTCTTTCCATGAGATGAACCGTCAACTTATTGCCATTCTAAACATCATACAAAAAAAAAACAGATGTTATTATGTTTTGATCTTAATTACAAATGGACTGAATATTTTGTAATACAATATCAAAATTAATTTAAAGTAAAACCACTCATAATTAATATTCTCAATTCATTTCCATTCTTCCAATTGTCGTTTAAATAAACATAATATTAAATTTAAATTAATTGTCAAATATAAAAAATAATTTATAGTGAAATTATTATGAAATTAATAAATTACATCATCTACATTATTATACAAATAAAAATTGATAATTTAAAACCAGAATTCATTTGTGCCAGAATTATTCTTAATTATTAATATAATATAAAAAAAAATATATATATTATACTGAATAATTATTCGACAACATTTTGAGTACACAACGCAGCACTCGGGACCCTCAAATAAATATGTAACAGAAAAATGCATTAAATTATAGCCTGTTTCAATGGGGCTTAATGAAAATGTAAATAAATTAATAATAATGAATAAATGACCCAATAATGAAATCGAATAAATTAAAAATTAATTATTGAATGTTACGAATTATTACTAATTAAAAGAAATTGTCATAATTAAAAAAACAACCTGGTCGCCATTTCGTTAATTCCTATTGAAAAAGTCTACAGAGACATTTAATATTTAGAAAATAAATGGTTCTAAGTTTATCAAGTGATTCTATTGATTGTTGCCTCTAAATATTTCACAAATAAAAATAACTTATTCCTTCATTATTCATTAAAAATTACTAATAAGAATCGTAATTGCATTGCCCAAAAACACCCAAAAATATCCATAATTCCAGTTATTTATTATATTCATATTATTTTTGTCCAAAGTATACAATAAAAAGCAAAATTGTAATATTGTACAGGTCTACAATTTTGCCGTTTGATGCATATTCAGTGCATACCTTTGAATTTCACTTTACTAGCACTAAATACTGCTACGGTGGTACACAAGTTCTATTCCCGACTAATTCACTTTTAAAATGATTTATCTGTAATGATGAAAAAAATATTGAAATATATACGGGCAAAATAATTATCGGCTGATATGGGTATACGAGGAAGAAGATCGTCAAAAAATTACAATATACAAGTATAGTTTGCAAAATCATTAGCATTTCAGCCCTTAACCGTCCACTGCTGAACATAAGCCTCTCCCTATTGCGCAGTTTGCCAGTAGTTGTCACGCTTAGCAGGCAGATAGCATATTTTTAAACTATAGTAATTAAAAAGTAAATTATAAATCTGTTACTTTGTTGTCGTAAATTAAAAAGATTGATACTAAAAACTATACATTAATTTCTTTCAACAAATTATTGGAAACCTCATAGAAAGATTTATCGCCATTAAACAGGATGTTATGTTTTCTCCCACAAACACTCATGTTATGGAATGAGCTCTTTTTTCAAGAGACTATAGCATGGGATTCTTCAAAAAAGGGATAAAGACAATTCTTCAGGGTTAGCAAAGCGCGCGTATTGCAGGTTATCATAGGCTGCTTACCATAAGGCGGGCCGTATGCTTGTTTGCCACCTCAGTGGTATAAAAAAAACAGATTTATCTCTAGCCAGGCATAGATATTATTATGTATGACACTTATAATTACACAATTATATTTAGCTTTTACCCGCGACTAGACTTCTCCATCGCTCATAGTATGTGTATACTAAATTTCATAATGATTGGTTAAGCCATTAAGGATAAGTAAAGATAATAAAATAGAGTTATAAATAAACGAACCTTAATATTTTGTGCTCACTATACAGCCGTGTTAGACTTCAATGGCGACTTTGGGATTGTGTTTGGACCATCCTGCAACATAATAATAGAATTATAATTAAATTGTATTTTACAAAAAATACCAGCTCAAATGATATCAAAATAACTGGTTTGGAATGGAATGGACCATTCCAAACCAGTTATTTTGATTTATAAACTAAACTATTAAACCGATTTTGATAAAATTCCTATGTAGCCCATCTGTAAGTATATCCTTTCAGATAAAAAAGATAATCAAATTGAGAATATCCTTATTTTTAATCGGTTTATAAATATAATAAATATAAAGATGTATAGAAAAAAAATGAAAACAATTTTTGTTAAATAATATATATAAGCCATTTACATTTTACATTTTTTTTAAATTATACTTTAAAATCACACCATTGCATGGTTTATAATTTAAACTTTATGTTAATATTTTCTAAACCACTTATGATATGATAATTTATTATGTTATTATTATTATAATTAATGATTATTATGATAATTTATTTACAATTGACAGGACTTATTTCCGTATCAGTCCCATATTAATTCTTCATTTATTCATAGACACATAATTCCATGTACACTATTAAAAACTAGTCTAGGAGCACTAGGTAGACTAAGGCCGGCCCTGAATACATGCAAGGTATGACGAAAGCCATTCATCTGACCCACCTCGTCTAGTTGGTCCGGAGATACGGTACCATTTCGTAACGACTCCCTTAGGGTGTCATCATCATCGTCTGTATGCACGTCGTAAAACTCTTCGCTGTCCATTTCGCCATCAGTACCTGAGCGTACAAATAGATATCATATTATCATAGGCATAAGGCTGTGTTCAATTACGAGTATACATATGTATGAATAAATAAATACATTCATATATATAAATAGGTAAATAAATATGTAAAACTATCTCTTTGTCTGCTATTTCGTACACATAGGTTTTAGAAGTAGGAAAACTAATGAAAAAGATCACTTTTAGATGGCATATCATGATAAAACCTACACAACTTTTGCAGTTAGACCTTCCGGAACGCAACTGTGTAATTCACATCTAATTTGATGCAGTAGTTTTTGCGTGATACCAGAACAAACATACAGACAGATAGACAAATTTTCTAAAAAATATTGCTTTGGGTTCTACTGATTTTATTAAGACCCTGGTTTTTTTATAGGTGATAATGAAATAGTAACGCCACCCGCGCTATTAGTATACACCAGCGGGGTACCAGTGAAGGATGATAGGTGAGGATGAAATAGGTCAGTTAGCCCATTGTGACGAATTCAATGAGAATTGTTCACGATGGTTTCCAGGGTGAACCATGTGGAGGTTGACCTGATAGGGCATATTGCTAGCAATGGGGCTGTCAAACGTCATTGCTAACAATCCCTTCCCCCCTAAGACCCTGGTTGATCTTAATAAGATCAATGTTAATTTTGCTTAAATATCTCCCATGTATAGAACTTCTATCTAGTCTTGTACTTGTATATTGTCCCATGTATATATGTACTTGAACTTGAGCTTTATTTCTCAAGATTTTAACATGTAAGCCTAAAACTTTATATTCAGGTGTAGTGTAACAATATTAACAATATAAATAATGACTGTTGGCTTGCAGTGACGCTTTGGTGTGAAAATAAGGCTTCTTAGACGAATCCATTGATAGAATGGTCTTAATCAGCGTGCAAATGAGTGTGACACCAGGTGTGGTAATCTCATTCTACCTTATGGACTCACTAGCGATAATAACACTATAAATAGACTCATTTGCTACATATCCACAGAGGTGGTACAGATAGTTAAATAGATTTATAGGAATACTTAACACATACCCAAGACAGACTGGTAGTCTGTAAAATATTCAGAGTCCGAGGCATAACTTGGCTCATGCCCATCTGTGGCATCCCCACTTGGTGTTTTCGCTTTCCTCTCTCTTCTATGAACATTCTTCTTTTGTTTCAACCGGCGAAGCTGGCTAAGGAACATAAAATATAAAATTAAATAGCATTTATTTTGATTTGTTTTACAACAATGTCATGACACTTATGTGACTAGCATCGCGATATCCTTTATTATGCAACCATAGAGAAAATTGTGTGTGAAAAATATTTTAGTTGTAACAAATAAGATGGGTAACACAATTTCCTAAAATTTAGGTCAATGACCACCACCCTGCCAATACCATAGCCAAAACTATCTATTACTTTCATTATTCTTGAGATAGAATGAGACAGCTACTGTAGTTAAGTTAGGGCATTCAAATAATGAAAGATGAAATAAAAACACACACTCCATGTTACATTCATAATTCTTCTTTCAGCCATACATTGCTAAAACTAAAGGATTATCTATGAAACATGTTTTTTTTATTAACTCCCAATATTTACCTTTCTTTTTGTAACTCTCTAAGTGCTTCTAATTCTGTTCTCATAGTTGAGACTTGTTTGTCCAGTCTTGCTACTTCATTCACTGTAAATATTAATATTATCATTTATTAATAAAATTGAATGTTTATCAATTTACTTAAGAGTATTACCGGTAGATACATTTACAATCCTTTCCCTTCAAGTATAAAGAATGGTTGCACCCTATAAAATCTATACTTAGAATAATAATTTATTACCTCGGTTACCTTTAGTAACACCAAATATTTTGTACATAGGTTTTTTATACATAGATATCTAATTTTTCAAAATTTCTAAGTTGCAGAAATAGTTTCTCAGCTGGGATATTTTAAAAATTACAAAATGTATTGAGAACTTGAGCATAAAGTAAATATTGGAGAGTTGAGTCCTGAAAAGATTGTTAAAGAATTTTTGTTCAGCATGTTAGGATTTTTTGTAAAGCTTTAAATCAGCATCATAATTAAAACACAAGCAATCTGTTCCAATATATACTAATGCAAAAGAAAACTTCAATTAATCACCATAAATCATCTGTACGCCATAGTTACACTAGTTATTTATATATGGGAAGCTACTTATGCCTAGAAGTAGAACGTTGATGGGTTATTATAGTATTGTTACAAAAAAAAATTAAAAATGTTAAAACTAACCTAACATAGATCTCCTCTTTTCAGCATACAATTGCTCATATATTAACACACCGGCGGCGCCGACAATGCCCACAATAGCGGCTCCAAACACCACACGTGGATTCAAAATACTGTTTACATTCATTTTAGTAACACAAATATTGGAGGTCAAATATTAGTAGTTAACCTTTGGAAATCAGATTAAGTAATCTGTATTCAGTCAGTGTTAGGTATATTAATTACGTTCGCAATGGTGAAACAAAAACACATTACACAACTGGGTATAATTATTTATCACAAAAAAACGTTGGAAAAATGCAAAAAAATGTTTACACAGAATGACGTACGATGAGAAATTGTGAAAATTAAAATTGTAAAATATAAAGTTGAATATATTAATGTTTATGAGATTACTGAATATTAATGTTAAGTACAATATTTGTTATTTTATTAATTTGCATTTTGTAGCAAGAAAAATACGCTGAATATGCGCGAAGGTCGAACAAAATTCATTCTAAAAGAATGACAATGATTGATTGTTGACTGACCTGTTTCATAGTTAAATGACATTTTAATTTTCACGTTCATCGTAAATAATTTATGAACAAGTGTCTACTCTTTGGCTATCGACATAGATTAACAATATTTCTATATTTAGCTAGCTATATAGTTTTAAGTAAAGATTTTGGTTTTTAAGCAATATTTAGCTGCTTTTGCAAATTAATGCAAAAAAAGTATGCATGAATCTCGATCTAAGAACGAGGAATTAAATAGAAGGAATGATGAAATAAAAACAGTAAATCATATGGATGCCTCCTTTCTTCTTATGCAAATATAATTAGTAAAAAGAGAATGAAAAATACACCATTAATTACTATTTTTGTTAATTCATAGCAGGCATGAATGCATTAATATTTATATAGAAAATATTATACAGCTCTATAACCCTACCAAATTCAGATACAACTTGCATACTTTCTACATAAACTGTGTGTGTGTGTGTAAAATACACTTTCTTGTCACGCTCCAACGTCGTATAAATAAGCTGTAAACGACAGACAGAGAAATACCGGCGGGTACCGAAATAAAGTCCAATCATCCTGCTGTATCCTATTAGAGAGATACCATTTTATCCATCTCAATAGGTCTCCGTGTAGAAAGCGTAGGTATTGGCTTATATTTCTCAATGTTTTATTTTAAACCTTTTTTATGAATAGGCACATAATGTGCTTCTTCCCATATATAAGGAAAATGACCTTCTTTTATAAAACAATTGTATAACAGAATCACTGGTAATGCAAGGGTATTAGTGCATTTAATGAAAAATATTAAAGGTATTTAATCACTTTCTGCACTTTTACTAACGCCTAAGCTACGCAATAATTTTTCAAAATGTTCCATAGTAATATCTATAAAACCAATCACAAAATCGTATTCAATGTTTGTGGAATCGAGATCAAGATATGTATTTGCAGGCTGCATGTATGACAGTGAAAAGTAATCGTTGAAAACAAAACAAATGTCCTCGTGACTGTATAGTCACGAGTTTAAAATCACTATGTATCTACGGCCCTGCCACGATTTCAATCATTAGCTTATTTATGATTGTATTGCAGGGGAGTCTCGATTTTTAAAAAGCCACATATGTATTCTCAGAGATATCTCTGCCCATAGCTTAAAGCTTTGATCCTTTTTTTTAATTAGGCTTATTTTTTTTAATTCTAGGATGAACATGGCTCGCCCAATCCTCTATCTAAACACGCCTATGATTTTATGATATATAATTATATATGTATATCAGATACTTCTGAGATTATAATTAGACAATTCTTAATTGCATAACGCTTGACTATTCTTAATCTAAGTCGTCTATGTATGATTATGCTAATGTCAAATAAGTCACAGTGTACATTGTCATTTGTCAAAAAATATCTGTTTTTCACTCTGCTTTCGGCTTTACAAATAAAAAAAACCTAGTTTATTTTGAAGAAATTCTCCTAATCATGGCTAAAGAAATAAACGTTGAAACAACAAGAATTGTGCACCTATCGTGTTAATCTGTATATTTAATTATCCTTTTTGTTAACCCTAAATCATATTAAGTATAATACATACAGGTTTAGTTAATAGTCTTTCTTGTATAATTGCTATTGTAGCGGTGTTTGTTTGATTACTAAACTTTTTAAACTCAACAATATGAGTTCTGAGACGCATCACACTGAACAATCAATAAAAAATGACAATATCGAAGATTTAAACATTTTAAACGAAGTTGAAAAATTACTGCCAGACTCCACAAAATCTACTAGTACCATCAAAGTTTCTGACAATAGTGACCAGGTATCTGAAGAAACTGCATCTCAAGACCTTGACATAGAACGAGATAAAAACCAGTTAGATGTAATAACAGATGAAGATGATTTTAACAGTGATGATATAGAATTGAGATGGGATGATGATGATGAAATTGATGAAGAAGCTATTCTTAATGATACACCTTCGAAAGTAACAAATGATTCTAAAGTTGTAAATGAAAGTGAACTAATTGAAGGTAATACTATGGTTGAAATTAATCGTAAAGTAGTTTTAAATAGTCCGATAGAAAGTACTACAATGGATAGTAACATTTATGAGGATAAACTTAATCCTATGAATGTAAATATCAATAAAGAATTTTCCAAGAAGGATAAAGAATATGTATTGGCTAAAACTTCTAATAATTCAGAAAACTTGTCTGTTGATTTAGTAGAGCATAAAGATAAAGAAATAAATGAAATGACTAGTAGTATAAAAATAAATACTACCAAAGATAATTGTAATATTGATATTGACAATGTTTCTCAAGTTCCTGCTCAAATTACTAATACTAATGAAGCAGATATTACTGATACAGCATTAGAAAATACATATGAGAAGAACAATAAATGTCATGAAACATCATTTGGAATTATTGAAAAGTTAAATATCCAGAATGAAGCAGATAAATGCATTAATACATTAAAAAAACAAATTAAGCCTACTGAAAGTATTACTCATAAAGATCGTAAAATGGATGTTGATGAAAAGTCTGAGTTGGAAGATTTCACAGAAAAAAATAATTTATTATCAAGTACAATTAATGAATCATTTCAAAATGATAGTGAATATAAAACTAATGTAGAGCATGGCTTAAATAAACCTGATGTAATGTTGGAGATTCCAACCCAAGAGTTAATTGATTTCATGAATGATGATAATTTCTCACAAAGTGACATATCTGGCGAAAGTGATAGCACAAAAGAAAAAAGTGTGAACAGTGAATATGATGGTAAAGTTGAGAAAGAGAAAACAAGTGCTTTGGTATCAGATTCAGAACAAGTTGAAACTGTGGATCAACAGAAACTAGATATTTGTGAAAAAGATGTGAGTGATCCTAAATTATGTTCTTCCATTGTTAATGTTGACCATCAGCTAGATGAGAATAAGGATAAACCTAAAGATACCATAGAATCACAAACTGATATGGGAATAATAGAAAAAGATAATAAAATTGAATCAGAACACTCTAATTTACAAATAGTTAATGAAAATAATGAATTGGAGACAAATAGTATTAAAATGAAGACAATTGAAAATATGGAAAATAAAGAAGGGATGGAAAGATCACTGTTTGCACCAGAAAAACAATTTCTTTGTAATGAGGGTAAATCTGATCCACCACATTTGACATTATCTGTTGCTGATGAACAATTATCTAAAACTATAGTTTTATCTAGTACAGGTGCAGAAAAAATTGAATCTTCTAGCATGTCTATAGTAGATACAGAATCAGATACAAGCAAACTAAATGAAAAATCAAAAATAATAAAAACATCAGACTTAACTAGTCAAGCACCATTAACACAGGATAATCAGTCAAATATAGATGATGTAAATGCTGTTCAACCATCCACATCTGTAGAATTAAGTACAGATGCACAACTTCAACAATCAGCATTAGATAAAATGGTGGTTGTGCCAGAAGTTACAGATAGTTTGGGATTGTTGGCTGAGTCATCAAGAGTTATGGAAGATGATGAGGAAGTGGAGGAAGATGATGATGGTGATGATGATGAGGATTTTGATCAGGATGATGGTTAGTTAATATTCTTAATGATGAGTTATTATCTACTGCTATACCTGATCCTTATGCCAATGGTCCTTATATAAATATCATTCTATTATATCATATAAGTTTATATTTCATAGCACAGAAACTGGACTTTTACTTTTTGCCCTAAAGAAATAACTCCAATTATATTTAGTTATTATATTATTTGATTTTGTTGCACTTTTTTTCATGACATAGGCCCGTTAAAATGGATTTTTCTTTCATGCAAAAACTTAAAATTAGAATGAAATGCACACATATAACTTAATAACTTGGCATATGGGATTTTATGTGTAGGTACTGACTTATGCAAGCGAAATTGCAGAATATATAATAGCTAGTTTGTTATAAGAAGATAAATTATTTTAATTTTATACTTATTATTTTTACACAGAGAGTAGTAATCAAATGACGGCTGAACATTCTGAGGACTCAAATGCACAGCAATCAGAGCATGATGCTAAGGATAATGATGAGAAGGATCTAGAATCTCCAGAAGTGAAGACTGCTGATTTTGGATTTCCTGTCACTGATGATGCAGGCATTGATAAGGATATGGAGATTGATGAAGTGGAATGTGAAGATGTGAGTATTGTCATATTTCATTTATCCAATAATAGTCATTGCAACATATTTTGATTATGAGATTGAATATGGCTCAAAAAAACAAATTTAAATATGCATAAATAACACAAAAGTTTATAATTATGTGAAATAAATTTAGTTTTAAATAACTGGTTACTGTAGTTGCATTGAACTTGACTGATATTGTATATTGTGTCATTATAAGATTGTTTAGGTTTAGACTTGGTATCATGATGTATGATAGAGGTAACCCCGATTCTGTATTAACTAAAACTGTATTGTATGTTTTGCTCTCCAAAAACTATAAGATATATTAGGATTATGAATATGCATGATTTTTTTTTCTTATACCATTTGCTATTGTAGGTTGGCAATCATTGAGGAGTACTCTACAGAAACTGCCACCCAGAAAAGGAATCCAGTCCTTGACCGACAACAATATCTTTTGAGCCAGAAAGTGTCTTGGGACAGCTGTTCTGTGGCCCTTTGAGACCTTCCCCTGGATAAAAAATTTAATTACATATATGAAATATTTCATGTTCATAGAGAATAATGAAAACAATCTTTATAAGACTAGTTTTTTTAATTTAAGCAATATATACAATTCCAGGTGGACTTGAGTACAGAAGTAAACATAGCAGATGACAATATAGAAACAACAGAAAATGTACTACCTGAGCCAGATAGTGAACCAATGAAACTAGAAATGGTATGTACCATTAATTTGAATATGATTGGTGAATGTCACTGATTGTAGTAATATATATAAGATTATATTTCACTAAAAAACTTACTATAAACTTAAAAACAAGTCAATCAATCAAAAAACAAGCAAATCTCGCAAATAGGTTTACTACACAAGGTGCAGGCTCAAACCCATTCAAATCAATAATATATTTTTCAGTCTTACAATAATATTAAGTAGAAATTGATCTACATATTTTTAAGTAAAATGTAACAATTATTTGCTATTATTTTATCATAATAAATCCGAGATAAGAGAACAGAGGTTACAAGAAAATTTAAAAAGGTGAAATGGAGATGGGCAGGTTATATGTTAAGGGATAACAGTAAATGTGTCAATACTGTAATAGTATATGGCTTCCTCGTTACAGAGCTTAAAGGAAAATAGGCTGTCAATATAAAAGAGGGTTAGATGAGATCAAATGTTTTGCGGGTGCATTGTAGCTCAGGACGTGTTCAGAAAAAATCCAAGGAGGAGCTGATCCAAGGATGCTGGAGGAGCCAATTATATCGAAAGATCACATTGATCCAGCGACTGTTGCGCATCATAGCTATTAATTATGTACAATAAATAAAGGTCTTAAAATTGACATTGAATTATAATAAATCAAACTGATATTATAAATGTAAAAGCTTGTAAAGATGTTTCGATGTTTGTTGCTTATACAGCTGAACGAATTTAAATGAAATTTGTTACATGGATATTTTATATATTGACGCGCATGCGTAAGCTAAGTGTTTATAATATGTAAGTGTTCACATGAGATGCCTCTTGCGCTTTCTTATAGGAAGAACCATCCGAAACGGCTGTTGAGTCACCAGAAAATACGCAAACTGTGGAGGCATCATGCAGTTTCGTCAATCAGGATAAAGAAACCAAAGAGAAATCACCTATATTGGAATCATTGTTGTTGAAAGGTTAGTTCAATTGGTATGAAATTATGTATGAAAAGACTGAATATATGACCACAAAATCTTTTTAATAATTATAGTAATAAACATAATTTTTTTTGTGCGAATGACGTGGTTTATTAAGATTCAAAACTAGTCCATGGTTACAATTGTCAATACATAAAATAAATAAGTAATTTAAAATATATATAAAATCAAAAGACAACAAAGCTTTGCAATTTTATAAATGTTAACAATATTTTTTTGTTCTTATACTAATAATTTGTTATCTATAATTAATACTACTACTATGTACTAGTAGTACATATATATTAGGGTCGGCAAAGCTCACGTGACACCCCTCGTGTTGCAGACGTCCATAGACTACAATGACTGTTTACCATGACGGGCTGTATGCTTGGTTGCCACTTTTGTGGTATTAAAAATAAAAAAAAAAAAGGTGGATGAATTTCTCTATAGGAAATTGCAGTCCCTCTACTATATATACCATGTGATATGTTAATTAATATAGATTTATTATTATTAGACGACACAAAGGAGAAGGAAGAAGTGGAGAAGAACACAAATTCTCCAAGTAAGGCGAAGAAATTGGAGATATCTAAACAGAGGCATATACTTAACATTGTTGAATTGGAGGAAAGTTCCGATGATGGTGAGTTTAGAGCCTGTATTTGTCCCGTGTTTGGACAATATTTTTTATCATTTTTCTTTGGTCTTAAGTAATTCCTTAGTCCTCAGGAATGGGTTGCCATTCTTGAGGACTCAGGAAGTCTGCATGTACTATGATGTATATGGATGATAGGTGAAGATGAAAGCAGGTCAGTTGGCTCATTGTGATGAATTCAACAAAAATTAATCAGGATAATTTCCAAATGAAATCGTGTGGACATCGTGCGGGTACAATATACTCTATTGCTAGGTCCTATTATTAACATTTTCTTATCTCCTAAATAGTGTATATTTAAAAGAGAGGGAAATGCCCAAGGACATATTTAAGGTAAGAAGAGATAAAAGATTTTTCTCCATTTTTTTTATATACAACTTAGAATAGCAAACAAGCTGATGGCCCACCTGATGGAAAGTGGTAACCGTCGCCTATAGATATAAGCTACAGAGTATACTGTTTCGCCCATGATACCCCCCATGCATTGCCATTCCTGAGGACTCAGGTGTTATTTCTCCGTATCCAGTAAATTCACGCCATATCCCACCCTTCAAACCGAAACACAACTATGCAAACACAACTGCTTCACGGTAGAAACACGAATAGGACAGAGGTACCCAAGCAATCGACATCAGAGGGAAACTTTGTACAAAACAAAGTTTCCCTCTGGTGATCAATCTTAAATTATTGTTATTTGTAACTTTTTTTAATTTAATTTTAGATGTCCAAGAAATTAAGAAAGAGTCAAAGGAGCAGTCACTAGAACAAAAGCCAAGTTCGACGGATAAGGTGACAAGTGTGAATATACCAAATGACATCGAGGTTATGTGCACATCAGGCGGGGGCACCTCCGAGATCGTCAGCAAAGAGGGGGAGGTCGTTATTAGTGGGATACCGAAACCGCAGCCATTGAAACTTGTAAGTGTAAATAATAATGCTAATTACTAAATAAATAATGTTGACAATTTAAAAAAATTTAGTATTTGACCTTATTATGAACGCAACGATAAGGGATGTTTCATGGATCTCATCCTATATCCATGCATTTCTCCGCTCTTGTTTTCTTTACATTGTACACCCAACATTTGAATTTGGAGCATAGATTCTCGTGTAAATACATATTGTTTTGCTTTTGGTCAAAATCCGCATCTTTAATCTCTACATACTTAAAATGGAACAAGTGTTGGAGTAAGCCTTGTGGATTAAAAAAAAATATGGAAATCAGTTAGTACCATAATCGGCGTAACATGGTTGTAAAAAATGCAGACAAATAGAGTATTTGATTTGGAAAGTCTTAAAAAATATTTGTATTGATTTGGATGTATCTTGTATGTATCCAGTTACAAAAAAAATTAATACATTTACTTATTATTTATTATACAGGCGAGGTTGAATACAAGCGAGGTGTCCATAAAAACGACGAGTACCCCAACAGAATCCACACTAGTTATACCTGAAACTAAGGTATGATTCAGTCACATGATAATTATATTCGCTTCATTCGCTATGTTTCGGTTTGAAGGGTGGGATATGGCGTGAATTTACTGGATACAGAGAAATAACACCTGAGTCCTCAGGAATGGTAAGGCATGGGGGGGTATCATGGGCGAAACAGTATACTCCGTTATGTCCATGGAACTGCTCATGTCTATACGCAACGGTTACCACTTACCATCAGGTGGACCGTTAGCTTGTTTGCCATTCTAAGTTGTATAAAAAAAAATAGAATTTTACAATACATAAATTTTTAATTATTCCTTAATGTAATTTATATATTTTTTCTTTTTCAAAGGGGGTATCTATGGAGTCATATCTGTGTTTATGTAGTACAATAAGGAAATTGTTTGTTTATTAAGAAATTTAATAATTGTTAATTTAGCACTGCACGCACTAGATTAATGTGTCGCCGTACCATTTTTATTTTTATTTCATATAACCTTTTTTCCATCATGAATGTTCAGAAGAAACCAATATATAAATATACATGATACTTCTCATGAATTGGCGTTCCTGAAGACTAAGATATTACCTTCATACCCTGTAATTACACTGTTATATTCCACCCTGCAGTGTTCAGATCGAAGCGGTCATTTTAGCATAGCTACTCAGCGGCAGATACGAGTGGTATAGATGTAAACGTGCAGACGACTTTTGTGCAAAGTCTTCGTGTGGTTGTAATTTTAACATTTCATTGTTTTATGCGCAGCCTATAAAAGACGAAGAAGAGAAACCGAAGTTAGGCATCGAAATATTCAATCTAGACTCTGATGAGGAGGAGGATGCGGCGGTCGCTGCTCCAAAAGGTATATGCTTTTTCTTACATATATTTTTTTACCTTAAAATAAATATATATTTAGTGTTAATTTATATTTTCTTTGATATACTTTTAAATAGTTTGTCCTATATAGCTGTATATTCCAAATTTATTGATTGTTCTTTCTTGTTATAACTGCTTTAATGTAATCCCTCCTACATAAAATGAACAAGATATAGCTAGATATAGTTTTTTAGCCAAATCTGCAATGCACTTAGCAAAATTAGTATATTCCAGTACTGTTAAAAAGTAATATTTTTAGTTTATTAAATATACTTGGACAGGATTCGCAACTTTGTCAACACGAATTTTTGATAACGATCCTTCGAATACTTCTAAGTTTAACAGTGAAAACATAAGGACTAACAATGTTAATACATTATTTGTAGAGGAACCGTTAGCACCGCCTTCAGAGACGGCCAAGCAGGTGACAACCCATACGGGGAAAATCTGTGAAACCAACAAGTGTATCAACTATGCGTGTAAGAGTACGCGGGGGGTTACGTACTTCCATGCGGACGCCGCCACCATAGCGTACTACGACGCGGCCCGCAAGCGGAAACCCACAGTATGTCAGAACTGTGCAAATGTTGTCACTGAAAGGACACAGGTGTGTATTTTGTTGAAAGTAAAATTGTTTTTACAAAATTTTAAAAAATATGCACTCTATACCTTTACATGAAAGATCAATTTTAGACATCAGCAATTTTTACGGCCAGTATAATAAAATCGAAAAAAAAAAAATTAATTCATATAGGTTCATCATTTATGATGTTATACATTATTTCCGTTTTTTTACGAAGTAACTTTACTTGATAAAAAAGACGAATTTTCTTGCCAGTTCTTTTTTAAATTATTTTATTTCACAGTAACAAAAACAACAATCATAACTAGTTTTTAGAATTATTTTTATATTTTATAGTAATAGATATAAGTATAGCAATGTTAGATTATACCACAGAGTAAATGAAATTACACCGATAAATGTAACTAATATATTGTTGCAGAAACTTATTAATGGTATCAAAGAGTTCACACCCCTGTTGGAACTCGATATGACCAGGGTGTCTCAAGAACTGGTCGAGATATCTGACTCGGATTCTGAGGATGAGGCCGATGTCGGTGAGGAGATAAAAGAAACTGTAGGCGAGGCTGGCGCTAAGTAAGTATTGAAGGATTCATTTGTCCCATTTTTCATTATTTGTAATGTTACTTGTTGTTTATTATATTACATTACATTATATATATATATATATATATATATATATATATATATATATATATATATATATATATATATATATATATATAATGTTACATTATCCAAATTACATTACAAAATAATTTGTATTTTTATTATTATTAGTACTATTTACTATCCTATAATAACTTTTAATCACGTTTAAGTTTGTATAGAATTCGCATTTTTATTTTTTAAAGCCACGTGAAGTTGTCTTCATGAAGTAGCTTTGATTATAATTCATATTGAACTTCTTTAAAAAATATTTGTTTAAAGTTTCCATGGCCTATATGTTTTTTTTTTTGATGGGTGAAAATGGTATGGTAACCCCGCCTGCGCTAATGGGATACGCTGGCGGAGCACCAGTGAAGGGTGATAGATGAGAATGAAAACAGGCCAGTTAGCCCATCATGATGAATTCATCAGGAATTAACCGTGATAGTTTCCAGGGAGAACCGCGAGGAGGTCGACCTGGTTGAGTATTTTGCTAGCAATGGGATTCTCAGTCTCCATTACTAACAATCCCTTTTGCTCCCTGGTCTATATGTTGGCCCATAGAATCTTGAACTACATATATTTGAGGATCGGGCGTGTATCCCTTATGCTTTGACATTTCTGAGGAATATATTCTTATTCCACTGTATCTTGTAATTTCAGATTGTTAGAAGAGCACTTGGCTGATGTGATAAATAACACCTGGAAGAAATATAAGCTGGACCAACGGCTCACTGAAACAGAAGAAGAACTTAAGAAACAGCTCAGCATTCTAGAAGGCAAGTCTAATATTCAATGAGTCAATGAATGAACGAATGAAAACTCTTTATTGTGTTCCCTTCCAAGAATAATACAGATTATAAAGAGGGAGACTTTGTACAAAAGTCGATTGCTTGGGTACCTCTGTCCCATTCGTGTTTCAACCGTAAAGCAGTTGTGTTTGCATAGCTGTGTTTCGGTTTGAAAGGTGGGATGTGGCGTGAATTTACTGGATATGGAGGAATGACACCTGAGTCCTCAGGAATGGCAACGCATGGGGGGTATCATGGGCGAAACAATATACTCTGTTATGTCCATGGTACTGCTCATGTCTATAGGCGACGGTCACCACTTTCCATCATGTGGGCTGTCAGCTTGTTCGCCATTCTAAGTTGTATAAAAAAAAAAAAAAGATTTTATGTATCTAAACAAACAAAATTCAATGAATTGATTAGAAGGAAATTAGATATAAAGAATAGAGAGAAAGGGGTGAGGGGGGGGGGGGTAGTATCATTATATTTTATCACATCTCGTGTACATTTTTATTTCCTCAATAAAAAACAAAGTATCAAAAAGTGTTTATACTTTATTTACATATTCCGTGACGGTACAGAGGAGGGCAAAGAGATCGACACATTGCTGAACGAATGCCAGCGGGCGACCGACAAGTTGCGCGGTGAACTGTACGCCACGTTCGAGGTGGACCGGCACGAGTTGACACCGCTGGTCATATTCGATACGCCCAATAATCTGGTAAGTTTTTTTTTTAAGTTAAAAATGGAATTGTAAGTCTGTTTCATTGCATTTATCACAAAAATTGGATGTCGAAGTTTAAACAAACATTGTCTTTGTTTTTCAGTACATAACCACTGAATCGTCTACTGAGAATAACGCCACTACACGAGATGTAAGTACAGAATTAAGATAATATAGTTATAGGGTTGACTTCAACAAATCATAATAATTTTAATGGATGAGAATAGAATGGTTAGCCCGCCTGCGCTATTGGTACATACTGGCGGGGCACCGGTGAGAGATGATAGGTAAGGATGAATGCAGATCTGGTGGCCCATGATGAATTCGACAAAAATTAACCATGATGTTTTCCAAGGGGAAATTGCATTAAAAAATGACTATTCAAAAATCCTTATTACTAAAATTAATAAAAAATATTTATTGTTATTACTTCTACGTACATCGTCAACGTCATTTCTTAGTCCTTTATAAATAAAAATTAAAGTCTAAAGGTACGCACGATACTTAAAAATTTAGATTTACCCATTTCTTTATGGTTTCAGTACGTGCTCTGTCAGTGTACAGTCAGTATCTAAAAATTGGTTTTTTATTTCGCATCCGTTAGAGTATTAATATGAGAGATGAACTGAGATACTTAATTAAGAGATGCTTTTTACTGCAGGGTCGACAAAAGCGCCGGTTGTCATCAGCGAGCGATCCAATCAGCAAGCGCCCTGCAATTCCACTCGGATACACCCCGCTCGAAGCCACGCCCGCTGCCGCTGCCGTATCCGCTTCCGCTACCGTCTCCACCGACACCAAGCCACAGGTAACTAAATAAATACTAAATTATGTATAGTGATATACTAATAATACAATATGTCAATCAAGGGTGGGTAATATATATATATATATATGTTTTTTAATATTTTACTTTACTATTGAATAGATGAGGACATTATACTGGTAATAAATTTATTGATAAATTTATATAAATATTACGAATTTGCTATTCTTAAATTATTTAATTATTAATTGCAATTAAATTTTACTTTTTAATATTCTATTAATTACTTATGAAATATAAAGTTTAAAATTAAGCTGCGATCTTAATTTTTAGTGTTAAATTCCATTAATATTTCTTTTATTTATAGATAATTAAATAAAAGATTATATTTTCATTGTAAAAATAAAGGTTGATTGATTGATTGATTGATTGTCTTATTTTTTAGGAAATAAAGAGTGCTGCTATTGATTCGTCTAAGATTGACGACGATGTAAGTAACTATTGTATTTTTATAAAAAGTTTCATTTATAAATATAGTTATGGAAGTGAACGAAAAAGAAATATAGGTATATTTAAGATTAGTGTTGCTGGCTCCTTAAAAAAGTCAATTATGTACTCTCAGACACGTCTTTGTAAAGTTTCGCTCGCAACCTGGGATGGGCATCACACAAATCTAGTCTCACCCCTCCCTTCTAAATACGTATATGAAAAACGTATTTAGAAGAGACCTGGCAACGCACGCGTAAAGCCTCTGGTTTTGCAGGCGTTCATAGGCTATGGTAACCGCTTACCAATCAGGTGGATCATATGTTTATTTGCTACATCAGTAATACAAAAAAAAAAAATTGAACAATCATGAAACATAAATTGAATTGAAGTATTTATTCATGAATACTGCCACTAGTTTCTGATAATGTGTTTATATACCATATATTTTACAGAAAGATATATCGGTGGTGAAGTTATCGGCGGAATCGGCGCCGTCGGACCTGCCCCCGCCCGGCGAGTGCAGCCGGCCGCCGCTGCGAGTCGGGATGACGGTGTACGCGATGCGCAACGTGTTTGGCTCCTGGTCGTTGGCCAAAATCACTGAATGCCAGCCAAGGAGCAGCGTGGTGAGTTTAAAATTTCCTTTGTTACAGTTTAATTTTAATATTAATATTTTTATTCAAGCGAACTTAATTACAAGCATTTTTTAAATAGACATTTTTTTTATTATTCTGCAATTATTACAGTACCATATTGTCTGGTTCATATTTCAATTGTAGCGGGTTTGATTCCTGCACAATACAAATGTTTTTATTTGGAATTTGGAAGACAAGATCTTCCTGTCATTTTTGCATTAGGAAATTAAATAAACCATTCTAACAACTCAGAACTTGTTACAGTTATAATTGCCACAAGTCTATGAATTAATTATAAAAAGTTTTAACAACTCAGAGTTACCACTAGCCAATTTACAACAACACTAACTCTGAATTCACAATGATTGCATTATTAAAAACTGAATAGACGACTCTAATAATAAAGAATAATTACAAGGATAAATGCCTCATATCTTCACACTTCTCTCTTCCCTTCTCCCCTCTCCCCTCCCCCCTCTATCTATCTATCTCTTTCTCTCTCTTATCTTTTCCAACTTTACAACCGTTGAATTAATCTATAATTAGCTCTGCTAGCTCAAAATTCCCACAAATGACATTACCACGAGGGAAACGATAAATTATTTATGACTACAGCACTAGTTCATAATATTAGAACTAAATGTGTGGAACTGTGATAATTGATACTACAAGTGATATTAGCAAAAATAAAATGGTGAATGTCTGTGACTGTGAATAATAGACTGAAATAATTGAAAATTACCGCAAGTAAAATTTTGAATATTTGTTCCTGTAGCACCAGTTTACAGTGTGCCGCGTGAAGTTCGAGAACCGAACGAAGAATTTATGCAGGACAACGACTGCGCGGTGCCTCGCCTACTACGATCCGGCCGACTGCAGGCTTACCATTGGTCAGTATATGTATATACTCGCTGGCACTGCAAATATATATATATAGTTAGTCGCGAGTATACATACTGCATTGTAATTACACATATTGGCTTTAATCACGTTTTAAATTCTCGAATAGTTTAGTCTTGTAAATAATTAGAATCTTGGCAAATTCAAATTATCTTTATTTAAATAGACTTGTTTACAAACTCTTTCAAATCGCCATATTTTATGACTTTACTTGTGGGTACGGAATATTGTTATCTGCTGAGAAGAATCCACAAGAAACTCATAAGTTACTCTTTTAAATATCTTTTAACATTATGTGTATTTATTTAAATGTACATACTGCATTGTAATAATAAATGTCAAAAAACATGATTCCTTACAAAGTATAAAGGCATGTATTTTAATCAAATATCTAAACGAATATTATATATGAACAAATAAATATTTTAAAAGGGAGAGATTTTGTTTTTTTATTGTAATTGATAAACTCAAAAAATGCTTGGCCGATTTAAAAGTTCGTTCACCTGTAAAGAGCTACATTATCAGCACGTAACATGAACTGTATAGTATAAAAACATTTTTTATTCAACAAAGTAACTTTAGAAATAGATAATTTATTAACTTTTTATTTATTTTAATTTTGTTGTTTGTCACCCTGTTATTTGGATAAAAAAATATACTAAGATGATTCACTAATTGGGTCAAGTAAGGAAAAATAGATTATCCCTACGTATAAATGGAGCAAGTGAAATTTAATGAATTTTTAATTTAATTCCCCAGGTACTAGAGTGATAGCGTTATTCAAAGGCAACCAAATGAAGAAAGATTCCTTCTACTCGGGTGTGATCGCTGAGATACCAAATCCAGTCAATAGTTACAGGTAGATTTTTAAAATGTAAAAATTCTAAAAATCATATACTGCTATCTCTTTTTTGTAATGGATATCTTTTTATGCAACTTAGAATGGCAAACAAGCTGACGGCCTCACTCATGGAAAAGGCACCTCTGTCCTACTCGTGTTTCTGCCGTGAAGCAGTTGTGCTTGCATGTGTTTCGGTTTGAAGGATGGGATATGACCGGATATGGCAGTAAATTTACAGGGTACAGGGGTAATAACACCTGAAGCCCCGGGGGAAAGGCATTGTTAGTAATGGAGACTAAGAATCCCATTGCTAGCAATATACCCAACTAGGTCGATCTCTTCGCGGTTCCCCCTGGAAACTATCATGGCCTGTTTTCATTCTCATCGATCACCCTTCACTGGTGCTCCGCCAGCGTATCCCGTTACCGCAGGCGGGGTAGCCATTCCATTTTCACCCATTACAAAAAAAATACTTGTGGCCCCAGGAATGGTAACGCATGGGGGGTATCATGGGCGAAACATTACACTCTGTTGTGTCCATGATACTGCTCATGTCTAAAGGCGACGATTACCACTTTCCATCAAGTGGGCCGTCACCTGGTTTGCCATTCTAAATTGTATACAAAAATGTGCAGGTACCTGGTATTTTTCGACGACGGGTACGCGCAGTACGTGCGGCACGCGGACGCGCGGCCGGTGTGCGAGGCGTCGCCGCTGGTGTGGGAGGAGGTGCACCCGTTCTCGCGCGAGTTCGTGCACCAGTACCTCGCCGCCTACCCCGAGCGGCCCATGGTGCGACTGCATGCCGGACAGAGCCTCAAGACCGAGTGGAACGGTATCTATACCATACACACATACCCACATAGCCACATTCTCGGTCTACATCCACGCCACAACACCAGTTACCCATTCTCGATCCTGCTAAAACTCAGCAGCTACATTTTTCTGGTTCGAACTCGCAAGTAACTCGCCATTATGCTTTTCAATTTACAGTATACAGTAATTTTTCAAATGTCAATTAATATTATGTGTAATAATTTAAATTAAAAAGTATCACCCATTAACTGTCCACTGAACATAGGCTTGGTGAGTTTTTCCAGAACTTGTGCATGATGTACTAATACCGAGCACATTTGTCACTTAAGATCTATCTCTATATGTAATTAGCCCATATCAATCTACTATTGGGCATAAAACTCACTTTTTGTTGCACCACTTGTAACGGTCGTATACTAACTCCATCCACTATTTTCTTAGGAATTATGTCACCCGAGCATCACATCGATTTAATAATAAATGAATGTAATATAATTAAATTAAAAACTACTGAATTCCCGTCGGAATGTTGTCTTTGCTGTAAAAATTAATTATTCAGAAACCATAGATCCTGAATGGGATGAAGTAACAATAACCAGTTATAATATTTATGAAGAAGGAAGGTGTTTGGAAAAAGTAACAGAAATAAAAAAAAAATATTTCAATAGGCAGGTGGTGGGCCTCCCGTGTGATAAAGGTGGACGCCTCGTTAGTACAAGTCCACTTCGAAGAGGACAATCGTACCGAATGGATATACCGCGGGTCGACGCGGCTGGCGCCTCTTTACTTGGAACTGCAAGCCGCGGAACGACACCGTGCCAGGCCCTTGCCACGCAGCAAACAAGTCAAGGTAAACTATAGTTTATTTCAGTGGAAATTAATGAAAATATAAACGAGCAATTAACCTGTTGATGTCTGCTGATGTCCAATAGTAGACAAAAACCAAATTTGTTACTAAATTCATTTAGAGAGTGTAGAAAATCGAAACAGTATACTCTGTTACGTCCATGGTACTGCTCACGTCTATAGGCGACGATTATCACTTTCCATCAGGTGGGCCGTCAGCTTGTTTGCCATTCTAAGTCGTATAAAAAAACAGTCACAAGTCAAGTGTTGAATTATCATAGAAATGATAATTTATCACTCCCGTGATAATTTAACAACACTTGATTACCTTTTCATTAAGTTTCGTCTGCTCCCTGTGTTATAAAAGACAATTCTGTTAAACAAGTCTGTCATTCATTATTTGTAATAGGATCCTAGTATCATGATAGGAGGGGACAGAATTGTTAGTAAAGTGGACGAGTAATCTAATTGCTAGCAATTAATCCTGTTAGGACGTTGTTTACATGGTTCCCCATGGAGTCCACTATGGTTAATTGCCAGTAAATTTTTCACATTATAGTAACTAACCTAACTTTACCCATCATTTCTCATTGGTACCCCATTAACGTACCAAGAAATTACTAGACCATAATATTTCTAAAAATTTATTTCATATTTTTTTTTTTTGATGTGTGAAAATGGTATGGTAACCCTACCTGCGCTAACGGGATACGCTGGCGGAGCACCAGTGATGGGTGATAGATGAGAATGAAAATGAAAACAGGCCAGTTAGCCCATCGTGATTAATTCATCAGGAATTAACCACGATAGTTTCCAGGGAGAACCGCGAGGAGGTCAACCTGGTTGGGTATATTGCTAACAATAGGATTCTCAGTCCCCATTACTAACAATCCCTTTCCCCCCATTTATTTCATATTAAAACGCTAAACTCCGTTAGAAATAAATTATATATTTTTTTCACTGTATTTAAAGTTTTGTTTTTTCAGACAAACATGCCTTATGTGGAATACACACGTTCAGATGAAAATAAAACGACCGAAGGCGTTGCGCAAGCGCAAGAGGTGGGTATACTGTTCTTTTCTTGACTTCTATGACAAAATTGTGGTATAATATTAATTAGGTTGCCTATGTATGTATGTCTGTTTCATAGTTAATTTTGTCAAAATTAAAGACTTTTATAAAAAAAAAAGTTACATTAGATGTAGGTGATTTATAAATGACATCTTATCATGCTTTGATGCGTTAAATTCATTAAAAAAAATGAAAATATTTATTACTCGTCAGTGCATCATTTATGTTACGATTGAAGCATGTTTTTTTTAAACAAAATTAACTAGTTTTTTTTTTTTTTTATTTAGGAAATGCGTCGTCAACGAGCGGTCGCGAAGAAATCAACAACACCTGCCAGCCAGCAACCACCACCAGTGGCGGCCACTAACCTCGACAGCGTCACCAGCAGAGTTGTGGTATGTATTGGTATAGATTATTTTCACGCTAAATCCCTTGCGAGGTAGACGAAGATAAGCATATATAATATAAAGAATGTAGGGGGCAGGTTGGCCAAAACGAAAGCAACTGATTCAGGTCGATGATCTGAATCAGACGGCAAATTATTTTCACACCGGAAATGCACCACAGCTATATAATAAACGATTCTTACTTTTGACGCCGCTCAATGTATTTGAAATTTTATGACATACCGTTCTCCACGCGACGCGGAATCTATACCGCGTGCCTCTTCGTAGGTATTTTTCGTACGCTTGTGGCATTGGCCTCCAACAGCTGATTCCGCGCGTTGCTGTAGAACTATAATATATTGCTGTTTTCTGGTATTTCATATTATTTTACTATAAAATTTCATTATTTCTTTATATTATGAATGATATTAAACATGCGAAATATTTAAAAAATTAAAAAAAGAATTTCCACTGATATTCAGTTCATAATAATAGTATGATTTCATTGTTCTAGTTTTTGCCAACCTGTCTCTTACACCCTATATATATGTTTATTTATATATGTATACATATATTAGTATATTATAGTGCGCCACCTACCCTTCATGTTTTTATTAATGTCTTTTACCTAAAAGTGGTGTGTGCTTAAAAAACTGCCTTTTGGGTCACTTCACCTTAATTATTTATTGTATTTCTTATATCATAGTACTACACGCCGAAAAATGCCGTTAAGCCATACAAAATGGTACCTCACTCGTGTGGTCCCAAGTGCAAGAGAACTGATGTGCTAGCACTGAAGGATCTGAGGACGTACAATCCACTAGCTAAGCCCTTACTCAGCGGCTGGGAGAGGTAAGTTACTTTATAGAAACTTTTATTTAATTTACTGTGTTTGTTTAGGTAAAATCTTGCAAGCTAAATTAGTTCTTACTAATCCATTTTGCTGAAATTTTACTCTCAAACGATACATATTCAATATTGTGGTATTTACAAAATGGCCGCAGTCACAAGATGACGGATAGTGTATATTTTGTCAACCCTGTTGATATAAGTACCAAACAGAGTAGGTAATAATAATAAAACGTTATAGCTTGTTATTAAAATTGAATTTGAATAGACTTCTCAGTCGCTAAAAACTCTACCTCTGCTATGATTATACTCGTATTAGTGGTAGAGGAAGTGGTAGAGAAGTCTACAATTTAATATGTGTAAATTTAGACATTGGGCAAACAAAAATAAATTAATAAAGTACTAGGCAAAAGATAATTAAAAATTGTGTCTTACAAAGAAATCGACTTTAACCGTGAAAAAAATCAGCTATTTTGATCTGAAAGCTAAATTTTTAATCTAATTTTAATAAAATTTCTATAGGACAAAAAAAAAATTACAAATCAGTTTATAATTGACTGAGTTATGGCCCATAACTTATGGGGTAACAACCATTAAAAAAATGCAACTAAATTGGAAAGCTCCTTGTTTTTGATTTCAATCAGCTACAGTAAACAGGCAGTGATCGAGAAATAAAATACAGTGAAAACTCTATATAGCGAAATCGAGGGGACCGGGTATTTTAATGCGTTATAAAAAGCTTTTATTGAAAGAAGAGTAAAAAAAACAACATAATTTTACAAATAAGTACCTTTTAATTTTGACAAAAATAAAAAAAAAAATAAAAAAAAATACATACCAAAGTTATAATCAGTTATCTTTGTTTGTTGTTTTTGTACTATGCCAGTATTTTAATTGTATCTTTTCTTGTATTTTATTCATGACCTGCGATATAGTGGGATCATCTTCGTTAAAAATAAGTTTTTGAAAAGAAGAAATATTTACAATTCTGTCTATATTGTATTTCAAGGCCAGTGAAACTAATATTTATCGGGGTTCCAATAACGATATATTGTTTCGTTATTAAGAGTGATTGTATCGCCTGTGTAAAATGTTACAATACAAGAGTAACAATGTAAATCAAACACATCTTAGCAATGACATTTTGAGTCATTTGTTAAATAGAGACTTGAGATTTATTCGTAAAAAACATTACTGTAATTTTTTAACTAATATTATTACAGTGAACGCTCTATATAAGTAACATTCTTTATATTTTGTTTATTCTACTCGGCTTAGTTAGTGAAAGAAATTAGTAAAAATATTTTCCACACGGTAAAGTATTTTTATACTATTTTTTTTTCCTATAAGCAATTTTTCCCAATAAGAAATTTTTTTATTGAAATTTGTTCAAATGAGTTGCTTATATAGAGCGTTCACTGTATTACAGTTTTATAAGGTTACAGTAGTTGTGATTTTAGAACTGGGTTCCTAAATAGGTTGATACAATAACCTGTGTAAGTGTTATAGTTTACCAGAGGGAGACTTTGTAAAAAAGTCGATTGCTTGGGCGCTTCTGTTCCATTCGTGTTTCTACCGGGAAGCAGTTGTGTTTGCATGGCTGTGTTTCGGTTTGAAGGGTGGGATATGGCGTGAATTTACAGGGTACAGAGGAATAACACCTGAGTCCTCAGGAATGGCAACGCACGGGGGGTATCATGGGCGAAACAGTATACTCTGTTACGTCCATGGTACTGCTCATGTCTATAGGCGACGGTTACCGCTTTCCATCAGGTGGGCCGTCAGCTTGTTTGGCATTCTAAGTTGTATAAAAAAAAATAGAAGTCCGCTAAGTAGAGTTGACGGCGCGTTATAGGCAGATAGTGCGGTACAAGGGCCACAAGGAGGTGATGTACCGGGCGCCGTGCGGGCGGCGGCTGCGCGGGCCGCGCGAGCTGCACGCGTACCTGTCGCGCGTGGGCTCCGAGCTGCCCGTCGACCTGTTCGACTTCGCGCCCAACACGCACTGCCTCGCCGAGTTCGTGCTCAACAAGTGCCTCGTCGGCAAGAAGGTGCGCGCTCACGCAACAAACAAAAACATTATACACTACCTGATGCCCGTCACTTTGTCCGCGTGGTGTTTGTTATTCTTGTTCTGTATGTATCGATGTATGTTTTTATACCATTTACCAAAATTAACAAATGACATGTCGTTCCCACTCTTTGCCATAGGTCAAAATGACTTTACTTAAGTAGGTTGTGTATTAAGCTGTATAAGTTACTATAGTGTTTTAACTATCCCACAGGAACTCTTTAATTTTACGTAATTAAAAGTATCTAAAATGTTGACTGAGGATGTAAGGTACCCCCATGCAAAGTTTTATTTAAATCGGTCCAATAGTTTCAGAGATTAACCCGTACAAACAGACAGAGGAACAAAAAATTTGAAAAAATTCTGGATGTGTTCTTTTTTGCTTCTAACATCCCCCCTGGACTCGGTTTTTAGCGTTATTTTTTCTATATACAGACATTCGACCTCTATAGTTTTATTATATGTATAGATTAAGAGCGTTCACAATCAAGTGTGGCAACGTCGCAATTAACTGTCAATTTACAGAAACGAATAATATCAATGTTTCTGATTGATTATTTAAAAAGAGCTCCGCTAGCGAACTAAAACTATAATCACAAAATACATATAAATTTTGCATTAAAAACTACACCTACTTCATTTTAATATCAGTTGATCAACTTTATACCTCTAAAAATACATTACCATTTTGATTTATTATCCAATAATTTTTAATTACACTTTTAAATTTTTTATTATTTTCGAATTTAATTACGTGCGTACAAAATGATGTTGATCTCTTCACTTACCACAGGACTTGTCGCACGGCAAAGAAAACGTTCCCGTTCCGTGCGTGAACTACTATGACGACTCGCTGCCGGAGTTCTGTTCGTACAACACGGAGCGGACGCCCACCGCTGGGGTCCCACTTAACTTGGACCCCGAGTTCCTGTGCGGGTGCGACTGTACGGACGATTGCCAGGTATTTGACTCGAAATATTATTGGAATAATAAAAAAAATATTTTTAATGTTTATTGAATTTATTAGGTGGAAATTTATTTACTTTTTATTGCATGAATTAAAAATAATAAGTAAAGTAAATTCTAATGAGAAGTGATACAAGAGGCGGCCTTTGTTTGCTAAGCAATCTCTTCCAGACAATCTTTGGATAGAGTCATTGAGAAAAAAGACTAATTATAGATAGTACTCTATCTATAATTAGTCTCCTGTATAAATACAAATGTAGACCAATCATTTAGTAAAGTTTGTACAGCTATTTGTTACGCAATCACATTTAAACGATTGTTTTTGAATAAAATTTTGTACATAGATAAATAATATCCTAAATAAACTCCTAATTATAAGTTTTTGTCTAAAGTCACGCGGGATACAGCTATTGTTATCATAAACATGTTAGTGTATTGTTATCCCTAATGGTGGCAAAAACTCTGTGCTCACATTATATTAGCTATATATATTTCTTCGTACTTATTGTTATAAATGTATCAATATATGCTGTGTTTCCCTATAAAAAATTGTTACACTCAGTTCTAAATTTCATAATCGTATATATATTTGGACAATTTTGTGGAAACAATTGTTAGTGAACCTACATAAATAAATAAAAAAATAATTAAGTTATTCTAACTTTCTCAGGATAAGACTAAATGCGCGTGCTGGAAGATGACACTAGAGGGCGCCCGGACAATCGGCCTGGACGGACCCAATGTGGGATACGTGTACAAACGGCTACCGGAACCCCTGCCTTCCGGCATATATGAATGTAACTCAAGGTATTAAACGACCATTCCCATTACTGCTAGTAAAAATAATTTGTATAAAGTAATGCATGCGAAACTCAATCAAAGTTGTTATGTAGGCAACATTGAATGCATCCGTTTGCGTACACTTGCAATGCCAATTCTGTGTTGCCATCATGTCAATATTTTCACGTTGATATATTTACAATTATCGAATTCTAATATTACTCTCTTATTCATAAACACGTCAAACCTCATAAACCTATTTTAGCTATTGAAGTGTTTTGTTCTTTTGCACTAATTTCTCAATATAAAATATAGTGATAAAATACTCTAAGAATATTTTATCACTGTCTTGCAGGACTTTTAAATTTTATAAATAAGGGATTTAGTCTTTAAGAACACAAATGCAAACGATATCCAGCCTTGATGTACCCCAGTTTTTATAGGTGCTTAAGTATAAGTTTCCAGGTATATTTGAAATGTGTCTTTCTTATGATCTTATCATATTATAAATTGATTAATATTTAGATTTGAGTTTTACTTTTTATAAATGCTTGTTTATATTCGTATATAAGGTCCAATTTTGTTTGACCCGACATGAATTCTGTATGTATTTGTAATGGCAGTAATGTCCTATTCTATCTCGTTTTTTCATGTAGGTATTAACATTCTTCAAAAGGGGGTAAAGAGGTTTCTTCAGGGTCGGCAACGCGCGCGTAATGCCTCTGGTATTGCAGGCGTTCATAGGCTACGGTAACCACTTACCATTAGGTGGACCGTTTGCTTGTTTGCCACCTTAGTGGTATAAAAAAAATGCTGTTTTTAAATATAAATTTGAATACATATTTTTTATTTGACCAAATGAACAAATACTAGCTTCCTTTTTATTTTTTACAGATGTAAATGTAAACCAACATGCCTGAATCGCGTCGCTCAACATCCTTTGCAGTTGAAATTACAGGTAATTGGATCCTGCTAGAAATTACGAAACAACTTGAGTTTAGTAAAGTACAGTTAAAAAATGAATGATTTTGTTTGTGAAATTCTGGATTCAATTTAAGAAATAAACTGTAATTTTTTTCAGACCTTCATGTTACGAATTTTTGTAGATCTTGGTGATCAGAACTGGGTTTGCTCATAGATCTTTTTAAAACAGTTTTTCATAACACAGGATAACGTAATTCGAGAACTGAGTTATTAATCTAATTGTGTGAGATTAAAAAAATATTTTAATATTTTTTTTTTCTAAAACTTTTCTCTATTTTCTACCTGTGCAGGTGTTCAAGACGCTCAACCGTGGCTGGGGTATCCGGGCATTGAATGATGTCCCCAAAGGTTCCTTCCTCTGCGTGTACGCTGGTAACCTGCTCACCGATGCCACCGCCAATCTTGTCAGTAATAACAGATTTATAAGTCTTTGGAAAATCATAATATTAATATTCAATTGATAGTATTCATGTAACTGTGTAATATGAATGCATTTATTAAAAAAAAACTCTTGTATTTCTATCAGTTTTTTTTATTTTTTTTTTATTTATTATTACAAAATACAGAGTTACAGAAATTATGTTACATTAGCATTCAGAAACCACGTAGGTTTTTATTTTTACTAAATACATTAAAACTATTTAATTTGTTTTAATATCATGCAAGAAGTATCGTTTTAATTTTTTTTTTATACAACTTAGAATGGCAAACAAGCTGACGGCCCACCTGATGGAAAGTGGTAACCGTCGCCTATAAACATGACCAGTACCATGGACATAACAGAGTATACTGTTTCGCCCATGATACCCCCATGTGTTGTCATTCCTGAGGACTCAGGTATTATTCCTCTGTACCCAGTAAATTCACGCCATATTCTACCCTTCAAACCGAAACAGCCATGCAGACACAACTGCTTCACGGTTGAAACACGAATGGGACAGAGGTACCCGAGCAATCGACTTTTGTACAAAGTCTCCCTATACACTGATAGCGGGAAAAATGGTCATCCACTTATTTCGATATCGCCAATATCGGTCGGATATCTATTTTCGAATATCTATTTTCGAATATGTTAAAAGTGTGTTATCCAATATTATTTTTTGGATAACAGACATTTATATTCGTTATTGGATCAGTATATGCATATTGTAACTACAATATATAGATATTGCTATATATTACTTGCTTCTACTATCTAATACAAAATTAGGTGGAGCTTATATTATGGGTACCTGGACAACTTATGAATGAAATTAATCATGCTGTATATACGAGGGCGGTCGCACGATAATAACTTTGTACCAATAGCGCTCGCGTAAATAACTGTTATGGTGAGCGAACGGCTGACTACCTAGTTCAGTGATTCTCAACCTTTTTTTTGTTGCGGCACACATTTAACGCTTTCAAAATTTGGCGGCACACAAAGAAAAAGATAAAATATATAACAATATCAGTTGTCCAATATAGTAAAGCTGGCAGGTGGCAAGTTTACTACCATCTCCCTGACCAATGAGGGTTCTTGTTAGTTTCTTAAATCTTGTCTAACAGTCAAGTATATCTACAGGATGGTTTAAACGAAGGCGACGAGTACCTAGCAGAGTTGGACTATATCGAGGTTGTGGAACAGATGAAGGAAGGCTACGAGGAAGATATCCCAGAAGCTGACAAGAAGCTCGATAAGGTTGACTCAAGTACTAATAATCCTACCTTCTTCCATATCACATCATCGAGGTTTTTTTAATTGGGATGAAAAGGAATGTAAACTCAGCCTGCGCTAATGGGGGGAAAGGGGTTGTTTGTAATGAGAATCTAACAACTTTATTGCTAGCAATATATCTTTAAAGGCCGATCTCCACGCGGTTCCCCCTGAAAACGATCTTTATCAATTCTTGTCGTGATGGGCCAACTGACCTGCTTTCATCCTCACCTATCATCCTTAACTGGATCTCCGTTAAATATACCGATAGCGTAGGCGGAGTTACCATTCCATTATCACCTATTAAAAAATTTCTAACACTGGTAAAGTACCAGTGAGTGATGACAAATAAAGATGAAGTCAGATCAGTGGCTTAGCGTCACAGTTTCATTAGGAATTGACCACAATGGTTTCCAAGGGATATATGGATATGATGAGAGAGATTAAATATGGATAATAGACAAACTGGGCCTATTGTTTGCAATGAGACCGCTGGATCTCAGTAATATCAATTCTCCCCCCCCTCCCCCATCACATCTTTCAATTAGAATAGACAGCAGTTAGAATTATAGCTAATTACTGTTTTTTCTCTATCAGGAAGCCGATAACTGCGACGAGGAGCAATCGTCCAGTTCGGATGACGAGATCAATAAAAGGGAAGAAAAAGAGGATGACGACTTTCAGCCAGGACATATCGGTTTGGGCGTTCAAGAGTTCAAGTAATTTGGAAATTTTATTTTGATCTACTTAAAATAGGATACAATACCTGTCCCTTGATCTAGAACAGCCTTTCCCAAAGTGGGCGATAATGTCCTCTTGTGGGCGCTGTAGGCCGAAAGGGGGGCGGTAAGAGATCCAGATAAAATGGGTGCATTGTGTAGAGGCTTGGGGCGAAGGTTGTTGATCTTGAAGTAATAGTGGTTTTTAAGTAAAAATTAATTAATCTCAAAGTGGACAGGAAACAAAATAAATTTGGGTACTCCTGATCTGGAATATTATGATCTATCTACAAACTTTTATTCCAAATTTTTTAAAAATATTTTACCCCCTTATTATATAAACATCTAATAGTAATAATAGTTTTTTAGAGGTACATTCTTAATTTACTATGGAGGGGGGGGGGGCGGGGGGTTGCCAGTAGTTGCCACGCTTGGCATGCCGGTTGTCAACCGCAGTTAGGTCTTTTGAGATATTTTAAGAGGAACGCTGCTGCCCATTCCTCAACCATTTTTTTTTTACACATTAGAATGGCAAACAAGCTGACGGCCCACCTGATGGAAAGTGGTAACCTACCTGATAGACATGAGCAGTACCATGGACATAACAAAGTATACTGTTTCGCCCATGATAGCCCCATCCGTTGCCATTCCTGAAGACTCAGATGTTATTCCTCTGTACCCTGAAAATTCACGCCACATCCCACCCTTCAAACCGGAACACAGCTATGCAAACACAACTGCTTCACGGTAGAAACACGAATGGGACAGAGGTACCTAGGCAATCGACTTTTCTATAAAGCCTCCCTCTGGTGGATCAATGCATCAGTGGATGCAGGTGGCTGAGGACCGTTCTTTATGGCAGTGTATGGGGTAGGCTTATGTCCAGCAGTGGACGGATAATGGCTGAAATGATGATGGTGATATTCTTAATTTGAAAGACACAATATGGATAAAGGTGTTATAAATAATATGTATGTGATTACTAATTTATCGACAGTAAACGTCTGCGTATCCGTGACAAAGATAAGAAGGACAAAGAGAAACTGAAAGCAGAGAAGGAGAAGGAAAAGATTGTGGAGAAGGAAAAAGAGAACGAAGACGACTGTATCACTATTAGCGACGACGATGAAGGTTTGAATATAATATAATTACTTAATCTATGGAAATGTCAATAATTCTAGTAACTAATTGTAATCCATGTCTTTATCTGCGTATTAATATATTTATTTTAATATTCACAGTTCGAGAACCATCAAGATTTATGGCACAGGCCGGAATGAAGTCGAATGAATTTGTACCTAAGTATAGGTAAGAATAAGTATATAAGCTTATATTAAAATGTTTAATGTATACATTTAAAATACAGACGTTGCGTCATGTATCTTATATTTTCAACTAATTATTATGTAAAAGTTAGACTGCTGCTCCAGCATCGCAGCCGCCCAAGACTAAAAGTCCAGGATGGTCCCGAAACTAATTGAGGTTTTTCTACCTCATTGTACATTAGCTAAATCGGTAGTTATTATATTAAAAAAATATATATTTTAAGTGAGATCATTATAGATTTATTTCTTTTTATAAAATGCCTTAAATATATGTTTATTTCTTGTCTTTTGTCGCCGAGCAGCTTGCGTGCCTGCTGTTCTTATTTTTTTTTAATGGATGATAATGGAATGGTAACCCCGCCTGCGCTAACGGTATACGCTGGCGGGATACCAGTCAGGGATGATCAGTGAGAATGAAAAGGCAGATCAGTTAGTCCATCGTAACGAATACACCTGGAATTCAGCACCATGGTTTCCATAAGGGACCATGTAGAGGTCGACCTGATAAGGTATATTGCTAGCAATGGGACTGTAGTCCGCGTTGCTAACAATCTCATCCCCAGTTGTTCTTATTTGAAAAATGAGATATGGCAGTGAAATTACTAGCTACTGTTGCGTGTTGTTGAAGCTGCAATGACAAATTATCAACAGGCTGGCCACCTCAATGTAAAAAATACAAATGTAATAATTGTAGAATACGATTGAAAATCTGTTTTTTTTATATAGTTTTATCTTTTATATATTTATATAACATTTTAAGTATTTCTTTTTATATTATATGTTTGCTTTTAATGAATTACTCAAGCTGTGCGCATAATGTAATTGGATGATAACCTAGCCGAATCACAAATGTAATTATTACTTACTTATGTTTTTTATGGTTATAATCTGTTTTATGTGCCAATAAAATAAAATAAAATAAATAAAAATAAATTAGAATATAGCTTTCAACGAGATTTATTTATTTGTCATAGATCTGTGCGTTCGCTGTTCGGCGAAGATGAGGCGTGCTATATCATGGACGCTAAGGTTCAGGGCAACATTGGCAGATATCTCAATGTGAGTATTTATTTATTTATTTAACGTAAATTTAACGGCGTTACAGTTAAGATTTACATACTAGTATTTAAAATATTAAGGCTAATAACAGGTTTCTTATTATTATAAAAGTACAAAATTGGTTTGCGCAAAAAAGGAAAAGTACAATGCAGACATGCTTGGGGGGAAAGGGATTGTTAGTGATGGAGACTGAGAATCCCATTGCTAGCAATATACCCAACCAGGTCGACCTCCTCGCGGTTCCCCCTGGAAATTATCATGGTTAATTCCTAATGAATTCATCATGATGGACTAACTGGCCTGTTTTCATTCTCATCTATCACCCTTCACTGGTGCTCCGCCAGCGTATCCCGTTAGCGCAGGCGGGTTACTATTCCATTTTCACCCATCAAAAAAAAATGCAGACATGCAATCACAAGACACTCAAATACAAATGTTTACAAATGCATGTATGTTACAGTATATTCAGTACTGGTATATTTATTTTATACTTTTATAAATACAACAGAGTTTGCATGAATACACTACCTCCTGTTACCATTATGTCGTATAATATTATTACTCTCTTAACAACAATAAACCTTTCATAAACATATTTTAACTATTGAACTGTTTTGTCCTTTTCTTTTGCATTAAATTCTGAATTTGGAAGAAGAGGGATAGTGTGTATGCGATGATGACCATGTTTTCAACTGGTGGGGTGTCAGATTATATGTTCTGTTCATGCTCTGTACAAATACATAAATATTACTGGCAAGAGTTCCATCGACAGAGGGAGACTTTTGTACAAAGTCTCCCTCTGGTATCCATCTACTATATAAAGAAAGAAAGTATATAAATATGCAAATATTGACGAGAAGTGTCCATTTTGTTTAATGATCTTTGTTAAGAATTGTAACTTTAATAAATTTCGCCTGGCAACAATATCGTAAAAAAGAAAAAAAAGTCTTGTCTATTGTTATCGAATGTGTCGGTAGAACGTGCGTTCGTTATCGTCGCTCTCGTTCACTAATAACGTTGCCGGACGATTAATTTCAATTTGTAACATCTTATTTTACGAAAGGTTAACAACCTTAATAACATTGGTCAGATTGCAAGTCAGGTCTGTCCCATTCGTGTTTCAACCGTGAAGCAGCTGTGTTTGCATGGCTGTGTTTCGGTTTGAAGGGTGGGATGTGGTGTGAATTTACAGGGTACAGAGGAATAACACCTGAGTCCTCAGGAATGGCAACGCATGGGGGGTATCATGGGCGAAACAATATACTCTGTTATGTCCACGGTATTGCTCATGCCTATTGGCGACGGTTACCACTTTCCATCAGGTGGACCGTCAGCTTGTTTGCCATTCTAAGTTGTATAAAAAAAAATGTTCTAAGAGTATCATTCATTGTTTCAGCACTCGTGCACTCCGAATGTCTTTGTCCAAAACGTGTTCGTGGACACGCACGACCCTCGGTTCCCCTGGGTCGCGTTCTTCGCCCTCTCACATATCCGTGCCGGCACCGAGCTCACGTGGAATTACAACTATGATGTGGGTTCGGTTCCCGGGAAGGTCCTCTATTGCTACTGTGGAGCGCCCAACTGTAGAGGACGACTGCTGTAAATTAGATCTATTTTTGTACGCTGGTCTCAGCTCGGAAATTTTTGACAATTCTCATTTGTACTTGTCTCAATTAAGAGCGTTCATACCGAAATATTGCATTGTCTATATTATTTATTTATTTTTTAAGGATCACATTCTTAAATATATTTAATATTAAAAAATGTAATAGTTATAATAGATCAATTTCTACAAACAGTTGAATCATTTCCGATATTTTTTAAATGATTATTCATAAAACGCTCTTAAAGCGAATTAAAACTCATTGAAGAAGCTGCACATAAGTCTACACATTCAATTTTGAACCCACTTCATGTTTTATTTCCAAATAATTTTTCGCTTACAAAATCCAAAATTTCAGTGATAACTTAATAAAAAGTTATATACATTATTTCATAACGTTTAAGGTCACACTCTCTTCTTATTCAAGAGTTTCCTCTTGTTGAGGCAACTAATGCATGCATTCTCTTCCAGCCAGCTCTATTTCAGAGCCATATCTTTTACCTCCCTATATGATATGACACCTTGTGTTTTAAGTGACTTAAGGTCACTATGAGAGCACATTTTAAATGATTATTTAAATATAATGAAAGTTTAATAATAATATAGGTGTTGTTAGATTTCGGTATGAGGACCCTTAAATGTTCTCACTGTAACCTAATCATAAATATATAAAACAAAAGAAATAATATAAAACCTTATCAGATATCCGATCTAGAGATACCAGTGTTTTTTTATTATTTTAAAATTGTATAAGGACAATTTTCATGCAGTCTTAAAAGGGAGAAGTAACGAGACATATCGGTTTTTGTCACCAAAGCACTTAAAGTATATGTTGCCTCTAAATCTTTTTGACCACCATTCCGTTTTCTTAGTTCGTCGCGTTATTTAATATTGATATGATTTCGATTGAAATTATACTGTTATATACATATATATATGTATGTAAGATCATGGCTAAATACGGGCACCCTTAGTTAACCCTTATAGAAGTTGACTTTAACCTCTTAGACCTTTGTAATTGACCTCGATAAAAAAGAACACGCCTGACTTGACCTGAAGGGTTTCGCTGTATAAGCGATACCGGTCAGATATTTATTATAACAGTTTATGGAAGAATTCTACGTTTTTGTAAAAAGTATCAATTGGCGTTTTTTTTTTTCTAAATTGGTCAATTTTGATTTACGTCGACTTTTACTAAGGGCCCGTAAGGGCAAGTAAAATATTGTACAATATCTTGTTTGATGTAGAAATAATCTTATTTGTTTATTTATTCGTTGCATGTGCATAAAAATATGAGCCCGGTGACAGTGATCACTTTGGAAGTTTTAACTGTGAAAGACATTGAGTGAGATTTTTGTAGCCGATTGAGTCGATTCTGAAGCGCCTTTTCTCAAACTTAATTCTTGACTTTTTATTTTTATTTGATAATATTTTGTAATAATTTTAATTTAGAAAATTGGTTCATACTAAATGATTCGGTACACTTAATTTTCACCTACAATGCTGTCTACTAAAAGTGATCCGGATTAGAGATTCCCATACAGAATTATTTTTAATTTTTTAAATGAACTTTAGAGTTTCTTTTTCCTTTTTTGTTTTAAACCACCCCTGTGTTATAAAACAAAAAAAAAATAAACAATTCAGTCGTTTTTGAGTTTTAACGAGATTAAGGAACACCAATTGATTTATATGTAAATAGATATAGGTTGGTAAACCTTTAGAGAAATGGCGCATCTGAATCGACCCCAGTGTGTAACGTCAAATGAACTTTACTAATACTTTTCCATAATGAAATGTTTTGTTGATACTATATCGTCATAGTCGTAGAATACTGACGGATCTTTATATGTAATATTCGTCAGATCCGTCAGTATTCTACGACTATGACGATATCATTGATGGCACATTAGTGAACTGTCGCCCGTACCATGCTACATAATCTGGCATATTATGAATATTAAATTTATGAGATGCTTATTATAAATTCAAATCATTGAATATTTTTTGTCAAACTAAATAGGTATAATGCTCGTTATGCATTTTGATTGTATAGGTTTAAATCATGCATTAATGTTGTTTTATTTAAATTACAAGGACGTATCTTGATAATATATTAAGTATATTAGTCGTTATAGATGAAGCAGTGGCAATCGACGATGGGTGCGCTGTTTATATGCAGGTTGTAACCAAGATCATTAGCTATACGAAAAACTAAGCATCGATCCTTGCTTTCGAATAGAAAAGCTGCAAGCACTGCGTTAATATGAAGACTCGAAATTTTTAGTCGCTTTTCGACCCGTTTCCTTAGTGAAAATCTTCGGTTTCACTAATAGAATACTCATTTAATGGTTTAATTGCTATTAAGCTTTCGCGTAATGGGTGAAGGTCCCCCCTTCACCCATTACCCCCATACCTCATGAAGGGGGAGCTGACGATCCTTGTCCAACCCAGAATAAGCTTTTAGCTATAAGTAAAGACAAGTCTGGGAATGCATATGCGGCTACTTTAAGGGGCTAGCTAGAAATAGTTACCCACTCCTAGTCGAAAAAATATTTGAAGCTGCTTCCGGACAAGTTTTTTAAGTCATTACGTTAATTTTGAGAAATGTAAATACCTATGAAATTATTAAGAGATGACTTGAACTAGGCTAAAAATATATGTAACGCGTCATCCAATATTGTAATAAATATAAGTAGGCTATTTTTATTTAGCTTTTAAGTTGAATTGTGACAAAGGATGCGTTACATAATTTTATAATGCTTCTTCTACATAAGAGAAATCGGGTTTAAACTAATTGAATATAAGAAAGTATCAAAAATAAAGTTTTTTTTTCAATTTATTTCCATCGATAGCATTACTTATTTTTCTTTTTTACAAACAATTATGTTTAATTTATATAGTTGATAAGACTGAATTTTTAAATTAGCACAAATGAAGATTGAGTACTGTAGTGGCGTCTACTTTGTAGTCAAGTCTTCTCTAGACTGTATACTTTTTGTTTTAAGGATTATCATTAACCTTGTATTTACTGATTAGTAACTTGTGTAAATATTATCTTGTACGAGTGGATAAAATAAATACAGTATTGTAAAAAAAAATCAGCTTTTATTTAACATTTTTGTTTACTAAAATACAAATTTAATGTAAATTATAAAATATACCTAATATTATATATATTATTAAATATACATAAATATAGCTAAAATTACGGTAGTGTGGGAGTGGGGGGGGGGGGGGGGGGGGGGGTAAGGTAGATAGAACTATAGAAAATTATATACTAAGGGATAGAACATGCATTATCGACAGAATCTATAGTCAGCCAGTCATTCAAAATCGTAAAAAAATTTAAAGTTACGATAATTAAACACACATTTCATAATTTTCTTTTATTTAAATACTTATATCAAGTTCGACAAGACAATAAATTTACAACTGGACAAGCTCTCCCGAGTTGTATGCCTCGTCTCGAGCGTGGCCCTCAGAGGCCGGGCATGATGTAAGCAATGTTGTGCAGAGTGTCCTGCAGGAGGCGCGGCGGCGGCGCGATGGCGGGTACAGCGCGAGCGACACCCAGCAGCGGCGCCAGCGAACACAGCAGCGTGTCCAACAGCACCGACACCGACCCGGACACGGCGATCTGGCCCTGACCGGGGAAAAAGACAATTCACTTATGAAAACAATTATTGTTTTATAAATATATTATTATTCTTTATTGCACTAAAATATACAGTAATAAGAACAAGTTAATAACAAAGTTAGCAAAGGCGAACTTATCGCTAAAAGAGATTTCTTCCAGTCAATTTAATTATAATTCCAGGAAAAAGTAAATAGTTGCAATCATATATAATGAACTAAGGTATGTCCTGCTCTACTCCAAATAGTATGTGCTGTACTAAATCACGTGATTAGAGGAGTCGTTAAAATGCCAAGAAGTAACTAACAAGCTGTCTTTTATGTTTATATCTAAGTTTTTACCTGTGATTTCGTCTCGTGGCAGGGACAAATTTACTAGCCAGGATAAAAAATAACTTATGTCCTTCTTCTATATAATGTATATCAAATTTTACAGTGATTAGTTAAGATCTATTATATATATTAGCCCTTAAAACACTGTAAGGTAACAAACAAACTCACTTGCGCATTTATTATAAATGCGCAAATTAGTAAGATTTTTCTCTTATTTTTCCATTTTGGACATTTACTTAGCTGGTACACTCAAGATCAAATTCCTCATAGAACAGCTATCCTAGCTCGAGGACCAGACAATTACTGTGTGGCACTTACTAATTTTCTAGACGAGCATCTTCAGCAGTTCAACTACCCCGAGTACATACCTCGTGTTCCTTGAGCCGCTCGCCGATGATGGCGAGGCTCTCGCCCAGCAGCCGCAGGTGCGCGGCCACCTCCACGGCGCCGCAGCCCGTCACGCGGTACATGCCCGCCCCGCCGCTACTCGACACCGGCTGGCGAACAGACACCGTTCATTGCTTTTTTTTTATTGGACAAAGGGTTCGCGCTTAGTCTTACCTCACCTGATGGAAAGTGATGGCAAAACTTAATAAGAACGCGCTTACCCAGAAGATAATTATACACCATTGACTTGAAGAGGCCGAGATTGTATTTCTGCAGGCCAACAGAAGCAGGAAGTGTTTCTCTTCTTGGCAGTTTGCACCAGGAATGATGACTTTGCGTCATCATTAATCATTCATCCGCAATGTGAATATGGGGAATTTCGACGACGTGAGGATGAAGTCCTGAAGTAGTCTTCATCGTGTAGTTCGGTGGTAAAAGAGAGAAGGCAGGATCAAGTAGTACAGTGTGCACCAAAGTGTATCCTATAAAACGTAAATAAACTAGCAACTGCATCCATATTCTAGATTTTAAAGTATAGCCTTTTGCAATAAAGCAAATTGATAATGCACTTGTTGACAAGTGAGACGAGACTTAAACATCGCCTACAGACATGAACTGCAACATGAATTACAAAATACAGTAATGCCATGGTTGCCATGCTATCATGTATTGCCACTCCAGAGGACTTAAAATATTGTCGACTAAAGAGTTGTCTCTGTAGCGTGTTTACTGCGAAATGACTTTTTCTGACTGTTACTGCGAATGACTTTTAACTGAGGATTCTAGACATCATTTGCATGAATAATAATTAATCGCATGTATATTAATTAATTGCATGAAAAATAATTAATTTTCGGAAATTGTCTTCCATTTAGGCATTTGCAGACAACATGGTAAATATTGTTTATATTTACAGTACGTGAAACATGATTTTCAACGGCAGTTGAACTCAAATGTCTTGAATAGTATAATATGAAAAAGTAAAGAATTACGAATGTAGGTAGTGTATACTTACGACCAAAGCTTGCTGAGGTGGTGTAGTAGTTGGTGATTGCTTGGGCTGAGCTCGATTAGATGGCGGACGACCGGGGCCCGAGTTCGTTGGCGGGCGGATGCCTAATCATATAAGTTCTTTTTAATTTTTTTGTCCTAATAATGCATTCCGGGACATATTTTACAATTCAATTGGATATTTAGGCATATCGAAATCATGCAGAATAGCATTTAATTCATAATAGTACTCACTGGGGTTGGATATAATTTTGCTGGTATGGTTGCCTTGTTCTTTTTGCATAGCGAATCGCTTTGCCTTGCGACGCCACAAGTAACGCTCACTGTATGTCACCTGTACATGAAAAACGATTGTAATTTAGCCTCAGGAAGATAAAACTAACTTCGTCACTAGTTTTTACTCCCATGCATCTTTTTATTGTTTGAGACAAAAAGTAACCTATGTATTAGTACTTTATAATTATAAATGAAAATTAATTTATCATAGATTTAGTGGCCTGTACCGGCTTCGCACGGGTGGACATTTTTACAACATTTTAAAAAGTGGTTATTGTGCCATAACGATAATAGTTGGACATATAGTATTGCGAAGTTTTTTGTAGTTATTGATATTTTCTTCAATATTATAGAACATATCACCATTAGTTTCCGCAGCGCACGCGACGAAAGATATTTTATAGCATTTTTGTACACCTTGAGTTATGTTACTAAAGTTTTAGTAAAGATCCTTAATATTTTCTAACAATAAATATAGCCTATATAACTCAGGGTGAATGTAGCTTTCTAATGGTGAAAGAATTTTTAAAATCGGAAAAGTAGTTTTTGAATTTATTCATTACAAACATACATATACACAAAAATACAAATCTTTCCTGTTTATAATATTAGTGTAGATTGATTAAAAAAGTATTTTTTTATACATTTTTAACAATACTCACATTGGCCCACATTTCACCCAATCGTTTAGATATAGCTGAGAAGTCCATGTCAGGGTGTTTGCGCAGCAGCTCATTGCGCGCTTCCTTCGCCCACATCATGTATGCTGTGATGCGAGTTTTACCTGAATACAAACTTTTGTAAATTGTAATTGAAAATTATTTACTGTTAGTAGTTCTGTAAGACTCAAATGTTCAATATCTTAGTAATAACAATATTGATATGTTTTAAGAATTAAATGTGATATTTTGATTGCAAAGTAAAAACTTAATTTTGACATTGAAGTATTGTAATATATACATTCTTAGATATATTAGAGAATAAGAAATGATACCGAAAATAGAGTACATATAAAAAAAAAATACACTCATATCTAACTATCAGCATTATGATATTCTACAAAATATGTGGTGGCAACTGTTTTATTAACCCTTTGCACTCCAGCCTAGTGACTCATAGAGGATACCAATAACTCATTAATAACTTATCATAAACACTATAAGATATTGGGGAGAAAGGGATTGTTAGTAATGGAGACTGAGAATCCCATTGTTAACAATATACCCAACCAGGTCAACCTCCTCACGGTTCCCCCTGGAAACTATCATGGTTAATTCCTGATGAATTCATCATGATGGACCAACAGACCTGCATTTATTCTCATCTATCATCTTCCACTGGTGCCTCATTCGTGTATACCGATAACGTGGGCAGGGTTATCATTCCATTTTCACCCATAAAAAAACACTAAGATAAACGCAGACAATTTTGCTTACCTAAGTGTTAAGGGTGCTGAGTCAGTAAAATAAACATGTCACCATAGCTGCGACAATGGATTTAATGTTACAAATAAGGTGACAATGTAGTGCAATGGGTTAATAGATATATCACAGTAACCAACCAGACTAAATGCTTGATTAACATCTATAAATAATACAGCAACTATGCATACAGTGTGGTATTTATTTACCATATTAGTGGTATATAAAGATACATAGAAGTAATAAACTGATATAATAACAATAATTGTGGACTATATAAAAATTTTAAAATATCACCTTTATCCTTTCGCTGAGCCTTCGCTCTGCCAACCACCCTCCCATCTTTCACAATCAATTTTTTCTTGCTGCTTTTCTCCATCATATATAAAGAATTGGCTGGAGTACGAGTTGAACCTTCGTCAGATGCAGAACTGTCTGATTCCATGCTGAAATGTCAAGATAGATATATAAACTATGTATTTTATCTTCAAAACATAACATACAAAAATTTTAAAATAGAATTTAGTAAGTTTATTCATGTAAATTATACAAAATTGTCATAGGCCAATTTATTGCTTTGCTGTGATGACAACTATATTCTATATGTAGTGACTAATGATTACCCTAAAAGATAGTAATAACAATACCCTTATGATCGGGGGGAAAGGGGTTGTTAGCAATGGAGTTTGACAGCCCCATTGCTAGCAATATGCCCTATCAAGTCGACCTTCACGTGGTTCCCCCTGGGAACCATAATGAACAATTTTTGTTGAATTCGTCACAATGGGCTAACTGACCTGCTTCATTCTCACGTATCATCCTTCACTGGTGTCCCGCCGGTGTATACCGATAGTACGGGTGGGGTTACCATTCCATTATTACCCATTAAAAAAAATACCATTATAACCCATATAACTATTCCATAGTCATACTATTATTTTGCAATGTTATATCAAACGGATTGCTATAATGAGTTTTAATACTATAAAAAAAATATATAAAATTAGTCAGGAGCTTCAGGGTCTTTTTATGTTAAATGTAGGGTCAGAAACGTAAGGAGTTCCAACCTATCAGCATTCTCTCCATTGTTTTCATAGTAATCACTCTCGCTCCCTGAGGCGGTGCCTGCCTCCTCTGTTGGCCTCGGCGTCACTTGAGGCTCGGGCTGAAACTCGGGTGTCTCCTCCTGCTTGAACCCCATGAAGGATTTCACAGGTGTTTGTCTTCGATATCTAGACTCGATGTCATCAGGAGACTCGAAATCCATTAACTTGGAACTCTTCTTTCTAACTCGACCACTGCGAGATATCCCAGTGACTTCTAAATCTAAAATTGAAGAAATATCAACACAACGGCAGAATTACGTCGTAAAGGAAATTTTGATTTGCCTTTTCCAACTTACCTTCTTGCATTTTGTTATATTGGAGTTTTCGAATTTGTAAATATTGTTTTTAACTGAATATAGGAATATAAAATAAGTTAAAATATTTGTTGATCGTTAATTAAAAGTAAAAAAAAATATTGCAAAATTTTGTATTCAGAGTACATAACCAAAAGAAAAGAGATAGCACTTTATACAAGTTACTAAAACCAATTTGGTCAGGAATATGTTACCAATCTACATAAAAGATCTTCCCTTTCTCATTATGTTGACTAGCCTAATATTCAAAATAGAAAGGAATATAGCTATAATGATACTATAGTTAGATATTTTTCAATAATAATAAAATGTAAATATTTATCACTGAAACGTGAATCATGCGATAATAGAAATATATAAATTTTATATCAAATTGCATGTTTCGATTTTTTAGCAAAAATAAAACAAAGGACGAATGAATTAAAAAATAAAACATTCATAAATTTATTTATTGTCTTTTACAATATTACCTTATAATCTTAATTTCGTAATATTATTGATAATGAACACAAGTTTTCAACACTTCCCGTAATATGTATTTGGTCAATTTCTAGAGTCATTGCTTCGTAATAAAGTCAATATTAATTATATAGTCGTAATTCCCACGCTCAAATAAAAAGAAATATCAAATACAAAGCTAAAACTGTTCGACGAATAGTTTAGATGACAGACTTTTGCATTGCATTTGACAGTACTTTTGTTAGTTAAGTTGGCACTATTGTGATTTCATTGTTTAATTAAATATTGGCATAATATTCACTGACTAAATCTATACACTTAAAGTTAGTATGGAAGTTATTGAGAATATATCCATAGATAAGAGAACTTTTGGAAAAGCGCGGGAAACGTTTAAAAAAGCGGGAGTGTTTTTTGATCTTCTTTAAATTAATTTTATTTTTAATTATATAAGGATTAGTTTTATTTATATATTGTGTATTAGATTGTATATATAATTGTATATTTTGTAGTAATAGTGTTTGTTGCTGTAAATATTGGTAAGTAAATTACCTATATTAATTAGACATTATGGATCTACCTATAGACCCTGGGGGGACAACCCCCCAGGTGTCTGCAAATATAACTATCCCATTTAATAATAGTTTTGATATATTGGGTGAATCTAGTATGGACACAGATGGTTCTAGCGTTGCAAGTTCTAAACGTAAGCGAGTACGTGGCGAACGTCGCATTTGCAAACATTGCAATAAAAAACGAAGGAGGCACACCAAAGGTCTCGAATCTAAAATTAAAGATAGTGATTGTCAATGTATTGAGGATGAGAATCAAACTCTAGTATCAATACCAGTTGTAAATAATACCGAGTCTGTTAAACCTGCTTCTCCACCCAGTACTTTAAGCAGAACTTTGTACAATGCCGAGGATGTAGCTCCTTATGTCGTTCATGTACAAAAAAATGAAACACATCCTAATGATAACACTACATTACATCCTATTGCATTTGGTCGCTTTTTACACACTAATAAGATAAATAATATAGTGAATGGTAGCCTCAAAAGAATAGGAAGAAACCGTTTATCGCTTTCTTTCTCAATTTTGAAAATGCAAATGCATTTTTAAATAATAGTCACTTAGAAACACATAATTTTAAGGCATTTATACCTTCTTTTCATGTAACCCGTATGGGAATTGTGAGGGGTATTCCTAAAGATTGGACAGAAGAGGAAGTAATCCAAAATATATCAGTACCTATAGGTTGTGGGAGAATTCTAAAAACCAGAAGAATTAAGAAAAAGACCATTAATGAAGGACAACCAAGTTTTATTAATACTGAAACCATTGTTATTACTTTTGATGGACAAATATTACCAAAAAGAGTATTTATGTTTTACACATCATTAACTGTAGATTTGTACATTTACCCCACTATCCAATGCTATAACTGCTGTAGGTTCGGACATGTCAAGATGCAGTGTCGTTCAAATCCTCGGTGTTATAAATGCAGGCAAAATCATACAGGTGATAAATGTGAAGTAGATGAGGAAAATGTTTCTTGTATCTTGTGTAATGGTTCTCATTCAGCAATTAGTAAGAAATGTCCTGAATATGCACGTCAGAAAGCCATTAAAGAAACAATGGCCCACAGTTGTGTTTCTTATGCTGAAGCATCAAAATTTCATCCTCCCACTTCTAAACTATATTCAGATGTATTAACATCATCATCTCCGTCCAATAAATCTCATTTTCAATCTTCTTTCCTCAAAGAGAAATCATCATTACCACATATTCAATCATCACATAAAAAAACAGTTACACTTAAACCACGCTCTCCTCAAAAAGCACAACAAGGATATGATCGTTCTGCCCATGAAGCCATAGTTAAGGAATATAATATTCCTGCTCCCTCTAATGGTTGTGCATTATCATCAAATAATATTGACAATAATCAATCCATCTTTGATATTATTCTCATGCTTATTAAAGTGTTATCGCAATCGAAAATGATACAAACAACTTTACCACCGTCCAACGATGCCATTTACAATGTATTTTCTCAATTATTAACTTCTCACAATGGATTACAAAGTCCTAATAATTCAGTGGAACTGTCGTAGCATAACAAACAAGAAATCAGACTTATTTTATTTGATTAATAAATATAATCCTTTTATAATAGCTCTCCAAGAGACTTGGTTAAAGCCAGGATATCCTTTTAGGATTTCAGGCTTTACAAGTCTCCGTGATGATAGAGCTGACGGATATGGCGGTGTTGCCATATTGGTCAAAAACTCCCTTCCTTTTTCTTCTTTTTCGCTTCCTGTATATAGCGGCATTAATGCAGCTGCTATAATTATAAATGGTATCTGTTTTGTTACTTTATATATTCCTGATCCTACATGCCAAATATATTCACAACTAGAACAATTATTTTCAATTTTACCTAAACCTTTTCTCGTAATGGGCGATTTTAATGCTCAACACCAATCGTGGGGCAGTTCTACTTCTAATTTTTATGGTGGAAAACTCCTGACGATAATTGACACTTACAACTTATGTATTATTAACTCAGATGTACCAACACGTAGAACTGCACCGAATGAAGGGTTTAGTGCTCCTGACATTTCAATATGTTCTTCTGATTTAGCTTCTTCACTGTCGTGGTATCCTCATTCCTCTACTTTCGGAAGCGATCACTTTCCCCTCATTCTTTCTTTTCCAATTTCCATTCCCTCAAGTCGAAAGAGTGGTCCTCGGCTTAAATATAATTTATCAAATGTAGACTGGAATATTTACAAACAATATTTAGATAATAAAATATCGGAGTTACCTATTGTTTACCATGGAAATGAACATCAATGTTGTAATGACTTGATGATAAATATGAAGGAGGTTGCTGATTTATTATTTCCTGTTAAAAATAGTGCTTCAGGGAAAATTCCCTCGCCACCTTGGTGGGACAAAGATTGTACGGAAGCAATTAAAAATCGTAAAGAGGCTGAAAAAAATTATAATAATTACATGACACCAGAAAATTTTGAAATTTACACCGCAGTTTCACGTTCTACTCGAAAACTACTGAAAAAAAAGAAATTAGAAGGCTGGAGAAGATTTTGTTCTTCTATCTGTCCAGAAGTTAATTCATCAGTCGTTTGGAATAATATTAAAAGATTCAGATCTGCCTTTAGTGATCATACATCACGTTCTGCACTCGATTTAACTTTAGCGAATAAATTTTTAGATCGCCTTGCTCCTAGTTATGTGCCGGAATGCCTTTACAATATTTCTCTATCCGTCTCTGACGAATTATTCGAACTTGACTCTCCTTTTACTCTAGTAGAACTTAAAGGTGTTCTAGCTTCTATTAAAGACTCTGCACCGGGAGAAGACGGTATACCGTATTCCTTTTTTAAAAAATGCTAGCGATGCGACATTAATTTACTTTTTAAATATAATTAATTCCATAATTATTTCGGGAAATATACCTACTTCATGGAAGTCTCAGATTATTATACCATTTCTAAAGCCTCATAAACCACCTTCTGAACCATCTTCATACCGTCCTGTTGCACTTTCCTCTGTCTTACTAAAGCTAGCTGAACATTTAGTGAAAAACCGTCTAGAATGGTTTTTAGAAAGTAATAACTTACTATCCCCGAACCAGTTTGGTTTTAGGAAAGGTAAGAGCACCTTAGATAATGTGAGCATTCTTATTTCAGATATTCATATAGCTTTCTCACAAAATTTGTCAATCCTCTCAGCCTTTTTAGATATAAATTCTGCCTATGATAATGTAATAATTTCTATTTTAAAAACTAAATTACAAGCTCTAAATGTACCGGTAATGCTTTCTAATTTCATTATTAATATTTTATCAGAAAGAACAATATATATGAATTTAGATGAAGATACCAAATTATCTAGAACAGTATGGAAAGGCCTTCCACAAGGATCTGTTCTCAGTCCAATCTTATTTAACATATACACATACGATCTAGAATTATTCCTTGATAAATCCGTCAAAATTTTACAATATGCTGATGATCTTTTATTATATTTTATTGCGAAGTCCATAGAATCTGCTTCTGCCAAATTATCTGATTCATTAGATTTGTTAAAAACGTGGTTAGATGCAAATGGTCTTAATCTTTCTGTAACCAAGAGTAGTGTAGTTTTGTTTTCAAGAATGAGATCACCGCAACAAATTAAGGTGCTTTATGATAACTCATACATTCCTATAAAGACTGAAATTAAATTTTTAGGTATCGTGCTAGATAATAAATTAACAGGTCTGTCCCACTGTAATTATATTTCTACGAAATGTGAGCGTAACCTCAACATTCTTAGGTGCCTTGCTGGAGTTTGGTGGGGAGCACATCCCGTTTCACTAAAACTTGCTTATAATGGTCTTATAAGGAGTGTCATTGATTATGGAACTTTTTTGTTAGCTCCAGGAAGTTCATTTGCTTTTAAGAAATTGGATTTAATTCAATCAAAGGCCTTGAGGATTATCTCTGGAGCAATGAAATCAAGTCCAATCAATGCTTTACAGCTCGAAGTCGGTGATCCACCTTTGGTTTTAAGAAGACAATATCTATCTGATCGCTTCTTTTTTCGTTGTTTACAATTATCTGATCATCCGCTTATTCAAAAGTTATCTCAACTACATATCTTTATTTCGTCTTCATCTTAT